AAAGACTTCTATATTCTTTAAGTAGAATAATCTAGTTACTTTATTAATATAAAATCTATAGATTAAAAAGTTAAGAAAGCTATTACTAAAGAGAATTAGTCCTTTTAAGATCCTCTAATTAGTTAGATCCTAAGTCTATTATCTTATATTACTAGAAAAATATAGCTATCTATATAATATCTTCTATATCTCTCTTTTTAAAAAATAAAATAATAATCTAGTATAAAATAGTATCGAAAAGATACTAATATCTAACTTAGCTAAAGAAGAGGATAAATATAAAGTAGAAGAAATTAAGAGCGAAGCTAAGATTAATTAGTAACTTTATTTTCTAGTTAAATAGAAGAACTAACCTTCTAAATATAATAAATAGATTCTTAACTATAATATAGAGAATATAGTAAAAGCTATTATATAATTTCGAAAATATAAGAAAACTAAAGTAGTAAAAACTAAATAATAAATATAAGACTTAAGACTAAAATATCCCTAAACTATCCTTAGAACTCCTCTATAAACTCTAATATCTAATTATATATAGCTATAGCCTTAACTACTAATATTCTATAATTATTTATTATATCCCTTAAACAAGTTATAAAATTTACTAGACCGACTTACTATAGTATAAATCTAGTATCTCCTTTCTCTAGATCTAGTAGTATATTAATCTACTCGGTCGGAGCTTCTATAATTAATATCTAATTATAGTAATAATTATTTATCTTTATATAGTAGAAATAGTAGTAATACTACCTAAGTTAGCTTATATTTATATAATCGAAATACTAGGTTTTTCTTATCGACTATATATATTTCGGGCCTTCGAAAAAATACTTCTTCCGATAAATAGTAGCTATACCCACGAAAATAGCTACTAGATTCTACTTATAAAGAAGAGATCGGTATATATTATAACTAGCTAGATAGGAATATATATCGGTTTCCTAGCGATATTTAACTCTTAGATACTTTTAAAGATCGCCTAATAGATTTATAGATACTACTAGAATACTTATATATCCTATATTATATCTATAAGAACCTAAAACGGATTAATATTAAATTATTACCCTTTTATAATAGCCTAGAGTTTCTTACTAACTTATATAAATTATACCGACTATTATATAACTTATATAATACTAAACTAATTCGATCGAAAGTATAAACTATCTAGAATAACTCCGAAGTAGAGAAGTAGTTATATAACCTTTTAGCTTTCCTAAAATACTATATATACTAAAGATATTTATAAGTTATATAAATATAGTTTAGTACCGGAGAAGTATATCTAATACTATCTACTTTAGTATAGTAGCGATAATTATAAGAAGTAGGAGATATAGTATCTAAGAAAGAAGAAACTTAGAGTTAATATTAGATAACTACTAGGAGATAGGAATCTTATCTCTACTTATAGTAGAGACTATAATATCTCCGAGAGCTCCCCGAAATATCCTTCTTTCCTACTTATTCGTACTTAACTCTATAATCGCTAGTCCCTTTAAGTATACTAAATATAAAATTATAACTATATATATACTAATACTATAAGATACTATAAGAAGTCCTAATTAAGATAAGTTCCTATAGTTATATATATACTAATCGCGGTTTAGTTATATCTTATCTTTATTTAACCCTACTTATTATCCTACTATTATAATAGCCCTAACTTATATCCGATTCCGCGATAGCGTCTTCTTTATTAGTATAGTAGACCCTACTATCCTATCTATAATCGTAGCTCGGGTAATATAAAGGAATATTATTATCCGATAGAGATATAAATATTACTATATATAGTATAGAGTATATATATAAACAGCTAAAAATTTAGGAGACTTCTAGCCGGGATATCTAGTATAAAGAAGGGGATTAATTATTATAGCGTGATCTATTAAGGCGCGGTCGCGGGAGAATTACGTACGGAACGCTAATAAATCTATCCGGGTTATAGCCCTAAGGATATAGGCTCGGTACGTAGGAACTATATATATAATAATCGTAGAAGGGAGGAAGAACTCCGACCTTTAAGATTTAGTCTTTAAATTTAAGCCCCTCTAGACTTTGATCCTTTACTTAGTTAATAGTCCTAGTTATCCTACAATCCTAACCCTAATAATATTACTAATAATAGTACTATTACGCGATTCCTTACGATTAATATTATTTAATCTATAGATAGTAAAGTTATACTTTCTTAGCTTGCCTATATTCGTTAAGTCCTCGCGAAATTTAACCTATAAGATATATATATAGTCCCTATACTATTTTATAATAAGAAGATCCTATAACTATATAAGGATACTATAACTCTAGCGGAAGTTAAAGCTTACCGTAAGATAGTAGGCTTACTTATTTAGCTAATAGTTAATACGCGACTAGATATTATATTTATAGTTATAAAGCTTATAAGATATATATATAACCCCTCCGCGAAGTACATAACTATATTAAAGTATATCTTTCGGTATCTTAACGGTTCTATAATACTTACTATTATATATTCCTACTTACTAGATCCTCTCTTTAGATTTATTAATATAGATTAGGTAGGGAAATATATAGACGCTAGTATATCTATATCCGGCTTCCTTTTTAAGCTTATAAATAATATAATTACTTAGGCTTATAAAAAGTAAATATACGTTACTCTTTCCTCTATAGAAAGTAAGTATATAGCTATATCTTTAGCTATATAAGAGGTATTATAGCTATAGCTTTTTCTTAAGAAACTTAATATAGAGTCCCTTTTATAACTTCCTACTATAATCTATAAGGATAACTAAGACGCTATTTACCTTACTAAAAGCTATAATTTATACTAATAAATAAAGTATATTAACGTTAAATACTATTATATTAGAGACTAAGTCTCTAGGAGGGTATATAAATTCGTTAAAATCTCTACTATAGAGTAGGCTATAGATAGCTTTACTAAGCTACTATAGTAAGTCTAATTCGAGAGGTTTCTATTTCTTTTAGGTATAAAAAAGCTCTGATTTAATAGCTATTTAATAGCTATTTAATAGCTTTTTAATAGTCTTTATAGCGAGCTTAATTCTAAGGGTTTAAATACCTTTTTGAGCTTAAAAAGCTATATTAAGGCGTTATTAATATATTTATATAATTACTTTTTATATTTTTCATATTTTGAGTAAGATTAGTGGATCGAGGTCTAGGGGGGTATTAAGATAGCTTAGTGGTTTAGCGCGTCTTACTAGCGTGGTGCGCGCCTACGTATACCACCTTCGTAGCTTAGATAGGCACCTCTCACCAGATACAATCTCACCATTCCTTTCTCCCCTCTTTTAGGTCTGCTACGTTTCCTAGTAGCCTCTAATACAAACTTTATAGGCATCTCAACATAAGTAGAACTAGTTTATTATCTCAATAATATATAATAGTTTCATTCCAGTTTTCCAGTAAGATTGCGGACAGAGTCGCGATTTAGGGGGGTTTTTGTATAGCATATAATTCTGCCACTTACCACAGTCCATAGCTTAGGTAGAATCTCTCCCCCTCAGCAATCTCACTCCTTATCCCTCTCACACATCGATACTACTGCCCCTACCGTAGCCGTATCTCATCACATCTGCCTGCATGGAGTTTTTCTGCAGTATCTACAATTTCTCGAGGCTCTGGAGTCTGCCCAGTCGACTGGCAAGGATATTATTGTATTTCTTAGGTCATTATTTGGCCTAGGCCAAGTAGTGACCTGCATATAGTGAAGCAATGGACGAACTACCACGTACTTTATGACTACCTAGCTGTTTCACAAGCTTATCTAGGACCCTGTTCTATAGTTTCCAAGTCCTGAAGCTGGTCGCGATGCGATTCTTCTACGATCGCCCTAGAACGCCGGGCAACGGCAACCCGGTAAGGATCAAGTCGAGTTCAAACAGGACTCGTTCATAGATGACTCCGAATGATGCCCTGGCTAAAAGAGAAAGACCTAAGACATCAATGCCGCATAATGTTATCCACGAGTTTCAGTAGGCTTGTCCTATAGCTACGTCGCATCATGCTGGCGGTGTATATGTGTACAAACTTTATGGTAATGAGTCTGTGAGGTCTGTGGAGCATCGTGATGGTACCTAGAACCATAGGTGAGAAGTTAGTAGTATTCTGGGATTGTACTGCATGAAAGTCCTAGACAAGGTGAAAGAATTTTATGCTTATAGAAGGCACACTAAATCTCCGCCACCAAGAGGTCTCTTACAGGCAACACATTCATGACGTGCCATGCGACGGAACTTTTCAAATGGATCCAGAGATTCACGTTGTAATCAAGATTGATAGTCCTCATCTACAAACATTCCTTGAGGGGGATTTTGCTCGCAAAATGAGGTCTCGCAATGGCAGTTAGACTATTAATGAGAGGTGAGAGAATACAGGACAGCCTGGAGAACAGCCTAAGGAACAGAGAGCGACGGTGGTAGAAAACACGGCAAGTTGTCAATCTGCAACAATCCTTTACTCTGCTCGCAAACATTGTAGTCATGGGTTGCGATGTGAGTCCGTCGCGGAGCTTCAGGCCAAGTCCGGTCCAGCAAGTTATACAAGCTGCATGGATGCCTCACTAATAGAATTATGCCTGAGTCTTCATGCACTTCTTTTGAATTTTCTTATCTTGTGACTGTCACGTGGCTGAGCCCCCGCGCTGAGTCATCACTGCAGTGCGCCGCAACGGGCAGGCAGCCCGTTGATCTGATCATTTTGGCCTGTGCGGAGAGCAAAAGGATCTCAAGAGGCCAGGCAAACGTTGCGGTCCATATGGTCGCTTTGCTGCAACAGTGATCGCAATCTGGACCATTTGGATATATAGAGTTATATATCTGCGATCAATTGGAAACGCTCAGATTCAGTCCGATTCCTAGCTTGTCACCAGCCTGGCGTCTTCGGGTCAATCGAACGGAATCGGAGGGTCGCAGACCCAGACCACAACCCCCGTTGCGCAAGTCGATAATGATTCAGCAGCCCCAACCCCCGTCATGGCGGGTGTGAACAATCATGTCTCAGGGCCTGCAGCTGCTGTGGACGCTGCGTCAAATCGCAAACGCACTGTAGCAATGGCAGGAATGGACAGCTCCCCCGGCAGCATTGATGATGGTGAAGATATCGACCGTGATGATCGAAGGCGACAGCCGGTGAAGCGTGCCTGTAATGAGTGTCGACAGCAAAAGGTGCGTCACTGAATGCGCTCCAATGCGAGCAAAACATTGCGAACGATGCTTGTCCAACCCCCTGTTATGGTCGCGCAAACCGAATAAGCTGACTCACTGGATGTGGTCTTTTCTAGCTACGATGTGATGTGGTTCAAGATCCATGGATGGACTGTTCGAGGTGTCGCCGACTCAAACTCGAGTGTAAAATCGAATCTAATTTCAAGCGAGTCGGAAAACGAAGTCGCAATGCGGAAATGGAACGAGAAATTATCGAACTCAGAAAGCAGATCGCGACCGCGAATTCCGGTGCAGGCGCCTACCAGCAGCAACCACAGCTTTCGGCGGGCCAAGTCACGCCCAAGCAAGAGTCGAACCATGTCAGTCCCGCCGGAGTCTACCAAACACCGTCAGCCATGTCCGCGGATCAATACATGGGTTCACAGGAGGCGGTCGCATCGCTGCTCGATTTGCGATCGGGCTACGACGGCTCTACCTACATGCGCAACAATACTCACCAGTTCAAACGGATAGAAGACGTGATAGTCGTGCCCGAAAAAGTCAAGGAGCTCTTCGGTCTGTAAGTGTTAGATTCCCGTACCCAAAGCATTGACCCGGTGCGAGGAGCAGCTAGCCTCTGACAGCGACAGATTCTTCACATACTACCACCCATTCCTCCCATTTCTAAACCGAACGAAACCCCCCGAGGAGTACTTTTCTGCTTCGCCACTCCTATTCTGGACGATTGTCAGCGTCGGCGCAAGGCGATATCAGAGTGATTCAGGCCTACTGACTTCCCTTGCCGGGCCCGTGACTCGCCTTGTCTGGAGTACGCTGGCCGATATACCCCAGAGCTACCATGTGGTCAAGGCGCTCTGTCTTTTGTGCTCGTGGCCGTTCCCTACAAGCAGCACCTCAACAGATCCCACATTCATGCTTTGTGGTATGATGATTCAGGTCGCGATGCAGCTGGGTCTTCATCGCCCGTCGCATACCCAAGATTTCAGCAAGTTCAGAGTGGAGCTTATTGAAGAAGAATTGAGGGACAAGGTGCAGACGTGGGCTATCTGCAATATTGTTGCGCAGCGGTATGTTACTCGACCGAGCTGGTTTCACCGATCCCTTCGAAGAGACAAGAGCTAACGCGATAGTCCTCTTTACCGGTAGAGTGTCTACGGGCTATGGTCAGCCGCCCTCAACGCTTTACGACTGGACTTTATCGGGCGATTCCACCGATCCCAACTTCAAACTTCCGTCAGATATCCTGTCTCGGCTTAATGTCGAAAGATTCTGTGACAAGATTACAAAAGCTCTGTACAGCAACCGACGTGACCCGGTTGGTCTCTCTACTGATCAAGAGAGACACGCAATGATTTCATTTCTGTCCCGTGACTATGATGAGCTAGAGGAACAACTCAAGCCACAACAAGATGGTAGGACCAATCGACACCTGTCGGCTGTTTCCCCCGGTTCCTAACTTCCAATGCTGACGATACATATAGTCATAACCAAATTATATCTTCGAGCCGCAAATTTACATTTGCATCTTTCTGCATTCTTTGATGAGCCTTCCAAGAAGGATTATCGCGAACGTCTTCTCGCCTTATATGTCGCCACTACATCTTTCCTTGAAGCGGCCATGACATTGGAAACGGATATGGGACCCGTGCTTTCCTATACGCCCTATTACATATATCAGATGATGGTCGCAGCTGGGTGCACACTTCTCAAGCTGAGCAAGAGTTTCTTCTCGTCCCATATTGATATGGAACACACGAAGAATCTTTTCAATCGCACAATCTGGGCTATTCGTGGCGTGTCAGTGTCTAGCAACGACCTCCCAGAGCGGCTTGCCGAGGTGCTTGCTCAGATGTGGAGGCTCGGAGGTGGCACTCAGCGGGTAGCTGGTGGTAACACCGACGTGGATGATTCTCTAAGGTTGAAAGTGCGGTGTCGTATGAGCATGTCCTTGCTTTTCGACTCTGTCTGGCGATGGCGAGAGGATACGCGGACGAAGGGACGGAACATTGAAGGTATGTATGAAGGGAGTTAGCTAGAAGCTTTGGCTCACCCCCATTGACATCTGACTAACTGGTCTACCCGCAGCATATCTCAAAAACCCTACGAATCCAGACTCGGCAGCGGATTCATCTGCCGCATCCTCAGTGGGCCTAACTAGAACCCACTCATCCACTCCTGGGATCTCTGGGGCCGATCCCAGCCTAGCACCAGCGCCCATGCTGGCTACGCCCACTCTCGGAGTACAACAACCGAGTTCGGGAGTTAACGCGGGAGTTAACAGTCTCCCTAGTGGATTTATGGAGCCAAACTACGAGGTCTTCGATCCATTAAACTGGCTTCTCGACGGGCTCGTCGATCTGCCATACTCTTATTCGACCATGGGTGGTATAGAGCCTCAAAGTATTGTATAGACGTGGGGCTTGTTCCAAGTTGGTTTGTTTATTTCCCTGAGGTCCACGGACTCAAGTTTTTATTGGTGGTTTATTGAATATCTTTATACTGGGCGTACTGACGCTCCAATGATGCCCTTGATTTGTACTATTATACCACGAAGAGGCAGTCACAAATGTCTACTTAGGAGAAGGGTCTTCTGACTTTGTAATGCTGTTACGCCCATTTGACGGTCCTTTTGCTTTTTCTTTTTGTTTCACGTAGCCGGGCGCCCATTTCCCCAATATGTTCCGTACGTGCACAGAGAGGAAGAGATAGTAGCAGGCATCAGCCGAGGGACAGCGAAGTTCACAACGATGCCAAATGTCCCTGGACTTGATTCACCTCGGCCCAAGCATGGGTAACCTTTGAGCCTTTTTGCTTATCGATAAGAGATAACCTCGTAAAGGGTGGATATGCGTAATCCCGTCTCCCGACCTTATCGGCCCCAACATCGTCATCACTCTATTCTTCGATATCCCGAAATGCATTATTTCTGTCTGTAAAGCGCTATCTTGACAAGCGGTCCGTCTCACCCTCGTCCATTTTCCAAAACTCTCCAGGACCACCAGTCCTCCTGCCCTCATGACAACCAAACGCACCCTAATCATCCCACATAAACGCGCTCTTCTCCCTCCAACAAACCACACATCAACCAATCAAAAGAAAGTACACAGCACCTTGAACCCCAGCGCGAAAGCCGCAACAACCGAAATGAAACCACGCGCCCGCCAAGAAGATTGCACGGACAACATTGCAACAGTAACGACGACGACGACAGCGAGAATCTACTTCCCAACTGCTGAGCACGTCGATCCCAGTTCGGATTTCCCTCGAATCGAGTACTCGTTCGCTGCGACTCCGCAGCCCTTTCTCGACCCGGGTACCTGGGAGGATATGGTCAAACGGGCACGCATACGCGCAAAAAAGAAAGAAGAGGCGGTTGCATCGCCTGTGACGGGTTCAACCGCAGGGGATCGTCGTGAGCGTACGAAGAGGCGGGAGGGTGGGCGGTTTGAAGGGGAAACGCCCGATCAGCGGCGGAGAAGAAGGGAGCGCGAGGCGGAGTATGGGTCTATGGCTATTCGGGGGAGGTCGAATGTTAGTGGGAGGGGGAGGCGGACAAGGGCGGCGACGAGGGGTGGGTATTGGGGAGGGCAATTTTGAGAATTCCGTCTGGTTAAACTAAATGGTTTGTTGTAATTTTTATACTTGGGGCGTTTCGAGGCGTGAAATACGTGCCTGTCTCCTGGGTGGAAAGTGCTTTCCGGAAAGAGGACACAACGAATATGAACATGTGAAATCAAAGGTCGTACGAGGAGAAAGGATGAGATTCAGAGATAGTACATTTTCTCGGACAATCGGAATAACGAAATCTCTTTTGATACATTTTCAAACCCACGTACTCGCCAAGAGTGCCGACGGCTAACATGGTAGACAAATATCAACAGAAGGCAACGCAGGACATAAGACATCAACATAAGTCATTGAATCATCATCATGCTAAAGTCATATCGGTTCGTAATGTCATAACGCAAAATCAATCAAACAGAAGACGATTATCAGGTTTGTAAAGTGTCACGGGTTGTGTCGGCGGTGAAGAACATAAGATCAAAGTAGATCAGGCAAGTCCGTTGTCACATGCATCCGTGGATATGTGAAAACGCAAATTTAATAACCTCATCGACTGAGCAATGGTGCGAGTCACAAATATTGTTTGTGTCGGGATAGCGCCGGAGAAGCTTCACTGGATACTGCCATGAGGCGCGCTAGAGACAACATGCAGCGGACCACCAATGCTCTGCTTGAGGCTTTCACGACGAGCGGCTCGTTTCCTCTCCTCACGGCGCTGACGCATTCGTCGAAAGCGAGTACGCATAGCCTGCACAGACAAATACCGCCAGCGCATACGCCATTGGGACAAGACAACATAGCGGGTTTTGTACAACGGCGTTCCAGTGCGCAAGATACCACCAGACTCGACGAGACTGCCGTGACTGGTTGACGTCATGCCATTAAAGTAACGCTTCATCTCGGGGCTGCGACGATCGAGCACAGAGGAGCCCTCAAATATGAGCCTCTGACGAGGGATTCCCAGCGAATTGCCGATGTAGTTTGCATCGGCCGGAGTGTGACTGCCCGATTGACCCTTTTCAGGCGATTCTGGCATATCCTCCCAAAACCCACGTGGGCGCCAAAAAGGGTGCAGACGACTGTCCATCTCAATACCAGCCTTGCGGTTCTTGGCAGATCGCATCGATAAGGATCGTGTGAGGGCCCCGAACGAGTCTGATCGAGGGCGGGATGTCCATGTGCGTCTCATAGAGGTCCAGCGACGACCAAGGCCAGGTCTCTCCACCCGGGGTGCTTCGTCTGTCGGCGGAAGTGGTGGGAGAGGCCTGGAAACGGGAGGCTTTGGAGGCGGGCGAGGGTTCTTTAATGGGGATTCAACAAACATGTAAGGCAGATCCTCGACAAGATTTTCAGGCGTTCGAGGATGATACTCCCCAAGAGATGCCACTCTACCCAATCCAGACATTGCGCTCTGGTTTACAGGTAGACGCTGATCGACCAGTAGTAACGATCGGTTGCGATGCGCAAACATGCTGACTGCCGTCGCCTCACGAATTTCAATCGGGCCGGGTGAGGACGATGGAATCGACCACTGTGTATATGGCAGAGACGGTGGGCGCAGAGCCGCCATGTCGTCCGTTGAATTATTCAACACAATCTCGGGTAGTTTTGACGCCTCCAGCAGACCCTTCCCACGACCGTTGGGCCCGAGAATATTATGACGAGGAGGTGAGACCGGTAACCAGTCATGCTGCTTTTGCATCCCCGTGTCCATTGCCAAGGTGTGACTGCGTAAACTCTCAGAGGTGAGGGAGGTGGCTCGCGAATTGTTGCGACTTGTCGGTGCAGAGAGCGAGGAACTGCGAGGTGGAATCTTGGGCCGACCTATAGGTCGAGACCTCGAGTCCATGTCTCGGGAGCGTGCGGATGCGGAGTCCGACACTGTTTGCGGCTTATGTGGAGGAACGTCCACTAAGCTACCCGACGAGACTAGCGGTGGACGCCGCTGGGAGTGCTGAGAACTAGGTTTAGACGAAGTGAAGCTGCTGGGCCCAGATTTCAAAGATGACCGTCGTTCGGGAATCACCACTACGGGAATGACGGTGGTTGGTGGTTGATGGAGACCCGCTGTCGTCTGAGCGGAAAATGAAACGTCGGATGAAATGCTTCTGCGATCGTGCTCTGTGATGCGCGCTGCCTTGTGGAGCAAACGAGGTTGTGGACAAACATTAGAGGCGGCTGATGTTCGCTCTGGCCGAGAGACAGGCGAGCTTGCAGACCGCAGCGAGCTTCTCTTTTCAGTGTGCCGTAGAGACCGAGGGGCTCTCTTGGGGGAGTCAATGATCAAAGCTTCGACAGTGGACGTGGAGGAGACTCCAGAGATCCTACGCGACTCAGAATCTTCGAGAGGAGATTGGCCTGCATCGTACGAGGGCCAGCCGATCTCTTCACGAAAACGCTCCATTGAAGGGGACTCGCCGAGCGAGCCTTTACTATGGATCCTGTCTCGCAAGTTCTGTTCCCTTGCAAGTGATTCATCAAGACGCTGTACATCAAGGGTTTTGGCATCAACAGCCCGCATCGACATCGTCCGCGTATTCGGCGATGTCTCTTTATCCAGGCGAACGGTTGGCAGATCGCCTGTCTGGTTGGGGGTGGCCCAGCTTCCATCAAAAGACTCGAACCCTGTTTCATAATCCGTCTCACTGAAGGGCTGCGATGCGGAGGGTGGCGTCAGCTTGGAGAACTTTGATTTTGCGGAATCACCGGGCGCCTTGTTCCTTTTCTTGCTTGAGGGCTCTCGCTTGGTAGGCTTTTTGGAAGACAGCTGTGCTGTGGAACGTTCGGGCGTATCCATATCGCCGTCGGAAGAGAGACTTTCCAGGGCTGTTTGAAAGGATTCAGCTCGCGACGAGGCCGACAAATGCACCAGCGGATGGAGGGTTGGACGCTTGGTGGAGCCCATCCGTGGCGGTGTCACATCCGGAGTGGGAGGTTTTGACGGTCGACGCGGTGTCAAGAAGCCAGAGGAGGTGGTCTCAACATGGGGAGTGGCCGTCTTCTGCGGTATCGATTCCTGCGCAACACGATCGTCTTGGTGGGCGGCAGGCGGAGTCAGTGGAGGAGCGGGTGTCGCGATGACCGTGCTGCTCGACTCCGGAGAGCCCGGTGTCGAATAAGAAAAGTCCATTTGAGGCACGACAATTCCCTTCCGAGAGGGAGTCTTGTGAGACTTGGGACGTTGCGGCCCTGGGATGTCCATCGATGGGGTCGCGGATGCGCTCGCCACTTGGACGCCCGGCATGGTGGGATTTCCAACGTTTCGTGTGGGATAGAGTCGGGACCCAAAGCGAAAGACTTTGATGAAGGACAATCACAGAACGAACATGCGATCCTATGAGAGACGTCGAAGCGGCGTCGGTCGTGAGTCAAGCATCGCCCGCGACTCCTGACGTGAGGAGCCTCGCTTTTGGGCGTGACTTGGATCGGAATGGAGGAAAGTCAAGTTGTAAAATGGTGGCCGAGCGAGAAGAGGCACCTCGATTCGTCCCTCGAAACGCGCGCTCCCAAGGGGCCGAATCGCCGAATCTGCAGGGTGCAGAAAGGTAATTTACCGTCCATGACACGGCGTCTTTCCGCTCATTCGAGGATGGCTTTGTCAAAAGGTTATATTGCCGTTCCCCCGCCTCGAAACGATATTTGGCCCGAACAGACTTTGACGCGGCATTAGGCTCAGTACGGACTTGGGCGAAGGTACTATGGAGGGACTGCGAGTAGAATGAGTCGCGACCCCATGGGATGACTCTTGCTAGTGCCAGTATGCAGGGGCGAGATGATTTGGAAATTCAAACGGCCGTAAAGCGACTGAGTGGCATACTGAAGTATACGAGACTAGTAGTAACTTGTGGTTAAGTATTCCGCTCCACTTTCAGTTTCTTGTCTTCATCGCTTGCATATCCATTTAGGGTCATGATCGGTTTACGTAGATTACTGATTGCTTGTTCTACTGTGAAAGTACCCGGGTCGCAGTCAGGACCATTGAAGACTAATTTAAATAGCCATAGGTTGGAGCTTAGGTATCTAAAGGTTGAGATCTTCAACACCGGTACTAGTACTACCCATCCACATAGTCATACAAGAAGTAGAAACACTCGCATCTCCAAATCAGCACAAACAATCAACCCACGACTTCAACCGCCCAGTGGGAAGATACGGTCGGATTTGATGTTTGATCGTAATTTTTTTTCTGGACCACTGTCCTTTGTTTACCACTTCTTGAGTCGAGCCTAAAAGGGACTTGATCAGCAATGCGCCTTTGATCGAGATCAGCAGTTCTTTTGCAGTCGGCAACGGACAACCGTGGTAGTTCTAATGAACAGACACAAGGAAGTAGTAATGGATATAATTAGTCACTTCCCACTGTACACACGAGACTGGTCGAGTAAAACTCGTATGCATATATAGTATTAGGCAGGTACCTGAAACAGTCAATGCTTCCCTTTTGGATGCCTCGCTTCAGCTGCAGAACATATGGATGCGGACTTGGCCGGGCTACGGTAGTATGAGTGGTTGGAACACAAGTTTACGAGGGACTGAGGCGGAAGCAACGTATACTGCTTTTCATTTTCAGTGATGCAATGGTTGTGATTCAGATGGAGGACCTAGTACCTAGGTAAGTACCTAGTAACGTACACGACCTGCATCAGGCATCTCTCTGTTCTTTTTGCGCAGGGCTTCAAGACAAGAAATGGATGTGCAACATGGTCGGGAAATTGTCGAACAGATAGATACGAGACACGAGGCTCTAGGTCTTTGTGGGTCGCAGAAGCTTAAGGCGAGGAGCTCAGACGAGAATGCTAGTCCTGTCAATGTTTCACATGCAGGGTACCTATATATGAGGTCGACAAGAAGAGGTGCAGATGAGGCCAAGACGACCATTGAAGACCCGACTCATTCACTCGCCGAATACACTCAAGAGCCTCATCGTAAACCCTGGCTATTCGCAAATTTATGGAGTCCCTTCCCATGTCTAGGTATGGCCAAAAGAATCTTTGTCCTCCTGAATTCCAAGCGCTGGAGTGACTCAGAGACAAATCTTGTAACTAGGTAGTTAGATCATCCAACATTGAAAACTACCCTAGTAGGTTGGGAGAGAACAACTTGTACTAGCCATCAGTTGACCAAGCCACCTGTGGCTATGCAGCCAGCGCATCACGTGCGTCACCTCCTGCAGCGTGACACTCCTGCCAATTGTTTAGCATGATTCATTCACTCTCCTTGACTTCCAAGGCGTCTACCGGGGATACATTCTCATGCAGCATGGCCCATGATGGAACGTGGGGATGGACACTCCATCTCCTCTGCTCGTGTGAGTCTGTCTGAAAACCTCTTACACTAGATCATGGCGTCCCAACAATCTAGTGTGTATTCAAGAACAACCTTTTGTGGAGCTGCAGCCAGTGATAAGTTGCAATAAGGTATAGAAATGGATAAAGACCGATCAAGCTCTCCGGCTAGTTACCACTTACCACTACTACTGTATTTCCCGAGACCCCGACCACGTCAAGGTGATGTCGATTCCCCCTCGGGCTCGGTGGTAGCCGACGAGTCGCCGGCCCGTGCTTGTCGTGGTGACACGGATCAACGTCATTTCTCACGAATCGTCTCCAGTCGGCCGGGTCCATGTGGGGCTGGAGGGTCCGACAAGAGCACGAGCACGCGTTCCTGAATGATCACCTTTCTCTTCTTCTCTTTTCGGAGTTCCCCTCCTCTTCGTCTTTGTCGGGCAGACGAAGCGACCAGCCAAAGAGTAAATGGATGAATTCCTCAGTCTGAGCAGACGAGGTTCTGTGGGGTCACATTGATCTTGAGAGACTTTACACTCCTTGCATCGGGGAACTGAAGCATCTCTTGTACAGTATGCGACGCAACGCAGATCAATGCATGTCTCTTCTCCCAAACGCAGACCATAATACATGGTCGGCATTCCAACTCTCTATCATCGTCCGGGAGAGCGCACTGGCATGAAGACTTCCCCGACCACCAGCACTTTTCCAGGAACTTTTGTGCTTGGATGTATTACACCTAGAATATAAGGACCCGTGAAATTGACGTCAAAAATGACCGCTTTGGAGGCCCGAAACGGCTGCCTTTCCACCCGTAACTTTGGCCGGCGCGCCGCCCTCGACGACCTACTACTACACACGAATGCTGACTAAAACAGATCGCCTGCCATGTCAAATGGTGGTTGAGACGACTATATATGCCTGCGGATGCAGAGAAGTTAGAAGAGTGCCGGCTCCGTGCCCTGAACATCATCCCTGACCCTGGCCGGAGCGGAAGCTCCAACTCCGATTATTTCCAAGTCACGTTGAGGGTGCAGCCGAATGGTGTATGTGTGGAAGTTTGATGTTGAGGCGACATCAACCGGATCATTAGCCCCAAGATCGTCAGGCTTTTCAGATTTAGACGGATGATATCCGATAACTGGCGGAATCATGTGAGACACGAGGTCAAATGCGCGATGACAGGGATAATCAATGTATCGCATCGCAGCCAGTACTGCCGAGTAAAATCGCCAGAGATTCGACAACATCCTGGAGGCGCATTGAAAGAATAATTTCTAAACGAGGAATTTGGAATTCGACCGTTCCCTAAATGTACCATGTCAGGTGATATAACAAGGATCAGCGACCGTCATTTCAGAGGTTTCGAAACGAGGGCGAGGCACGTGAGATGAGTTATTCTAACTGAGCAAGCTCTCACTCAAGGTTCAGGGTGAACGCCTGGTCGAAACAGAAAGAGATTTATGATTTGTTCTTGGTATTATAAGGCTTCTCTAGTCCGGCCGGCTCATCTCGAACGGTACACTACAGGGCGCACACCGTCCCATCCTGGGATCTTTCGTGAAAATTGCATCATCCTTAGGCTGCCTTTTCGTCGATACGATCAATGTATACTCATACGAGGTACAAGCCACACGCGACTTGAGCTTCACCAGCAAACAGATGACATTTTCCATGTGGCTTCCAGTAGAGATTGCCGCTGTTTAAGAGTCGTGCTCCAGTGCACAGATTGTATGGGACCCTTTGCTTCTTTCGCGGAAGTTTTGCGCAGACCGTCTCCTCGCCTCTGACCAATTCTTTGAGGTCCAGCAATAAACGGTTTTCTTCCGTGGAAAATGGTAGGCCTTTAATCGTAGCAGGGGGTCGCCCATCAATGAGATCAGTACTCGAGCTGGGCTGGGCAGAGGAATGAGATTTGACGCATCTTGTCTCGAGTTTGGTTTCTGAGATGTATCTCGATATACAGGTGACCTCCATGTTGACACGCGTTGGGATACAGTGTGATAGTGCAAATAGTCAGGACAGCAGCTGTAGCCGGGATTCAATGCGAAGGGCCGAGAATTGACGAACGGTACAAGATAAAACGGTCTTACGACGGCGGGCCCCTCTAGCGGACCGGCGGGAACTACATATTAAACATCTAAGATTCCAAGCGGTCCCGTTCCAAGCCATTGCATCCAAGGCAAACTGGGACTACGCCAGCTTAAACCGCGGGCGAAGCATCGCCTAAGGTCTTGGGAGACTGTGGGCCGATGTGACACCCCTGTGTGCTTCGAAAAGCAAATTTGCAGCGGAAGAGCGGCGGGGAGACTGACGATGGCGAGGAGCGGGTGCCAATGGCTCGACTGCGCACGCCTTACTCGGCCCCGTCTGAGGTTAAAGCAGAGTGCGCCTATGGTTTTCGTGCGGAGGAGATTATGTCCTTGGCGTCATGTCGACTAGACCAAACAGGGGTGAGTCTGCACGTAGAAAACATGAAACTCGTTACCGGCTTCTGGCTGGCAAAGCCCTCAGCAATATCTTCATTGTCGGGATCTGCTTAGCCGGGGATTGCGGGATCGATGGGATCGAGGTTTGGCAGTTCTCCAGTCCAAACAGGCTTCTTAGGGTCAAGACCGGCAGTAACTGCGTAGCACGGCGCAGCACGAGCCCGAGAGGATCAGTGAGATATATCTGCCATTAGGCAGTTGCAACAGGGCGCAGCAGCCACGAAGGCAACCAAGCCGCGACAGCACTAGGCAGAGCAGCAGAGATCATCAACGAGTCAGACGCAAAGCGGCCGGTGACAATAACAATGCACCGTGGCAAGCATAGGCAGCATCGTAAAATTGACCGAAGACGTTAGGCAGGCGGCCATCGAGGGCATCGAGGGGAACAGACAGAGAAGGAGCAATTCGGGACTTGCTCGAACGAGGAGACTTCATTCAGTAGTCACTCAGTACAACCGCATCACGCAGAGCATGCTCGCCCCATGACCGGAGACCCTCTTTCACGGCGTCACTTGCGACAAGAGGCCACATCATCAAGATAGAGGGGACGAAGGAAGAAAGAGTGAGAGGAGTAAAGGAAGCAGGGCGATGTTGGGTTTTTTCCGCTCGGGCGAGTAAAGGCGGAGGTTACGTGACGGTGTTTTACAGGCTCTAAACCGGCAGCGGCAAAACTAACCGGATGAGGGAATTTACAGGTCCCGTTATCACAGCTCCGATTTCAGCGCGTGGGTAGGACATTTACGCAACCCCAGGTTCCTCGACTTTACAGATACGGGGGAAGGCCTAGACCGCACCAGATTCAAGACCAAGAAGGAGCTGGCAGCCTTTTCCAGTCGAACCAGGATCATCGTCTCTGGAAGAGGGTAAGGTTCCGCCTATCAGAAAGGCGTTAGTGCCATCCAAGCGGCATCCTCCTCGGTCATCCTCAGTCTGGCGAACACGAGAAGCTTGGATCCTGAAACGAAGGGTTTGTGGCGAGAAATGACGACGATACACTCCACTCGGGGCTGGCTCGCCAAGGTCACGGTCAACTGGACATCTGAATCTGATCCAATCTCTCGGATGAACGAGACTCGGATGCGCGACAAAGAAGATTGTCACACATGACTTCGCTAGAAGATCTTGACCGTCCAGTACTACAGTCAGCTGATCCTGTGTTAATATTAAACAGCCGGTATCAATCATATGCGCTCATGGGTTGAAGGGTCTGCTAAGCCCTCTCAAGGGGGGTTGGGAGGTCGACAGCTGAATGGACAAGGTCTAGTGTGAAGTCGATGGTGCACCCAGAAAGCCTATGTAATTGTATCACTGCTAGCTCTCGACGACCCTGCAACAGTATCAGAAGCCCAGCAATTTCGTAGCCAGTACCTCCTTGACCGTCATATTCTTGAGCTTATGGTAGCTTATTGATCCATTGAACCAATGCGAAATTAGTCACCCCCAAGCCACTCACAGTCCGTGACAGTGACATGCTGCCGAGTGAAGACAGGCTGGTCATAGACCGAGTATCATGCAGAATAGTATCGTTGGCCACAAGAAGCACAAGGTCAAGCGACTGGTTAGTAATTGCACAATGCCATCTCGGCGTGGCTGAACCTAGGCGTTTGCATCTTTTCCCCTCAACACCAACATCGAAAGGCTCTGGTGCAGCTACCGGCTGCAGCTCACTAAGTGTTGTTGTCTCCTATGAAACACAGTCCTGCCTGATCCGGGCTAACAGATCTACCAAATCCATCCACCTCTATCCTTTCTTCTTGGCGAGAATTCGAAACAACTCTAACAAGACCACTTGAGGTACTCAACTACTACTGTACTGAGTACTCGTCCATGACGGGGCAATTGTTCCACTCGCAAAGTGATGTGTGTCCAATTTGACAGGTGGGTCGGACCGTCAGTGGCGGTAATGACGACAGTTGGCTCAATTCTGAATGCATGTGAGAGACCTTCCACCCCCGACCAAGCCACTCCAGACTCCAGAGCACAGTGCATGCAGCTTTACCGGGCGGAGAGCTCTAGATTGACAGTGAAAGAGAGAGAGAAGGAGAGCAAAAGAACGAGTTAGTGGTGGAGCGCCCGAGTTGCAAAATGGAGAAATAGAACGTAGCCTGGAAAGTTGACTGCCCTGAAAATCCGAACCTGGCGTAGAGTTGGAACATTTCTGCTACGGGGGGAAACGGGGCTAGACAGAACTAGTAGACGGTCATTGACATTTCTGTTCATGCTAGCGACCAGAATGTGGAAAGTGAATACTCCTAACTCGGAAAAGGCTCGAGTACTATCACATAATGCCTGGTGTCCTTTGATCAGCTCGCCGATTCATGAGATGGCGTATGACATGGCCATGTGAAATACTTGTATGCAGAACCATGCTACACTATGAAAGACAGTCTCGCTCAATCCTCAAGACCTTTTGTCTAACATTGAACATGTATGTTCTGTTCCCATCAATTTGTGGAAAACATCGGGTTTTGCGCGGGAGGTTGGGAGAGCCCCAAAAACGCCAAAAGGAGGTCCGCAGTAAAAGAAGCGATGACATCGCCGCGAAGTGATTGCAGTGACGGCACGTTCGTCATCGGCGTTTTGGACGGATCTTCGGACTCGTCCCTTGGCTGTCACCCTTCCCCCCGCCCAAATGGACCCAAGGAAAAATAGATCACGTTTCCAAATTGTAATCGTTATTATTGTTATCTTTATTTTTCACTAAGAAGCAAGACATATTCAAAGCGGACTTATCCACCTTGTCCACCCCGGCCGAACAAACTGCTGCTGCTGGTCCCAAGACTTCTGAACTCTGACCTCATCTGCTCCCATTGCATCGCATCCTCGCCGGGCCCTACTTCTTACTCGGGTACTGCCCCTCTTCATATCAGAACTGGATCTTTTTCTTCCTTTTTTTCCCCTTCTCCAGAATCCTCGCTCTTCCCCTCCACCCCTCCCCGAGTCTCTTGCTGTCTCGAATGAATAGATCCTCGACGCAACCTGGAATCCTCCTGAAGTTTTATTTTCGCTTTATCTAGACTCTGAACCTTATCTCATCGTGGGGTCGTGATCCTGGAACTGCCCGGCTAATCAACTGCCAACGCTTCTCTCCACCAACTCTTCTCTCTTCTCCCATCGTCCAAAAATCCTTCCTGCTTCCTCTTCCCCTCTCCCCCTCCCCCATCCCCCAATCTGACAGACTCTCGACGCTTCGTCGCCCCAGCCTCCTTCACATCGTCATACCACAGTTGGAGACGACGTGAACCTTCCTTCCCTTCACTTTCCCCCGCCACCGATCTCACATAGATATCCCCTCGATCCAGGCAGTGATCGCAGATCTATCCATGATGAGCACGATACAGAACATCAAGAACTTTATTCGACACGGCAAGCAAGCCCGCCTGGTCACCCCGCACGCAGAGCCCACGACCGACGTCTCTACCGTCCACGCCGAACCCCAACCCCAGCCCCAGGGCCAATTTGCCCCCGCCCTCGGTGCCTTTGAGACGACAGAGGCCCGCCACCAGGCCGGCAACGGTCACGCGGCAGCCTCCAAATCCGAAGCCCAAGCCCAAGCCAAGCACGATCGGTCTGCAGAAATTGAGCGTCTGGTCCAAGAAGAGAGACATAGCCGCTCCAAGATGCCCCAATATCCCGGCTTGGACCGCTGGATCTTGCTGGAGAAGATGGGTGACGGTGCCTTCAGTAATGTCTACCGGGCGAGAGACTCAACGGGCCAATTGGGCGAAGTGGCCATCAAGGTGGTGCGCAAGTTTGAAATGAATAGCAATCAGGTATGATGAACACAGGGCTTTGGTTCCCTGTTTTCCTTTCTCTCTGCGCGTGATGATGCCCTGTTTGGTTCGCTTCTTTTGTCCCCGTGGTTACTCCGGTTTTGGTGTGGTCTTCTTCTTCTTCTTCTTCGTTTTTTGCTCTTATGCTTGCGCGTGCGTCTGCTCTCGTCTGTCCTTTCGGTTGGCAACTTTCGACTCCGATTCGCCGGTGCGGTGACGACAACACAACGTGCTTTCTGCGTCTCAGAAACAAAGAAAAAGGGGAATGATCCCTCGCCAACATAGCGTTTCTGTAGACCGATCCCCTTCATCCCAGCGTCAAACAGGTCCCACGGGCTGCGGAGGTGCGCATTCTAATCTTCCTCCACACACATGCATATACACACACACGCCTTCTTCCTCCAACGGTTGTGGCGACTCGTGTGCCACACTGTACTTCGTTGCCCTGTCTTTCCTGCCTCAGCGTGCCTTTTCTTGCTGCTCTCTTCGCGTGTCACTGTCGAGGAATTCCTCGAATTCTCGTCCTCCTCATTCGCCCTTGCTGCTTATGAGGAACCGTATAGGCTAACGTGTCGTAATTGCTTAGCGAGCCAATATCTTGAAAGAGGTCCAGATCATGCGCAATCTCGATCACCCCAACATCGTGAAATTGGTCGATTTCTCCGAGTCTCGGCAATACTACTACATCATTCTGGAGCTCTGCCCGGGCGGAGAGCTCTTCCACCAAATCGTGCGATTGACATACTTCAGCGAAGACCTGAGCCGCCACGTAATTACCCAAGTTGCAAATGCTATCGAATACTTGCATGAAACATCAGGCGTGGTCCATCGGTGAGTAATGATCGATCCTATTGACTGGAATAGGTCGGCCTCGGTACGTTCCGAACTAACCGAATCATGCTAGTGATATCAAACCCGAGAATCTGCTCTTCTACCCCGCTCCTTTCGTACCCAGCACACATCCCAAGCCCAAGCAGCCAGGTGACGAAGACAAGGAGGACGAAGGCGACTTTATCCCCGGTGTCGGGGCTGGCGGCATCGGCACCATCAAGATTGCCGACTTTGGTCTGTCCAAGGTGATTTGGGACAGCCAGACCATGACGCCATGCGGAACTGTGGGTTACACGGCCCCCGAGATTGTCAAGGATGAACGGTACTCGAAGAGTGTAGACATGTGGGCCATGGGATGTGTGCTCTACACCCTCCTTTGTGGCTTCCCACCTTTCTACGACGAGAGTATCCAAGTCTTGACGGAGAAGGTGGCGCGGGGACAATACACATTCTTGTCTCCCTGGTGGGACGATATCTCCAAGTCGGCTCAGGACCTGATCTCCCACCTGTTGACTGTGGACCCCGAGAAGCGATACACCATCAAGGAGTTCCTCGCTCACCCATGGATCCGCCAGACCAACGAAGAGACCACCGCAGCTGCCGACGCGCCTCCTTTGGCGACTCCGTACGGTCCAGCCCGCCAGGACGGCCCCCAGCTCAACCCTGTTGGCGCCGACCAAGCGCCCTACCAGCCCGCCAGCTCCCGCTTTCTGGATGCGCCTTCAGTGGCTGGCGACCGACGGATGGATTTCCGTTCGCCCGGAGCCTTCAATTTGCGTGAAGTCTTCGATGTGGGTTATGCGGTTCACCGACAAGAGGAGGAAGGCAAGCGTCGTCGTGGCCGTCAGCAGAATGCTGCCCGAAGCGGTCACCCGTTGGCTGGCTTCCAGTCTGCCCTGGGTTCTTTGAACGAGGACTATGATGACGAGCCGGAGTACCGGGGACGCAGTGAAGAGACCTCAGATCTGCCCCCTAACAAGGTCGCCAAGGGCAACAACCACGCAGGTGACATGGCTGGTATGGAGGCCAAGCTTCGGTCGACGAACCTTGGCACCCAGAGCAGTGCGGCTCAAGCTCGACAGGCCAACCGTCAGCCCAAGCAGCAGGGCTATGGGCAACACGATGCCAAGGTTGCTGCCGCGGCAAAGAGTGCCATTGGCAGAAGAACGCATGAGCCATTCGAGCTCAGCCTGGATGGCGCCACCCTGCTTGAGAAGCGTGGCCGGCGCAACCAGGGGCAGCCCGTTGCCTGAGTCCTATTTGATGAAAATCTGCTGCTTTCTTCAATGACATGATGTTGTGACCTTCATTGTCAGCGATGCGGCTCACTTCTTAATATGGCTTGTCTTTCTTCCGTGTTTCTTCTTTTTATTCTTTCTCAAGCGGATCACCTTTTGCATTGCTTATTTATCTGCCCTCCTCTCTTCCAACCTCATGAACTTGTATGACCATGCATCGAATCTGTTCTTGTCGAATGGACTTTGGGGCTCTTCCTTATCAAGTCGTTCCCATCACTGGGCTTCGACATCTTCGACGGAATCGAACTTGTCTTTCCAGGCAAGTCTCACCACGAGAGGTGGAAATGCTATTTTCGACATTTATGATTTTGTGGTTCAAGATGGTGGACTATCCTCTTCTCTACTATTGAAAAGAGCGCTCGCTTGCCCATCCCTACACTTTTTATTGTTTTGTGTCCCGATCTTCCCTGTTAAATCGCAAGCCCGAGTTGAACCGGAGTTGTTGTTTTTATTTTAGCTTTTAGCTTGGAACGGTGCTTGCAGGGGCTCACTTTATTTATCATACCATACTTTGACATGCTGTCTCTCTCTCTCTCTCTCTCTCTCTCTCTCTCTCTCTCTCTCTCTTTCGTTGTTTTATTCGTCGAAGATATAGTCTTTGTCAATACAATGGCAGTCTCAACATCCAGGCTGTTGAGATCGCGGCCATGCAGGTGGCCAACGTCTTCCTCCATAGCGTGGTCTTCAACAGTGTTACAGAAAGCAGGTATTCTGCCAAGCCTGGTCAAGTAGGCAGTGAGTGGTTCGTATCGACGGTGCAAGGTACTTAGGATATAGCAGTATCTACCATCAGTATCGAACAAGCTCATGATTGAGTAATCTATTATCTAGCAAAAGCTGATCAAGTAAACGTCCTGCGTATCATCAGTTCTATCTACCTAGTCGTGCACTGTACGCCCCGCTCAATAAGATCCTTCCAGGTGTGACTGATGCCAAAAAGATGGGATGAAGGACCTCCGCGCCACTTTCATATGATCAATCTTATAGCAGCGCTCGCCGTCGGGAATTTCCTAGCAGTCTCGGCTTGGATAGAGACGGGATGGATGATGCTTGCATAGCCATGTAGGCTAGTGCTTACCTTCTTTCCAGCGAAAATCAATCTAGTTGCTGGAATGATGGTTTGCGCGTGTGTTTATCCATACTGTCTTTCTCGGGAGTATATTCAATGAATTGAACATTGCTTGGGAAGGTCATGGGTATTCATCAGACAATGTCAACAGCGTCTGGGACATAGAATTCAAGGCTACGGACAAGAGCTTGATAGAATGAATTTTGGGGCGAGTCATAGAGGAATTAGCAGAAAAGTTTCGATGGAAAATTAGATTTGACTTTCATTAGGTGCTTCATTCCTTTTGCTCCCTGTACATGGTCTGGAGCAGTAAACGTTATTCACTATAGAGCCGCGGAAGCTTTTGGTAACTTCGTGGAAATATCACAGATGTGGCTGTGACCGCGGGGTGTGCGCCCCCGCTGGTAGAAATAAACGATTGTCTACTGTGCTTAAATCTGCTCGGTATGCCCCAACAGCCATTCCAAGTGACGGTAGGACGAGCGAGGCTGGTACTGCGGCTGCATGTGACCAGACTGGTACGTCTGTACCCACATCAGACCACGCTCGTAGTGCTGAAGACCCATGATGCCTTGCCCTCCATCCAGACCGGTCGCACCATTCTCGGCATAAACCTCCTTCCACTGCAGATCGGGCAAGTGGAGGTCGATAGGGGTCGAGGGTTCCTTTTGGAACCCAAGTTGACCGTTCCAGGTCATGTTTTGGATGGCCATCAGTGTGCCGTTGGTGATGATCACAAAGTCAAAGTCACCGTTACCGATCAAGACGCGGTTGGTGGCCTCGATGACCTTGGGGAGAACGTGTTCGATGGGGTTGGCAGCGGTGTCGCCCTCTTGTTCGGGGCCTGCAGAGCCGCCAACGTAAACGGGGGCATTGGAGCATTCGGCCCAGGTGACGTTGGGGGCGTGGAGAGCATGCTTGACATCTTTGCGGTCAAAGTAGACCGAGGCCCCCTTGGGGAGATACACCAGGGAGGTGGGGAAGGCGAGAACATCCCAGGCCAGGGGGCACATCTGGTTGACCTCGTAGAGGTCCCAGCAGGGGTTGATGCCGAGGGCTTCATTGTAGATCATGCTGAAGACGTCGCACTCACCCATACTGGTGTAGTTGAAGAAGAGAGGGGGCTGTTCCTTGGGTGGGGGGAACTTGAGGTACGTGTCGATGAACTCCTCGTACCCACACTCCTTGTGCAGACGCTCCAGTTCCGCCATGAAGGTCTCATTGAAGTTGAACAGGTTCTTGTTCTGCTGGACGAAAGGAACCGCGGGGATCTCTTCTTGGACGTAATCGAACTGACCGATGCACGGGTCATAGGCGAGGGCACCGCCAAGAGTGATGTTGGCATCGAGCAGGGCCGAAGAGATGTACGGGACGTAGCGGCCAGCATAGCTCTCGCCCGTGACGAAGACCTTGAAGTTCTTGACGCCGTATAGCTCTTGGAAGTTTTGGAAAAACTTGACAAATTCTTGGGCAGTCTCCTCTTGGGTGGTGGCTGTGGGAGTGCCGATGGAGAAGCCCGTACCGACGGGCTGATCAACCCACAACATATTGGTCAGATTGACCCAGGAGTATTGGTTCTCGACTGGGGCGTAAGTGCCCGGTAGCCACGTGAAACGGCCGTTCTCTTGAAGGAAGCCCTCCATGGAACTGCAGCCGGGACCACCGTTTAACCAGATAGTGACCTCATCGACAGGCTTGCCAATGGTCGGTTGGAAGATGTAGAAGAGGGCTCGAGACTCATTGTTCTTGTCAATGGGCATCAATCCCGAGTACATCTCACCGATATCGTATGGCACGTCCGGAAGGTGGCTGACCAAGTGATCTAGACACCGGGAAAATTAGTTACGGCTCATTCCCTTCTCGGCACTTTCACCAGGGGGATAAATGATAACAGCTTGGGAATACTTACGCTTGGTCTCCTTGTTCAAGAACCGGTACCCTTTATGGGATCGCACCGGCTTGACATGTGCGGCATCCGCAGCTCGCTGGGCTCTCTCCAGAGGATCACGAGCAAGCTGCGCGAAGCGCCCATGCTTAGACGCCGCGGCGGTCTCAAACCCCAGAGACAAGGCCAGCGCCGAGGTCAGAATCGACCTGAAGAACATGATGAATGAGGCCCGATAGGGATTCAGGAGATCCCCAAGTTTCCAGCAAAAAGAGGAAACTACAAGCAAGAAAATCAGGTCAGGATTCCTACACACCAAGGGTCAAACGCTCGTGACTCTAGGCGCGAGGGACGCCTTTTAAACCGACAGGGTCTGCAAAAGCTAAGCTTTGCGGATAAGACCGCACCTCGGGGACCATGTCATCATGGTACAGCTCCGCCGATAAGTATGGCCCACTCCATTTTTTTTATGCTTTCGTCGGTCTGCTTCTCTGAATCGTGGAACTCCCACGGGCGTCCGTTGTGTCTGGAGATTCTAAATGGCCTGCTGCAGAACCGAGGCGGCCCACTCGACTCCACCGGGCGTTTGCTTCTTCGACGCCATCAGCTTTCCTCGAGTGTCTTTGGCTGGGAGGATCTCTCTTCCTCTTTCTCTCCTCTTTCTTTCCTCGAAAGCGTGACCATGACTCCATGGAAACCCGGTCGGATCGCACGGATCAAGCGGGGAAGATGGCAGATGTCCCCCCATCTTTGCCCGAAGTGGCAGGTCCTCATGTTGGCAATGTCTGCATCCGCAAGTGCTTTCACGTCTGGATTCGAGGCTGTTTTCGCCTGGAGATCGGCGTTGCACTTCCATTTCGCTTCACACCGTTTGGTTCGCCACAGATCAGCATCGTCACGCTGATTGCTGTGGTCGCTCCCTTCCGTCGCTGTTGATTTAGATTTGCCCTTATTGGCTTCAAACGGTAGAAATCGATGGTTAGGGAGGAGTCAGTCCGGATCAGCGTCGGACTTCCGCATCGCTTCGTGCTGGGGTCCACTTCAGGCTGCCGTTTCCAGATAACCGCGACGCTGTACATTTCGCAAAGCAATAGATATGTAGAGGGAAACCTCAATGGTGGGCTCTTGCGATACACTTGATGACTCGGTTATCTGCTTGTCATAGTCTTTGCAGATCGCAGAACTCCAGACGGCCCTTATCTTCTGATGCTATTACGTACTGGTTGCGTGGTTTGAGCGGTGACACTTCCACATCGGTTGAACATTCAGTGCTTCAGGCGTGCAATTATCGTCAGCGGAGAAGAACAGCAGTCCAGGTCGTCTGGGCGGCCTGGAAAAAAGTTACCGTCCCTCGGCCAAGAGTCTTCAGGCCCAGTGTCGAGCTTTTGAGGCCACTGTCGCGCAATGGGCAATGGTATCTATTTTGAACTCTGCTCGGGCTCTACGCGATCGACAGGTCTAAACAGGGTAGGTAACCTGACGGAAGCCGTAAAAGAGCGCTTGTCCGACATTTCAGAGACAGCGACAGCGCTTTCTCCATGAAATCAATCAATGTATATTCAACTATCGTGAGCGCGGTGCAATTCGCGCAAATTAGCTCTGAACATTATCTCGTCGTGGTAGGCAGTGAGCAGTGAGCAGTGAGCACAGGGTGGAGAGGCTAAGGATCGCTAAGCTTTGCACTTGTCCCGCCCCGGATGCTGGTCCGATCCGTCTGGGCCGGAGCTTTATCTGCTGGGCGACCAAGACCCCAATGATTTCGCTACAGATTCACCAGCTGTGTGGAGCACAGGAACTTGCTACCTATCTGGTGCTGCAACCCACCGCTCTTGATCTCTTCTTTTTGGATGAAGTCCTCTGTGACACAAGTTCGGGGTGGCCTGGCCTATTACTCTGGAGTCCTGACAGAATATATCGAACTATTGAACGTCCCGTCCAAAAGACACGCTATTTCTCTCCATAGACTTGACAAATTATTTCGACAGTAGTACTACCTCCAGACAGAGCCACGCCAATATCCCAGAATTTGCCTCCGCCTTCTTCTTCTTCTTCTTCTTCTTCTTCTTCTTCAGCCATGCATCGGAGCCCCGTCGCTTCTAGACTCCACGGGCCCGTGGTCAGCCCGTCAAGCGTGAAACCTGGCGCGAGAGATCTCCATGTGTGCCTACTTTCCCCTGACTTGTTGGATCGTCAAGCTCGTACAAGATGAAAAGGGCTTCCGGGATCTTGCGCCGCGTGTCGGTCAACGCAGTTGAGCATGCATCTAAATGGTCATCGAGAAACCATGCATTACCGCCATGTTGGAACGAACCGACCGACGTGGCATGGAAATTGCAGGATAAGGAAAGCAGGTCTCGAGCCTGTCGCACCCAAGAGGCTGAGGGATGCTGAACGAACTTCTTGTAAGAGGCGGGATAGTCCAGCAAACCCGCGAGGTATGACGTGGAAGGGTGACGGACTCGCCATCTGGGTGCGACATGAATGATTTCAGGTTCAAAACTTGGGTTTACGTCGCCCATGGCGATGGCAGTGATAGCGGTGGTGTTGACGATTTGATAGTGCGATATAGATCGCTTGCTTTCCGGGTTCTATCTCGTTAGCGTAGTCGTCCTAATCGGTAGCGTTAATAGCCAGTTAGTCAAAGTGGGATGTTGTCAGAAACATCCCAAAATTGAAATCTGGGCATTGATGCTTTATCTTCGTATGAGTCCATCCACGTTGAGACTGAAGCCATCAGATCAGTCTGTGTCCGATAAGTAGACAAGCTGTTAATCCTCTCAAGCATCCATTTGGTTTCAGTCGCTTGACCGGTATACCTCTTTCGTTTATTCATTCTTTCTTTCATCCCTCGAGACAATCCATCTCTTCTAAATTCTACCCCATTACTATCCATCGATAGTGGGCAATTAGAGTAGCACCGTACGGTCCGCAATCGTCTTACCCGATGAGGCAATCACTTACAAACTCTCCACCCTACGAAAATGGAGCCTGTCAAACTTCCGGGGGCCATTTCTTTGCAGATAATCTCCATATCCCAACACCCTGCTGAAGATTCACTGATCATCAGCCATTACCATAGCCCGATTTCTTGATATTCCAGTCTCAAAACTTTGTTTCTGAGGTCTCCCCGCGTTGGAGAGATGATAAGGTCGAGAGCAACAAGCGCCCTTCACACCAAGATGTTCGTCATGGCATGTGATACTGCCGTCTCACCGCAGCACTTAGCCTAGATAGAATTTCTCCTAGCCAGTCAGTCTCACACTCATCCCTCTCTTATATTGTGATGCTGTACCGACTGTAGCCACCTTCCATCACAAAACATTGACGATGGGGCTCCTCAAGCCCTCCCAACTCTCACAGCTTCAAATAACTTCATTTTTCATCGCCCAGTAAGGTCAAGGAAGCTCTTCAACCAGGTGGATACGACCGCCCTCGCGGTGCTGGACAGCTACTAGCGGGCCAACACCACAGCTCACCGGCGCGGTCGACTGCGCGATAGACAAAAGTGATGACATCGTGTTTAATTGTGCATCCGGCCAGGCAGGATTGAATCGAAGTTCATCAATGTCGCTTGGCAATACCGTCTGACTAGCCTCATGCACCAAACTTATCACCAGCACCGCATGTATGCAGCTCGTCGACGGGAAAAAGCTGGCCCTTGACAATTGAGACTAATCGAGCCTATAGCGCCGCTCTTGGACCACAGGCCAACCCGGTAGACACATAGCTGGAGCTCTTCACTACCCACTTTTGATTGTAATGTTCATGAGGCTCTGGCCCGAGTGTGGGCGAAGGAGCTTGGTCGCTCTGACGGCATTACCGTGAACAGTGTCAACCCAGGTTCAGTGGCTGGAACGGATGGGTTATTCCATCTCGCGTACAAGTGTCTCCTATGAACACTGACACTGTTCCAGCAGATCAATGACTCCAGAGTGATCGTCAATTCATCAAAGAAATGGTACTCATGATTCAGGAGACCCCTGCGGCTTCTCGAGTAAGCGAGATTGAGGACATTGCACCCCCGTCAAGTTGCAGGCCTTTGTAGCGATGATGCCAGATAGGCTACCAGCTCTGCTTTTTATACCAACGGTGGTCTGTACAATTGATCTAGATCTCCTTGGTAATCGACATGGAGAAGTTGTGAGTAGAAACATCATGTCCTTTTCGGCACCTTGCCCTCGCTTGTAGCGTCATAAAACTCCGCGATACTTCGAGCATCGAAAATGAGGGCTTTCTTGCCTTGGGAAGAATTTTGAAAGATGAGATATTGCATCTGAACCCAACCCGCACGGGAATTGCTCGCAAGATATGTGTCGACGACTGGAGAAATACGACTCTGTTCTTCTCGAATTCTCACTCGCGCGTGTTGCTCTTTCCCCCATTCCTCTATATCTTTCGTCATGTCTTGTACCGTGTTGTTTTCCTCGATATCCATAACTTTCCACTCCTTGTTCTGAATGACAATCAAAACAAACTCAATGTTGATTTTCGGAATATTTGGGCCGATTCACCCTAGTGGTAGTATACATTTGGGTCTTGTCTTTCATCCTTACCTCCAACTATCCGGATACAGGTCATTCGCCATCCGAGACAGTCAGCAAGAGTGAGACCCTTTGTCATTGATAATGTATTGGGGATTCTCAGGCTCCGCTTCTTGACCCTCACAGGCTGAAGATGTCTTCGAGACGTCTCAGCGTTTAGGCATACCTACATTTGCGGATCACGTTGTCGGTAGAGAGACTATCGTGATTCGGTGCGGTTGAAGATGTACTCAGTTTGCCTGGAGCTGCGGCTCATCTAGGTTATGTGGGTCATCAGTGTCTCCATTACATGTTTGGTAGTCACTGTTGGAGGATCTTTTCAGAGGTGTGTAACTATACTGTACCTCTATCTAGATCAACTTGATCTGACAAAGACATGGAACAATCAAGAAAGACTCCGTGCTCCGTGGAAAGCACCCACAGAGGCTTCAACGTGCCGTGACAGCGTGGAACTGAAGCCGGGGGGATCGCTTGGCATCAATGGGCCCAAATCTTCACCTTTACTTCCCGAACCAACACAGTGCCCATTCGCTTGACTGTCTCTTACAAGGTCCCTGCAATTTGGCTTCCAATGTCAGGCCGTTTTGCTCGATCGTCTCAGAAAAGAGCTCACGACTGTCTGGGCCGTGGTGAAATCAAAGGCAACAAACATATTTGCAAGCTGGTGGCAGCCCAATCTGATAACTCGACGCGGGCAAGTTTCCCGTGTCTCGGTGTTGAGTGTTCAGATGGGCGGCAAACGTGCGGTATTATGTAAGACCAAAAGGCTTCGGCCCGTCCAACTTGGCCTGTTTTCCGAGGACTGTCTGGGCGCTGGAAAATCGTGCCCCTCCACGACGACCGCAAGATGCAGATTCAACGCAGCTTGCGCATCACACCATAAAATGCAGAACTGCTTCTCCATTTCTGCGCGAGTGCCCAACCTCGCAGACCGGAGTCGTGGGAAAGATCACTTCGGCTATTAGGGCGGCAGGTGGAGGAACTCATCCGCCAACCCACATTGTGCTCCTGCCAATCAACCAGCGACTCCAACGTCTTCCTCTGACGCCAAAGAAGGTAATCGAGGGAGAAGAGCCACTGCCCGTAACCTGAGGCCAATGGGGAATCCTCCGCCTTCTGAGAACCCCAGTCTGCCGATGAGTCTAATTCAGGCTCAGGCTCTTTTCTTGACTAATGGCCTCGTCTTGGCCCCCGCAGCTATAGTTTTTTTTTTTCTCTTCGCCCTTCCTTTTCCTCTTTGACGACCAGCTTTCCAACAGTGTCTCGTTGGAAGAGAGAAAAAAAAAGCAAAGTTGAAACTAACATCGCTCAAGGATAGCCAAAAGGAGGGCCACTTGTGGAGTATGACGAAAGATGGTGATGCTCGTGAATTAGGCCATACGGTCTCACAAGATGGTCATGAAGTGCATAGCGAAACCATAGCTTCTTCGGAGGTTCAAACCGTGGATTTTGGTCAGACCGAAAAGGGATCGCCCTCATGTTTCGCTGCTGAGCCACAGGAAATCGACTCCGACAAGCAGGCCAAGAGAGGTGCGTCGGACCATGGAGCTGAAGGAGATGATCTCGATCGCCATGCGTCGACAATCGCTCCATCTCACCGGTCTGTTCAGCGAGACCCGTTGAGCCGAGTCACCACCGATGCAGAAGGCAACACCTACCCGGAAGGTGGTCTGCAAGCATGGTCGGTGGTGATTGGCAGCTTCTTTGGGCTCTTTGGCTCACTGGGCCTGGTCAACACCATCGGTACTTTCCAGGCATACATCCAGACTCATCAGTTGCAAGATTACAGTTCAGGAAGTGTCGGATGGATTTTTGGAGTGTATGCATTCCTGGTCTTTGCCTGCGGAGTGCAAGTTGGACCGATCTTTGACGCCCAGGGCCCACGGGTGCTTGTCTTTCTCGGTTCGGTATTAGAGATGGCCATGATCATTCTTCTAGGGTTCTGCACCAAGTACTGGCAATTTATGTTGGTGATTGGAGTGCTGGGCGGCGTCGGGGCCTCGCTCATCTTCACTCCTGCCATCTCTGCGATAGGTCATTACTTCTACGTCCGACGGGGGCTGGCGACTGGAATCGCTGCCACGGGTGGGTCCGTGGGAGGCATCGTATTCCCACTGGTGTTACAAGCCCTGTTCCCCAAGATCGGATGGGGATGGGCCACTCGAGTAGTGGCTCTGATCTGTTTGATCGCGTTCGGACTGGCCAACCTGTTGATTCGCTCACGACTGCCAAAGAAGCCCTTCTCAAAGGAGAACATCATGCCCGATTTCCTCATCTTCCGCGACGTGCGATTCGCCTTGACCACTGCTAGCGTATTCTTTATCGAATGGGGCATGTTCATCCCCATCTCCTACATCACCTCCTACGCTCTGGACCATGGCTTTTCCACCGATTTTTCATATCAGATTCTGGCCATTCTGAATGTCGGGTCGTTTTTCGGCCGTTGGTTACCTGGATTCTTCGCCGATTTCCTGGGTCGCTTCAACGCTTTGATTGTCACAGTGGCACTGTGCCTGTTGACGAATGCGTGCCTTTGGCTCCCAGCCGGAGATAGCCTGGCGCTGATCGTCATTTATGCGCTGTTATTTGGATTCTCGAGCGGGAGCAACATCAGTCTGACCCCGGTTTGTGTGGGGCAGTTGTGCAAGACCGAGCACTATGGACGCTATTACGCTACAGCATATACCATTGTCAGCTTTGGGTAAGCCATAGAATCTCACCTTGGCGGTGCTAAGTCATTTTAGCAGGGGAACTGACTCAATATGTTCAATGCTCACTAGGACCCTGACCGGTATTCCCATCGCTGGAGAGATTCAATCCCGCACCAACGGGGCATATTGGGGTCTGATCGCCTTCACCACCACCTGTTATGCGATGGGGTTGATATGCTGTACTGCGGTCAAGGTGATTGAAGTTGGCTGGCGTCGTCCATGGGCAGTCTACTGATAATGTCTATTCACAAAATTCAAAATATTCGCACGCTAGGCAACCAGATAAAAGTGGCAATGGTATGATAAAAAAAACTCCAAAGAATGCAATGCAATTCGTAAGGCTATGAAACATCTATGTATGACATGAAAACTTTTTTTTGTCTTTCTTTTCTTACATGATTGCTCGTCCACGAGTCTCAATCGGCAGACAAATCATCGCCACGGCAGCGGCAAGAATCAGGCCGCCAGAGGCGTAGATGGGCGCATCGGTGTTACTTCCCGAGGCATAGACCGCCACCAGGGGCGCACAAAGACCGGCAATCCGGTTCAGACAGCTGCAGATACCCGTCGCCGTGCCTCGAACAGGGCCAGCATACACTTCAGGAGTATACGCATAGAGGACACCGTAGAACATGTTCTGGGCCAGATTTTCCACACACGAGATGCCCAGCTGCGTGTTGGCGTCGGGGGAGATGGTGAAGCAGAACAAAAGAACACCGGTGATCAAGGTAGCGGTGGCCATGGTGGCCTTGCGGCCGATCTTCTCGACGGTCCAGCACGCCAGAATACTGCCGGGGACACCGACGATCGACGTGATCGCGTAGTTCCGGTACGTGATGTAGCTGGAGTTGACCTGGCCGCCGGACTTGGCGAGGTATTGGGGCAGGAAGGCGTTGAAGAGAGGGTAGCCCATACCGATGGTAGCCCAGATGAACCAGAGGAGAACGGTCTCGACGCCCAGACGCTTATTGACGAAGAGAGCGCGGATGCGGTGCATGGAGAACTTGGAGAAGAAGCGCTGGACGATCTGGCTGACGGTGAGCTTCTGGGTCTCTTGGGCTTCGGCGTAGCCGCCGATTTCGTTGAGGATCTCGTTGGTCAGCCATGTCTGGGTTTTGTTCTTGTAGGCGATTCCGTGCACGGAGGCGACGGCTTCTTCTTGGCGGCCACGGGACAGGAGGTACTTGGGTGATTCGTAGAGGTGGAAGAAGAAGAATCGGGAGATGAACATGCAGAAGGTGATGGCGCCCAGGGTCAGGATCAGGTACCGCCATCCCCAGTTCTGGGATTTGGTACAGCCGTCCGCGCTGGCACATGTGAAGGGGGGAATGAAGGCCCAGGCCAGGAGACTGGAGATGAGTTGGCCGACGGGCCACCAGACGCTCAGCAAGGTCAACATGTTGCCCGAGGCCATGGGCAGGAACTCGAGGAAGAGAGTTCCATCGACGGGCAGGTTGCCACCGACACCGAGACCAAGACAGGAGTACAAGGCGCAGACACTATCGACGATCTAATTAGCCTGGGGGCTCTCGATCATACCGACAGCGATTGAGCAAGGGAGAATGAACAAACATACCCAATCCAGCTGGAACCGCCGCCAGCGGCAAGACCAAAGGTGCCAGCCAGGAACAAGGTCATGTTGAAAGCCAGTCGGCGACCCACAATATCCGAGGCGATGCCCCAGAAAGAAGCACCGATGCACAGACCCAGGAACAGAGCACAGGTCGTGAACCGGACGTGTGACTCGGAGATGCCGAATTCATATGAAATTGGGGTCAACGTGAGAGCGATTCCCTAATTTACCACGATTAGTCTCAGCTTATCACAATAGGCCGAATGGGTTCTTCATCATTGGGAACATACCTGGAGCCAAAGACTGTGAAGTGAGGAAGAATCTAGGGTTAGCCAATTTTTGACTGTGTACGACCAACCCATCCCCAAACTTACTTGTCTGCAAGCCACCCACAGCCACAGAGGGCAAAGAGCTCCCATTGGTATCGGCCCATGCCAATGTCTTGGAGAGCCCGGTTCACCACCTTGGCTTTTCCTGTACGAGTCCTAGGGTTAGCAACTGGCGCAGGTTCCTTTCCAAGACGTTCCGAGATCTGATCGGATCATCATATACTTACGGTCATATGAAGTGTCACTTCCAGAAGCGACAATATCCGCTTCGACTTCGGCTCGCAAAGCTTCTAACGTCAAGGGAGTGCTGGCTTTTTCATTTTGGCCGGAGCTGCGGGATGAGGACGCACGGTCCGAGGCCTTGTCATCTTTTTCAGTCAGGTCTGGCGAGACGTGAGTAGCGGAGGCGGGGGCCAAAGGAATGACCACGCCGGGGAAGTTCTGGCGTTCTCGTTTCAACGGGTTAAAGTTGGCGAAGCCCATGGTGGCGGATCAAGAGATAGGCGCTTTGGAGGATTGCCTTCAGCCGGGCTTCTCGTGAGAGATTGCTTTTGTTTTTTTTTTGTTTTTTTGGCGCTTTGGGAGTCGACAGGGTTTGCTACAACCAGCAATGGCGATCGAGTTTCCGTCTCTTTTAGGATCAAAAGGTGCAATGGAAGCAAAGTCGAAATCGGAAACCGGCTCTCGGTCGAGGAGTGAGCAGATCAAGTCGGGCCGCAAAGGGGAATGTGATATCAATGTCGCACGGGTGTACAGAACAGATTAGGTCAAGACGTTGTGGGAAGTATACAAGCGTTCGAGGCACCAGCTACTTCAGCACGATTGCAAGACTGTCTTGATATTCGACCCTAGATTGATTTTTGGACAGTAGTGCTTGACAGCCTGGTCGATATCAAGGCGTGTCCGAGGGCGAGGAAGCAAGGAAGATCCAAGCCCGGGATAAGGTAATGAGTGGTGGAGCGTTGACGGAGGTTGATGGCTGTGGTGAAGGGAAAAGGTAAGGAACTGAAAATGATATTCTGAGGGATCTCTGGAGCACTAAATACATCACGCCTAATGGGGCCAACAGTCGGATTGCTTAAAAACTTTTCCTCACGGTCAGGTCCGACAGGGTCGAAAGGAAAACACGGGTTGACCGATCTGCTACACGCAACGCCAAGCCAGCTCGAGCCAAAGCGGACTAGTGACCCAGTGAGCCAGCGAAGCGGCGGGCAGAAACGCCCTGAGACGGGTGGATGCCGTGGAACCCGAGGCCCAAACCGGACACACGGTTCACGGAAAAACTCCCGGACCGTTGGGATTACGGAACCGTTTGTATCAGAGATACGAGGCCACGAGATTGAGAATCACTGCTTCGATGCCCTCCAGATGAGAATTTATCATATGTAATACGACATTTCAGGATCTACATACGCCATTCTTGTACACTTATACCTGCAGGCTCTGATGTCTGACTCACGGCTGATGTACTCAGAAGAGAGGTATGACGTCCATCTTGCAGCCTCGGGGCCTACTGTACTTTGGTCAGTCTTGTATCTTCGGACCACCCATGTATCGGTGAATCACCTGATCGGGCAGGAAGACGTGTGTGTACCGAAGTTTTTTCAGTGATGTCGGTCGATTTCCTTTTCTATCAGTCTAGTAGTCAATTCAAGTGAGTCTACCACACGACGTGCACGCGGTATGGTACTTTCTGTCATGACACACCTGAAATTGGGTGAAGTGAAACGAAACACGTTCCTTGCATATACAAAACATCTTCCATGACTTTTTCGAACAATCGGGCTTCGATTATGCATCTGTCCTTAGTTAGGTGTCGAACAAAGCTTATATAATCTGCTATGATCAATTTCATGATCACACGTTTCAGATCGCTTATCTCAAATACTATGTCACTCATGTGAGACGAATCGATAGGCGATGACCCTACTCGATATACGGAGGCAGCACTGCCGAAGCAGCGGGACTGAAAAAATACGATATGAAATGGTAACATATATACCGTATATCTGTACCCTAGCACGGGCGGATCTCCACGCCTCCCGACGCCGACGTCATCTTCAGACTGTTGAGCCTGCAACATCCTGCTTTTTTATTCCCCTCACCATTGAGTTCCTCTTAGACGTGGTGTACGCAGTATATACTACACAGCACTCATCATGCATAATGAGCACACGACACCCACACTTCCATACATCACACAAGAGTATGGGGCATGTTCAACAGGATAGGCCATCTATCGCATCTCGGTCCAGGTTCGTCGGTGGCGCACACCTCCCGCTTCCGGTGAATCGGCCTAAGTTTTCCGAGTGGAGAATTGGCGACTCGCTTGTCGACGCCCGCCGGATTATCTTGAGTTTCGGGTGATCGGACGAACGACCACTGGAGATTGTTGGCAACTCTGCGTCCGATCTCAAGGTACCGATGGGCTGCCGACTGCCCAGTGCAGGGAAAAAGAGGCGCTGCAGGTTACCAGCCTCACCAGTCATGCTTATAATCATTGCTCCCATGTTCCTTCAGCCACTCCCGTCCGTGGATCCGATACACTCGAGCGGGAAAGGCTGATGGCAAACGAACTTTCTGGACTTTCCCACCTCTCCTCTGCCGCTATTCTTTCGGGTGGGCACGGAGGAGGGGTACACCAGAGTGACTAGACACCAGCAGCACCCCTCGCATACCTCGGTAAAGGAACTTGCGACCGACTCCAGTGCGGCTGCCTTAGTGCTGTTGATCGCCCTCCGCGAGTGGTTTGACGGGTACCTCTGGTACTGCACCATTGCACACCGCAGATGCTGTACCCCCTCCAATTTCGGCGGAAAGACTTCGGCCGGTTGATCAGATTTGACAGGATTCATGGCAGCCAACAGGTGATCTTTGCTCAAATTGGGTGCTCGGACCCTCTTTACTATCAAGGCGATCCTTTAGCAAAGACTGACCAAATGTAGGAACTAATCTCCTTTGATAAATACCCAACATTACGATAAAAAAGACCCAGAAAATCAATATTATCAGAAAACGCTATACTTAAAAGGGGCTAGTGACCACTAAGCCGTCGACAGGTCTTTTTCTCTACCTCCCCGGCCTATAGGTGGTGAAATGGAATCTAGACGCAAGACTTCATTGCGGAGCGGTTGCAGAATACTACACAATATTGTATTTGCTGCTTTGCTGGTGGATCTTGAATGATCCTTACTATGCCATAAGGTGTATGGCAGAGGGGGAGTTTTCAGAAGTGTCTTTGGGCCTGGTGCATTCTACCTACTAGCAAATGATGGGTGGGCCCAAGAATACAGAGGCAGGACCCGTGTTGAGCTTCATTTCCGGAATACCAAACATTTAAACGTTTGACATTGGAATGCCTTTCGGTCTTGACTCAATAGTGCATGATATCTGTCTGGTAATATACCCAGGTGTACCTGTTCGTGGAAAAAATTAAAGAATGGCGACTTAAAGTCGTGTCTCGTTACGGAATTACCTGGGTGATTTCCTCACCGTTACACCACGTACATAAACTACTTGACATTATATGTTACACTAAGGCTTCGGTGCTTCGGAGGGGGTGCCAGAGTTACGTGCTAAGCCTAACTCGCGGCCATTAATTAGTAAATACTGTCATACGTGTAGTTGGAGCTATATCTTACTGTTCCCATGATTCAGGTGACAAGCATTGATTATTTGCCGAATGACCGTCCAATGCTATTTCACATTTCAAGTTAGCTGGCTTCATTTTTGCTAAGGGCCCGACTCACCTCGTCCCCCAGATGGTCTATTGGCTGGCCCCGTGGAACAGGAATGCTTTGGCAGCAACGACATGGGATCATTGTGTTGTTGGGATGAAAAATTACTGTTCTGCTCTTCGCTTTCCCCAAATAGCCTCGATAGTTCGGCTCTGTACATTCCCGGCTGGTGTGAGAGAACTGCCATCATAGGGTTGGAAGCCGGAAATAGAGATTCAGAGAAACTTTGCGGCTTACAGGGTCGCTCGAAATTAGTTTCACCTTGCCCTGAAACGAGGAACGAGTGAAGGGGTTACTACTATGCGCGAGCTGCCCGCAAAGTTTGGCTTGCGTTCGTACTGCAAAACCCTTGCCCATTCTCGCCACCAATTCGTCAATTTCGGCGCCAAGAAGTGTTCTGCTTCGCTCGAGTCTATCCTGGCTACATTGTCTTATTGCTCGTCGACTTCTGCATCCATCTTAGCTCTTAGAGTTCTAGGGTTTCGTACCGCACTTCTGTCTACGTTTCCCTTCTATGACTGGCTCGTGCTAGCTCGTCCTTGCTTGGACAACTCTTTTCTTGACTTGAATTTTCTCAAGGCATTGATTGATATTAACTTCCGCGCTTGGCGTTGTTTATTCGCTGGCTTGTGGAATCCCTCACTTGTTTACGAGGCTCTACAGCTTCACTGACATGTGAGAGTACACTAAGTGCTGTTGGGACTTCGGTTGCAAGTACTTAGCTTGGTAGCTTGACTGAATTATTCGGTCTATTCACGATTCAAATAGATCCGATCGGCTTCAGCTACTATCTTCCGTAACTATAAGCACGCTACGACCGTTTAGCCCTGGCTCCTTGCACTCCCGATAGGCCTGATATCTTCGACTTTTGCACTGATTTCTACAGTATTTTGCGATATTGCGATGTCTGTATGATTCCCCGCGAAAGCATATTGAGCACATACGACCATAGGGAGTGGAGAACAGGGCTTCCCATCCGCTGAGCCGTACTTAAGCCACATATAGTATGCGGCTAATTCTCAAAGCGCCCTGAGTCTTGAATGGCGTCTGATTTCATCTTAGGGTGAGTGTGGGTGATTTGGGTGAGAAGTGCGGAGACTGGGTGGATAGAGGTGAGAACGGGGTGAGAGCGTGTGAGAATTCTCATCAAGGATCACCCACATACCCACTTTGACTTGGAGACCAGCCCATAAGTATGAGCACTGGGTGGCTTCCTGGCCTTCTGTTCTTATTCCTCAAAGCTCAGCCGTTTCACAGAAGATGTTGCTGAAAGACTTCCAAAACGAACTCGAGGAAAGAAGTGCATGTGCTGCGTCACGTGGCTTCACCCTTGAGTATCAAAACAAACGAGAACAAGAAAACAACACCATCTGCCTTGAACAGCTCGCTCCGGCTACTCTCATGAAGTATGAAAATAGAGAAAAAAAAATTGGCCTTGTAAGTACTGCTATGGACAACTACAGGTCTTGGCGCTAATTTCTGCAGATGGAGACTTTCCCGGCACGAAGCGATCAATGCCAATTTTTCCAAGAATGAACCTGATTCTACCCCTAAATTTTTGAAATCTTTTGCCAAGGACTAATTGCAACAAGAAAAAGAATACCTTCGCAGAATTCTGCATGTCAGAATTTGATAAACTTCACGTCAAGATGGGAAAGAGAGACGTTTCGTTCTCTGTCGAGGCCTGTCAAGGACGATGTTCTCAACGTAAGACCACTGAATCTCCTCAAGGCTATTCCTCCTTACAAGTTGAAGCATATTAGGTAGGATCTGACCGTCAACTATCAAATGCGTACAAAGCCACGAGAGCGTTTTATGGTCACTGCAAAGGACATTGACTACCTTCTTCGGGGCCTTTTCGGCGATGATTGGCACGATTACAAGCACGAGAGAGCACGTGTACAAACTGGGAGTGCTCTTGCCCTATTTGCTGGCTCAGGTACCAGGGCCGGTGCTATAGGGGAATCGAGCACTTATCTTCACCCTAACGAATGTCTATATTATGGGGTACGTTTGGACCGTATCCCTCCCTATTCCCTCCCTATCCCTAGAAAGTAATGAAGCTAACCGAACCGTCAAAACATCTGATATTTATTATGAAATGGAGTACCAGACATGAATAGAAACGCTAGGTGACGACTGATTCCGAGTTTCTAAAAGGATGGCGCTATCGCGATGACAAAGATTTCTAAGTGCGAATAAGCTTTTGTGGAATTTGACTGCTGACTTTAAGATAATAGGTTAAGACTAAAAAACTGGTTCAGAGAAAATCCGATTCTAGGAATGAATGTTGTTTTTACTGGGTGATAGTGCATGGAATTACTGATGGCGCCTTTAAGGGTCTGAGTACAGTGGCAGACGTTCTCGCTGTGAGAACTTCAGAAGGGAGAGAATCATATATACTTGAGTGGAATGAGAGTGTGAAGAAGCTTCCATTCCTTAGGATGTTGACTCCAGAAGGACCCCATCGAAAGGAAGGATTATCCTTTTCTTCTATGCACTAAAATTTCACCTGTCTAGCTCAGCGCAGTGCTTCAAGGACCCACTGCGCGTATATAGGATTCGTGGTGCTGTTGCAAATTGCACTGACCGTAAGTCATTCCTGTTCTTCTCAGACAATCAGCGCTTACATTATTCAGCCAAGGCATCGGAGGCGACCTGCAGTCAGGCTCTCGATCATCAAAGCCATAACACATATATTAAATACCAATCTGTGCTGTAATCTTTGGATATTTAGGCCCTGTTCTCTGATTTGCTGCCTGATTATGAATGTCGGGACATGGAGTAGAGCATGGCTCACCACAAAGACCCCAATGGCCCCTAGAGATTGAACGTAGCTGCTATCAAAGCATTTGAAGAGAGAGTCGATATCAAATCTATGAATCGGAGAATTGCTTATCTGACTTCAGAAATCGCCGGGGAGCCCCAGCTACATAATGAACTTGCTGCTGAACGTACAAATCTATATAGCAGGAATTACAGGCTCTTGGAAACCTGGAAGAACGAATTCATACAGAAATGGTGGTATTCTGCATACAACGAATATATATCAGGAAATGGATTCACGGAGCGCGATATGACCTGTTTATTTAAACTTTTCAAAAGTACTTACTAGAACGTGCTCGTCTGAGCCAATCACTTTTTACGGAAACATCAGTGGATAATGTGATCAGCCAATAATGCTTAAGGGATATGGTTGAGCTTTGCAAATCCACGGAACGTGTTGTTTACTATTCCGGGCTATTACCTAAGGACGATCGATGTCCGATATGCTGTAAGCTTGTGTCACAGTAAGAACACTCTGCCTTTTGATCTAAAATCCAAGACTGACCAAAGTAAGATACTATTCCAGGGGAGAGCAAAACATATCTCGCAGTGTCGAAGACGTTCTCTAGGTGGGCCGCAATACCAACAACCCTACCGGAACGAAAAGCGAGCGTATAGGCGTGTTCAGCGGAACTTTGTGCAGTTCTGTTCTCTCTGCGCAAAAATCTAATCTGACGAGCAAGCGTGGATTGGCCACTGCCAAAGCCACCTGAATAGTCTTCAACCACGATGTGGGATATGAAAATTCCGCTATACGCTCGTTGCCCCTGGCTTTTGCCCATTTTGTTTGGGCGAGGAAGCCAAGAAACCAGAGGAGAAACTTCAACAGTGGGTGGCCAAGGCAACACTGCTTCATCATATTGACCAACATTTCGATGGTTTGAAAACCCCAACGACTTTTTTCTGTCCTTATCCTTGTTGTCAAGCAAAGGATTATGGGAGTAATATAAATCTGCGTCGCCACTTCTTCGACGCACATTATATTGACGAAAGGTGGTCTAACTGTGAATCGAAAAAGAAAATGGCAAACGGAACCGAAACTTCTCGCTGAAGACAACACTCAATCTCACCCCGAGTACTCAGCTATGCAGGGATTTTCCAATGTTGACAATCCTCACAAGAAAGGGGAAATGGCCAGTTCCGACGAGGTGTAAGTTACAGAGAAATCCATGGAGGATTTTACGTGTTATAATGAAAGCTAGGCTTATCTGAAGTGGGCGTAAACATTAGAGGATCGTGCCCCGAAACATAGGTAGCGTGTTCTTGAATGGATCGTTTATTTCAGGGTGAAGATGTCCTACAGTATTTTACAGTAACAGATTAGACAACTCCGCAAATAGCTGCGACAGCACAATAGTACCCTTGGTCTGGGTGAGTCGGAAAACCGCTATAGCAGTAAATCTGCGACACCTTTTTGGTGAACTCAATGACTTATAAACAACGTTCTCCCTCGTCTCCGGGCTCTAATACTACACCGTAGCTGCTTCTACTGAATCCCTCATGAGAACAATTTCCACTTCGTTCATCATGCACCTTGTCACTCCTTTTATAATAGGCCTGGCATGCCTTATCAGAGCTAGTGCCAATATAGAATCCGAGAGTGCTGGTAAAACCGAGCTTGTAGTCCGTCGTACGGATGGATATCGCTCTATTGCCTACTTTGTCAACTGGGTCAGTTTTTCTGAAATAGTACTTTACCAGACACTCAGAGTCACTCAATTTCATATTTAGGCAATTGATGGCCGTAACTTCAATCCTCAGGACCTCCCAACTGATAGACTGACGCATGTGCTATACGCTTTTGCTAATGTATACTCGGACACCGGAACGGTGTATATCTCAGATCCTTGGGCCGACAAAGAGAAGCATTATCCTACTGATTCATGGAGCGATACTGGAAATATTGTTTATTGATGTGTGAAGCAGCTTTTTCTCATCATATTTACATGGCATGTGATTCTGCCACTCACCACAGTCCATAGCTTAGGTAGAATCTCTCCCCCACAGCACCCCCACTCCTCATCCCTCTCACAGATCGATACTGCTGCCCCTACCGTAGCCATATCTCATCAGATACTAACGAATCCAGCTGTCTCTTCAACATGCTCGGGATTTTTACTGTGAACCGGCTGCATGCTCCTCTTTCGCTACGATTCAAACATCTGCATTTCTCCATACAAGATAATCCGGACGAGGACCCTCCCGTATTTTTAGTGGAGATCAAATCGGAGCATACAAAGTAATTCCTCGGAACTTCCCAAGTGTATATCTCGTGCGTTGAACCCGGGCAATGAAGGTCTCAATAATAAGTCTAATCCTTAGTAACAATTTTCCTTTTCCCGAAACCATCAACGATCCGTTGCTTGTCTTCAGCCCTCGTACATTCATCTTCGGTATAATTTTTTGGCTTCAAGCCTTTGAAGTCCCTGCACTTTCCTCTATGGAGCGCCTTCGAAAGCTATGCGCCCACGGTGGTCGACAACAGATGGAACAAAACAAGGTAAATTTGCCAGGAGGGAAGTGACCGATTGAATAACGCAAGCATTATTTGCTGGCTTAGATCTTGAAGAATGTCATGAGCATCAAGAAACCAGGTATGAAGATGTACCCAGGAGGCGCTGGTATTTTCCTTCTATTTCATAGAGTAGACCACCACATGCACCACAGCGGCAACCCCAACCAAACATAAACACATCTTTCCATGCAGTTCCAGACACCATAGCAATCGTGCAATGCTAACCATCTGCGCCGCCTCCTGTGCTTGTAGCGGTCCTCTCTTAACCCAAAAGATCTCCCCCACCCGTCTACCCCGCTGCTGCTGTCTCGACGTAAAGACCAATGTCTCGCAGTTGGGTGGTAAAAGACTGACCTGGACCAAAACTAACACTATATATGAGGGAAGGAGGAGAAAGAGTTGGGCAAAAAGCATGAGCCCCGCTATTAGGATGTCGGATCCCACAATATATGACAGTCCTACTATCGCGACTTCCTCCGGTGGGGCGAGGCTATTATCGAATAGAGCCGGCACATACGTCATCACCGTATTGGCCGCGGCATAGATTGAAGCGGGAATCACTAGGGTTTTCCATCGTTGGTGGTCACAGGGTTTAGGCACGAGGCGCACCTGGTCGCGCGGAAGGATGGTACGCGCGGTCCAGAGGAAATGGGTCTCCGCTAGCAGGACTGATGCAATAATATACGCGACCGGACTAGGAAGTAGAAAACTCAATAGTTTTACCACCGAGGTGTGCATCGCCCAGTAGGTACAGGCGGAACCGATGCCATTAAGGAGAAAACGGAGGCCGCCTTTACGGTAGAGGACGGCAATGGTTCGGAGCGGTTGGCGGCTGGAGGGAGGCGTCTTAGAAGCATTTGCTTGCTTCTCCACAGTTTCAAGGATTAAGATAGACATTAAGACATGGCCAACAATATATCGGATCTGAGGCTGATTAGCTTCTGCGGAAGGAATAGGAATTTCCTTGTTAGTCGCTTACTAGGATGTCAAGGGTAATCCCTAGAGTAATTGGCGCCAATAGTAAAATATTATTTGTTTGGGCAGGTTCCTTTTGTACGAGTCGATGAGCTCGCGCAAGTAGTGGACCATCTCCTGTGGAATGAATGAAGGTATTCAAGAGTTGATGAAAGAAGGTTAACAAAAAGCGTGGAGATGCCATTGTAGACAGTGATGGAAAGTTGAAGTTGTTTTCCGCCAGGAAGCCCTGGGCGACAGGCATTATAATCTGTCAGGAAAATGGACATTGGCGCTGTATTGCCTCGTCAGGTACCCATACGGTGTCCTGAGCAGTGAGGACTACCTAACCTTCTTACCATACCCTCACTCTTTGATTTATACGTACAGTCGCGGAATGGCGCCACCTCGGATTTGTAACCACCGAGTCGTTGGTATTCTCACGGTATTTCAACCCCCATGAAGTTCGATAGATTAGTTCACCAGAATCAACACTCCTTTCATCTCATCTCTACATTACTCCTTTTTAATTCCATTGCTCTCATTGGCTAGTAAATCCTTGGCAATTTATAGCTAATACAGGTCACAGCAGCAGGATAGGTGGATACCCGGAGACAGGAGATAACTTTATCCGCCATGATTAGTCATGTGTTTCAGATTGTCAGAGAGGGGGATGCTTAGCATGTGTCACATGCAACCAATCAGGGCATGGCTGGGCTCCCAGGAGAAGGGGAAATGTGTAGCTGTACAGGGTATCTTCCAACTGTCTCAGACAATGGCCCTCCTATTAGAGGGCCTAGCCCCAGAGCAAGCACATAAAGTGACAGTGGAAGAACTGCGACCATATTTCCGACTCCAAACTCCTCCATTATCTGGAGATGGGCAGGGGATAGGATGGAGACACAAACCAAGCTATTGCAAGACGTGATTAGTTGAAGAGATTATCAATATCACAGAAAAGATAATGGTTTACGTTGTGAAGACCGCACTTGTTGGATTTTGAAACGCGTTGGCCAGTTGTATGGATTGTAGGGATCGTCATCCCATTCTCATGCAACAACACCATTTTCTTCTTTACACCCAGGGGATTCAGTGTCGTACGACGAACCTTCTGAGGATGCTGATAAATGGCCATCTTGATTTCGACTGCTTTCCAGATCGATATGAGTCATCTTTGTGCAGTTTGTACTAGGGAAAAGCACCTGTCTTCTCAGTTGATGGATGACAAGGGAGATTCATGAATATATACAAAGTGAGAACCTGTATGTAGCTTTGAAAGATGTTGAAGGTAAATAAGTCTAAGAATCTGTTGATTTTTGAGGGCTGAATAGGATGAACGTATCTCACCGAGATGTAGGACGGACAGACGTTTAACCGTTTTTACACAAGGCGGTTATTATGCTCTTATGGTTACAGTGGTATAAGTAGGACTTGCCCTCAAATTAGTATCCCTTCCACGTTCAAATATGGCGGACAATCCTCACAAATTGTTAATGCTTCATGGTAAAACTCGACTGCTGCCAACCCCAAAAGGGGCCTTCTGCCGCGTCGACTAATAGGAGACTAGGATATGGTCAATCCGTGGACATTTTAAAGCCGAAAACTCGGTATGTGCGAGAGATCTTCCACAGTCTGTCAGAGGAAGTGGGGTTTGAGTTTGAGTTCCTGTCTGGAGTTTAGCCAGCCTATCCCGATAGTGACAAGATCACTTACTAGCGGGTTTGGGGTTATGGTGAGCCTGAACACGATGAAATACGGGGCTTGCAGGGGTCCATTCAGTATATTCTTGGTACAATCGAAGAAAAAGGCCCTTTTAGCGGCATAACTGGATTTTCCTCTGGTGCCGCTATGACTGCCATCATCACGCCGCTTCTGGAAAAGAATGATGGAATTAGTGGCTTTCCATTGAAGGTACATTACAGCCTTCACATCCTGCATGCCCATGATCTCAGAACTGACGGGAGATCCCTAGGTGAACCACCCAAAACTCAGATTTGCCATATGCCTTAGTGGATTCAAGCTGGAAAATATGTGCTATGAAGCTTTCTACTCGCCAAAGATCGCGACCCCAACTTTCCACACTATAGGCCTTTCAGATGCAACAATTTCTCCAGATCAAACAAAAAGGCTTGCACGACAATGCAAGAGTCCATGGCTCTATCAGTATAATGGGGGGTGGGTCAACCGAGAGAGGCGCTCCCAGGAATATGAGATCTATTCAGGCAGCGATTATACACAGTATTGATTTGGTCGAACTGCTTGCGAAGCCCGAGACTGTGCGTACGAGCCTATTCCCAAACTTTGACAACAGAAGAAAAAGGGAAGTATACTTGTTCCACGGTAATAGCATGAATGGATGACACAGTGTACACATGATGAGGGTTTCAAAATTTTAGAGAGGCTGAAAAACAGGCGCACCAGCTAACTGGAAAGGCGAAAGAAGTTACCATAGCAACGTGAGTACGTCATATCCTGGCTTTCGCTCCCAGGCGCACCAGAAGCTGCGCGCTTAGCATCCAAAACCTTTGTCAAACGGGGAGGCAAATTGGGACCGAAAGTGCAGTCGGTATGAGCATTGGGGTGAGCGATCAGGCTGCTCAGGAAGCTGCTCATGTTCGCTCAGGGAACTGCTCAGGGCGGCGAGGTGATTAGCTCATTCTGTGCTCCGGGAGCCGATCATTTCCCGAGGCGGCAGTTTACCATCACCGGTATTACAGTGCTTGGCCGTTCAGTCTTGGCACAAGATCAAAAAATATATCTACTTGTATGTCGATAATTTCCTGACCTCAAGAGGTGTTCACAATAAGCCTCGTCTGTCCCTTTGAGGATTTTATCATCGCTCTTCTTCGAACATTTGACCCTACTTTGATCATACAAAATCCCGAGTGAAAGCCCCGGACGGGAGCGGTTTGGATTTTCTTTCTAATTTGTTGATCAAATTTAGCTATCTTGGTAGAAACCCGTGTAGGTGATCGCATGGTTCTCCGCAAACTGAGTGTCAATAACCATCTTCGCATTGCTGTCAAGAATTGTCAATTGACACGACACTCGTGTCAATTCCGCGCGTGTGGCTGTGGCTCGAGACAAGGATAAGACACATGAAGGTTTAACCTTAGATCCGGTTCAAATGGGTGCTAGTGGAGGCCATCTCGACTGAGTCGGAGGACGCGTGTCCAGTTCTCCGAAGCCATTCTTCTGGGGTGATCATGAACAGTACCTTCATCGCTGTAGATTGTAAATGGCGAGACAAGAAATGCTCTAGACAAGTAGACATTCTTTGAAGCAATGCTATAACGTAAGTTCAGATGACTTTTCAGTTCATTAATGCGAATTTGCTCTTCCGGGCAGACTTTTGTCTGTTATTGCTTGTCTTCTGGTACCTACCTATCATCAACTACATGTTGGCTAGGTATGGCTTCGATTGTCTTATCTGTATGAATCTGTTGGTCTCTTGGTCTCTTGGTCTCTTGGTCTCTTATCTCTCTATCTCTCTATCTCTCTCTCTCTCTCTCTCTCTCTCTCTGGGTGTGTGTAATTTTGACATATCGGTACCCATGACTATTCTCGTGACCTTGATCAAGTGATGTGTGTGACTACCGCCTCTGATGTGAATCATCCATTGCAAATTGCTTGTTCTTCTTCACCTGAGACGTCTTAATCCCCTGGCCACATCCCTCCGTCCACAAACCATCATCGAGTGAGTGCAAATTTCTTGCATTTTGTGTCTGCACAGGGGTACCATCATACAATATACCAATCTGGAGAATGGAAACAAAGACAGAGTGTCGGTAGTCTCTATCGAGGGACATCTAGGTCCCAAATCAGCAGGGCAACGGAAAACTTCCCAGTTCTGAACCATGCCTAGCACCATTCCTGTGACAGAGGTGTTCATTTCCTCTACTCTGTAGTCAACTCTGCCACTGCAGGTGGGCTGTCCAGAGGGATCGAAAGCCCAACACGGTCCACAGTTTTCCGGTACACTAGACCCCCGTTGACTCGGTCCTCGTGCACAATCAAGTCCTTGCGGTTGGTGTCTACTAGCAGGCGGATCAAGTCCGGTCTCATATAGTGACCACCCTGGATCAATTGGTCAGTGAAAAATTCCCGACGCAGGGAGAAGCGCACTGTCTGCGTATGGAAGACTTACGAAATCAGCCAATGATTTGGTCAGATGGATTTCATCAAGGTCGATCTGAGTCTGAGTCAGTTTCTGCGGCTCAGATGAGAAGTAACGCCGGTGAAAGGTAAAAAAAAGACCAGAGGACTTACGTCAACGAAAAGAAGACCCTGAAAGTCCTTATCCGGGTGAGGGACGAGGTTCTGACCATCGGGTCCGAAGATACGACCGTGGCCGTTGTAAATGTGGGGATCCTCGAGGTCCTTTCCAGGAGGGGTGTTGAGCTTGATTCCTTCCGTAGTGATGGTCTGCCAAGGGGCGAGAGTAAATGTTCCAGTCTCAATGGCATAGGCAGGAGTCACGAGCTGGGCATTCTAGTCAGCAGCAATCAGTGGGGAGGGGGACTTCCATTCATCATGAGAAATCTGAGCCATGGCCCTTTTCTGGCGGACTTACATCGGCATTAGCCTCAGCGACATTCGTATATGGGTCGAGATACTTGAGCGTTTCTTTGCCGGGGTACAGAGGCCAGGCAGCGACATGGACCTGTTCTCCCAGAGAGGCAGCATATGCCTTGAGGAAAGGGTTCATGTTTTCCCAGCAGTTCAAGTGTCCGATTCGCCCAATCTCAGTGTCCATCACTGATTCAGTGGTATCGCCGGTCCCGTCACCAAAGACAAGACGCTCGACGTGAGTAGCCCTGATCTTGCGACGGTGGTTGATGATCTCCCCAGCCGGGTTGATCATAACCTGAGTGGTGTACAGGCTGGCCAGATCAACCTCGGAATACCCAAGAGAGACAAAAATCTTGTTCTTGCGCGCAGCTTCACGGATGCGCCGCATCTCATCCGAGTCCGAGGGGAGACTGTTCTCACGGTACTTCTTGAGCAATGGCAGACTCTCCTGATAGTTGACCTTCCACATCCAGTAAGGGTAACCGGGAATCCCTTCTCTTTGATCAGCTATTACTTCACCACAAAAACTTTGAAGTCGGTGCAGGCCCTGTACTCACACAGCTCAGGGAACGCGATGAATTTGCAGCCTGCTTTTCCGGCTTCGTCAATCCAGTGAACGGTGCGTCGGACAGATTCTTCGAGATTGAACCAGCCAGGCTCAGCATTCACTGCTACTGCCTTGTATTTCTTGAGAACAGGACCCATTGTTGGACAGTAGCGGATGATTCGCGGTGAATTTGCAAGAGAGACGATGGATTGAGATGGTGCTTCAATACTGGAACTATCCTTCCGGGAGGAATTTGGAGCTTTATATTCTCTTCCATGGTGAAGAGACAGCAGACGATAGGCAACTTTGACGCTGTGTTAGATGAGATCACTTCTTGTTGAGGATGCATGCACAGGGAATGGTTACCATCACGCCACGTCGGAGTGTCACAACTCGGGATCTGCTCGATGCTATTTGGCTCAGAGTTCTTCGGGCGTGACAAGTGGACTCCTCAGATACGATCCGATGCCTCGCAAATTTAGCCATCGGGGTCTGACTAGATGAAACGTCGGCCGCGTACTTGTTCTTCATCCTGGTCTATACTCACTTCATAGCGGATCTTCGAGCTTTTCTCGGCATCTGCGGATAATTTGGTACGGTTCTTCAGTTCCTTGGGATCGATCGTACGATATTCAAATCCAGTCCGGTGCGTTGCTTACCATCGTGAGGGCACGTACGTCCACAGCATCTCGAGTACCAAATCCCGGGAATAACCACCCTTGGCATACACGCAGGCTTGCCGTTCTCTGTCGAAGCATTGAAACCAGAAGACTCATACAGGAAGTCTTTGAGGTGCAAGCCTACCAAATCCCTGCGCGGGATCTGCTCTGCTCAAATACAGTGAAACGGTGAGACTTCCATGGCCGAATGCGCAAATCCCGAGACCAGGTGCCGCTCGATACTCGGGTTGAGAAGCAAATATCATCCGGAGTCAGAACAGCTTGAGCACGACGCACTCCGACGGTGACTGCCAGAGTGTTCATGCATTGCAGCGATGCAAGAGATGCGGAGAAACCATCTTTTTTTTCAGTCACGTATGATCCGAACCGGAGAGCAGCTACGAAAATTGTCCCGTCTCCGCAATAATTTGGCCTTTGAACGTTACACTGCGTCGCGACAAGTGGGACGTTTGTTGTTTGTCGACGAGCTGAGATAGAGCATGCTCGACGCCGTTCGGTGATTGAGCTCCACTCACATACAAAATCAAACCCCTTTCCAAGAGCTGGACATACATACATAGCAGGGCAATGAAATTGCCTAGCTGAGATCATTGTTCCGGCCTTTGATGGAAAGACCGGCTGAATGTCTTCGGTCATTTTCCTTCTCCGGGCCAACTGGAAGAGACTGAGATGAATCCCGACCTCAGGACATCGCTGCAGCTGGTCTCCGCGGCAAAGTTATTGGGAGTTGAAAAAAGTGCCCAGTGAGGGCATAGAAGCCGATGACTCGAGAGCCTTACTGCAGATGCCACATCGCTGTTGACATCTGAGCATGACGTGCAGGTAGAGGTGCGACCAAGTGTCTGACGGGGCCATAGTCGAGCCAGATCCTCGCAGTGCTTCCGATTCGATGGTCATTCATACCTCTGATCTAACGATGAGCAGAGGTTCGAGGCTCGAGGCTCTTTTATTAATCTGAAATGATGGGATCAAGGGAGCCGTTCCAACGTCCCACAGTTTTCCTTAGTTTCTCATTGATATACTGGGTGTCGACTCGAGCCACGGTCCAGATTCTTTCACACAAGAATGGCAATCTTATCAGCGATCGAAACAATGTGGCTACAGGAAATCTTCTGCCATAGACCACGATTCAAATGAGAATGAGGCAGATCATTCAAGCGGTGTGGCCCTATCTGATGAGACTACAAGGCCGACATGCCGCTGGTTGTCTTGTCGAATGATGGAATGAATTCGTATTCCAATGTGTCCACGGAACGGAGTCAATCTGGAAGGCATGTTTTGAAGATTCCGGACTCCTCCCACATAGCGTCTTTGACGATGTAGCGGTGACCTCTGCTTACCTGTGTTGAGTTCTGTCAACCACGGATGGGCGTGGGTGTGGCCGACAGGGCAAAAGTCAATTCAGAGTCGTGTCCGTGGGACGAGATGGACGGGTCAGTCTCTGACAGGCCTGGTCGACTCTCGTCGACGCATACTCTCTATAGCAGCGCCAATCATGGCACGGGTCAACCGTGCTTTGACGGGTAATATACAGAACGATCAAGTTGGGAAGGTTTGACACTGTGATGGAGTTCCCGCTGACATTGAGCGTCATCGAAGTTTTGTAAGTATCACCATGAGGTTCTCCGAACTGCACGGTCAATGTTCTAGAACTGGCCATGTCTCTTGCTCGGCCTTCTGTAAACTACTTGAAGGGAAGTTGTTGGGTCTGACAAGTCTCTGTTGCTCAGTCACTCCGATTTCAATTATCTTGCTTGACTTCTTGATCTGTCACTCCGTTGCACAACAATCTTCATCATAGTTCTCCTTACAGCAGCGAAGAATCCGTATCTCCGGGGGAATTACCTAATTTTCATCGTCGCTAACCCGATCTTTCTTGCAATCTCTCATCTTGCCGAAAACATGTCTTCCTGGAAATGGCTGATCATCTCCTGCATCTTACTCGCCGCCTCCCCAATCCAAGCTTCAAAGCCCTTGAACCTCGCGAAACGCATCAATAGCGACTCCTCCGGCCCCAACTCGCTCTCGACAGGATTATGCGAGATCGTCACTGCTCTTTGCGCCGCCTGTCCTCCAAGCACGACCACTACCGTGATCACTACGGCAACGGTCACAGTAACTCACGGTGCGTCCGGAGCCACCGCCAACATGGCCACAGTCGGCAGCGCTACTCCAACCAGTTCGCGGTCGAGCTCGGCCATCCCAACTCCAAGCTCCAGTCCTCGGCATGGTAGCTCAACGCCATCGGTACACGGAAGTAGTAGCTCTGTTCACACTCGACCTTCGAGCGGTGAACCCACGTTGACTACGACAAACCCGCGGACGTCTACCAGCCATGAAAGTGCAAAGGAGACTACCACTCGACCCCATTTTCCACTCCCCGGTATGTTTGAACGAGCTTTGGCAGTGGAGAGAGGGCCCCCGGCGCGATAGGATCTCGCTAACAGCACTTTTAGACCCTCGACGAATGCGAAGACGGCTCGTTCCGTTCTTTTAGGACACTCGATTGTCTCAAAAAAGAACATGGACCCTTTTTATGGAAGCGATGCTGATAAAATCGCCATTATCGGGTTTCATGATTCGGGTCCTTGAAAAGTCCGGTCAGTTGATTGTTGACAAAAGGTAAGGATCTGGCTTGTCAACTGATGAAGTCGTGAGCTCTTGTTACATTGCAGAGTTCTTTGCTATTTGAGACTCTCCTCGTTTGATCTTTCCGACTCCCTATCTGTCCTTGAAAACTTTGCTCCGCCTTGGCTTTCAGACTGTACGATAGTGCTCGCTAGTTGAAAGAACCTAAGAATGCAAGGGAATAGAAGACTATCATTGCTCCAAGATTCAAGAATGAAACGTCACGCCTGTGGCCGTCGCCGGTCTTACAATATAAGATCAAGCAAGCTCTAACATTCCACGCAAAACTCGGGCGTGAATTTTGGTTGGCTCCTTGGTAAATGAAAGGACGGAGGAGACAGGCGCGCAATGCATACACTGATGCTGTAGACCTCGAGTACCTCCACCCGACCTTTCCTCAATACAAGCCTCGTCTTCGATACACCGCGATGTCAAAACCTTTAGACTCAGAACAGCATGACCATCCGTTGGGATCTCGGTCATGACAAGCAACTTTCAAGACTTGGAATTGATATGATGGGAGCAACTTAGGAAGAGGAGTGTTTGTGTTGACCGTCAACACTAAACGTCTCCGTGACGCCCTGAAAGTCTACGAAGCAAAGATCTATGCTTCTCTGTTCTGAATCGTTTCTTTCATACCAGTCTTCTCCATAGGAAACCAGAGATGCTTGATTCAAAAAGCTTACTGAATGTAAATGGAACAAATACAATTGTGGCCACCTGGAACAGAGACGAATGTCATATAGAATGATGAGAGGAAGGCATAACAATGAAAACAAAAAAAAGACTCAAAAGAAGACCAGGCACCAGAAAGAACAAGTAGCGATCTTCAGACAACTCATATGGACAGGGTATCAACAGGCCACGCCAATGCCGTTTGGGCACAAATAAAAGATATCTTGCGCGGCAGCGGAAAGAATAAATGGACCTCGAAATAAGTATGCAATAGAAAACTCAAGTACTGTTGGACCGTAACAATAACGTGCGATCAATGTCATCAGCCATTTCTGAATCTTCCGGTTCGGCTGGAGTGCCTCGCGTGGGTGGACCCGTGCTGGATGTCGCCCGGGCCTCGATCAGGCCTGGCCGCCCACTCTGCTGATTCTCAGGAACCGAGGAAGAATGCAACGGATGCATCTCTCCACTGCTTGAGATTCGAGACTCTTTGCTCTTCTCGAGCAAGGACCCACCAAGTGTTGCACACTTCAGGATCGTCTGCATCATCTGGTTCTGCTTCAGTGGTTTGGACAGATACTCGTCCATCTGAGCTTGAATACACTTCTCACGATCGCCCAGCATAGCGTGTGCTGTAAGAGCGATAATGGGCGTCCGCTGCAGACCGCTCTCTCGCTCGTACTCTCTAATCTTACCGGTGGCCTCAAATCCACCCATGACCGGCATTTGCACATCCATGAGAATCACGTCATAACGTCGCTTCTTAACGGCTTCGACGGCCTCCAGACCGTTACCCACCACGAACACATTGTGGTTGTGCCGTTGCAGTATCTTGACCGCCAGCTGCTGGTTCACATCATTGTCCTCGGCAAGAAGAATGTCAAAGGAGCGGGAGTTGTCAGTCGTGATAGGAGTAGATCGTCCCTCCAACGCGGGGAGCATACCGTTACCCATGTCGATGGGCTGGCAGGGCGTAGTCATGTAGGAGCTGATACCCAGGTCCAATGCGGACTTCAAGCTGACACAGACCAGGGGACAGACCAATACAATCGGAATATACTTGAACTCGTCGAAAGTACGCAGGACTCGAGCGGTGTCCACTGAATCCACGATAATGACATCGTACGCATGGCCAGATTCTTTCCCGGAAGGGTCCTGAATCTCTGGTGGAGGCACATGCTCCTCGTTGCGTACGACCAAGGGTTCCAACTCGATCTGCTTTAACATCTTCATGACATTCATGGCCTGAGCGCCGTTATGGCCCTTGTCAATGAACAAGACTCGGTGGTTTCGATAGGGCAAGAGTTGGGAGGCAATGACATTCAGGGATTGATCGGCGAGCTTCACCACACAGGTGAAGTGGAAAGTGCTGCCGTGTCCATACTCAGACGTAACCCACACATCACCTCCCATGAGGTTGACTAGACGTTTAGAGATGGACAGACCAAGACCCGTACCACCGAACCTGCGTGTGGTGCTACCATCGGCCTGTTGGAATGTATCGAAGATCAGGTCAAGTTTGTCCTCCTCGATTCCAATGCCAGTATCGGAGACCGAGAATTCAAAGGCATATTCGTTGGTGGTGCATTGTTCGCGATCGGACTTTCGAATTGTGAGCTTGACTTCGCCATGCTCCGTGAACTTGATGGCATTGCCGACCAAGTTCAGAATGATTTGTCGCAGACGGAAAGGATCACCAATGACATAGTCTGGAACAGTGTTGTCGACCTGGTACGTCAAACTGAGGAATTTCTCGTTGGCCTTCACGGCCAAGGTCTTGAGCGCATTGAAGACTGTGCCACGCACAGTGAATGGGATGCTTTCAATGACCATCCTGTTTGCTTCGATCTTGGAAATATCCAGTATGTCATCAATGATGGTGAGTAGACTGTTCGCCAAGTTGTGTACCACATTCAACATTTCGCGCGTGTAGGGCTTGAGATCGTCCGTGTCGAGGGTAAGTTGGGTCATGCCAATAATACCGTTCATCGGCGTTCGAATCTCGTGCGACATATTCGCAAGGAATTCGGATTTGGTGCGATTCGCGAGTTCGGCAGCTTCCCTGGCCGCGGTGTTGCGCTGAATACTGTCTCGCAGATTTGAAACCATCTTGTTGATCTTCCGTTTGAGCTCGTCCATTTCGCCGGATGCGTTCACCGTAATAAGCTTGGTGAAATCACCGTCGGTGGCGGCATCCGTGATTTCACCAAAGGCGCGCACTTGAGACGTTAGATTCTCGGCCATGGTATTGACGTCCTCTGTGATCTCCTTCCAGGTTCCTGCGATTCCTTCAACGTTCGCTTGACCGCCCATCTTGCCGTCAACACCTACATCGCGGGCGACCTTTTTAAGTTCTGTTGCAAACTTGGCTAGTCGGCCCACCATGTGGTTGATGGTGACTTTGAGGGTCAATATTTCTCCCTGGGCATGGACTTCGATCTTCTTGCTGAGATCACCCTTCGCGATAGCTTGAGTCACGTCCGATATACTTCGTACTTGCGACGTGAGATTCTGAGCCATTGTGTTGACATTGTCGGTGAGATCCTTCCATTTGCCTTCCACATCATCGACCTTGGCCTGGCCGCCAAGCGTACCATCAGTTCCGACTTCTCGGGCGACTTTGCTGACTTCAAATGCAAAGGTATTCAGTCGGTCCACCATGCCATTGATAGTGCTCTTGAGGTCGAGTATTTCACCCTGAACGTTTGCGGTGACCTTCTTTGTCAAGTCACCCTTCGCGACGGCCGTTGTAACATCCGCAATTTCGCGCACCTGGGTGGTCAGGTTGTTGGCCATTCGGTTCACGTTCTCCGTGAGATCCTTCCAGGTACCCTCGACGTCATTGACCGTAGCCTGTCCACCTAGGACACCATCAGTACCGACCTCCTTGGCAATCTTCGTGACCTCCTGGGCGAATTGGCGAAGTTGGTCGACCATCGAATTGATAATCTTCTTCAACTCCGCAATCTCTCCACGGCAGTTGGCTTGCACCTTCTGTGTGAGGTCACCCTTTGCGACGGCCTTGGTGACCGTCGCAATATCTCGCACTTGTGTTGTTAGATTGTTGGCCATAGCGTTGACATTGACTGTCAGTTCGTTCCACATTCCCTGTACCCCTTCGATCTGTGCCTGTCCACCCAGGACACCTTCTGTGCCGACGTCGCGGGCGACTCGTGTGACTTCCGTAGCAAAGGTCCGTAGCTGGTCCACCATGGTATTGATCGTCTGTTGCAGTTCCAAAATCTCACCCTGGGCCCGGCTCTCAATCTTTTGACTCAGATCACCGTGAGCGACGGCAGTAGTGACGGCAGCGATTTCTCGCACCTGATCCGTCAGGTTCTTGGCCATAATGTTGACGTTTTCCGTAAGTTCTTTCCAAATACCGTGCACCCCAGTGATCTGCGCTTGACCACCGAGGATACCCTCCGTGCCGACTTCACGGGCAACGCGAGAGACTTCACTTCCAAAGACTTGAAGCTGGTCCATCATCGTGTTGATCGTGCGTTTGAAGGTTGCAATTTCAGGGTCCATCTCCAAGGGATGAATCTGGACCTTCATCGAGAGATCACCATTGGCCACTTGAGTGATGATGCCGCCGATCTCTCGAAGGGCCTTCTGGAAAGCTTCGTTCGCCTGCTGATGCTTGCGAAGCTCGCGTTCCAGCAAGACCACGTCCTCATTTTCCACCTTGGTGAGCGCACGGCGGGTGTGCTCTTCCTGCTTTTGCAACTCATCTCGAACCTGCGCGATGATATCTTTCTGGAAGCTGATCTCTTCGGCCTGTTTCTGCACGTGATTGCGGAGGATACTGATGTCTTCTTCTCGAACCAGACGGGTGGCGCCGGTCTCATCTTCCTCGTCGGTCTCCTCGTCGTTGAGTTCACCTGCCGAGGTGGCTTGTTGCGGGGGAGGGTGAGATTTGGAGTCATTTCCCGATGGGGTCACCTGTCGCCGACCGGGTTGATTCAGGCTTTGCTGCTGTGTAAGGCAATAAGAAGAGTCAGAACCTTGACCGGACGACAAGCGATTGAGCCCAAAGGTCCACAAAAAATCAGGGTCCTTTTGGTGAGATCCGTGAGCAGACAGGGTGGTCTGCTGGGTATTGTCAGGGAGTTTGTGATGACTGACAGCTTGGAATTCCAGATGGTGCACACGGCGCACCAAGGCCTCCAACTCGGCTTCGAAGGCGGCCTTTGCCGGGCTGGGGTCACCGGGGAGTCTGGAGGGTTTGGCACCGTTGGTCGCCGGGAATTCGAAATCGAAGGGGGGGAGGCAGAACCCGTTGCTACTTCATCGCGGGCGAGCGCCTGCAACACTGCCGTCGCGGCCACGAGCGTCTCGTCCGCGCCAGCCATTGTGCCCTAATGATCCGGTCAGTGTGGCGTTCGAAGAGGCTGAGAACGAGTCGTCACAAGAACGGTGTTGATGATCGTATGCGAAGCAGAGTTTTCCGCAACCTCGATGTGTCTTGTTCTTCGATGCCCATCCATGCCCCCTCGGATCTCGGCACAAGCCATATAGATCAGAATCGGGCGCTTGAGTAGCTGAACCCAAATCTCATGGCGAATGGCTCAATGAAGAATGGGGACAGAGAAGAAAAGTAGGGGCTGGGTGGGATGTCGCCCATCCCCCTTTTTGTGCAGAGTCACGAGTTCCGGGCACCATCGAAACGCGAAAGGCGGAGCTGGGACAAGCGGAACTTACACAGGGGACGGTTTCCGCAGGATATATCAAGCAGATGAAGATTCAAGCGACATGGGGGTGGAGATGGTTCAGAAGGAGTCGTCTCAAGGTTCAGCACACCGATCGAGATCCCGAGACTGTTCCTACGATTTCCCGCAGAGAACCGGAGAGGATGTGGTTCACGGTCGCCAGCGTGTGCTGAGGCTGGGTTTCAAAGGAGAGAGGGGAGAACAACGGTTCGCACGCCCGGGAACGCTCTCACAGGTACCGGTACCGTTAGGGGCCTACGGAGGAGGTTATGTCAGCAGCGCGCTTCCACCGTGAGGTGACCTTCACGTTCGGGCAGGACTGCTCATCGTCTGTGCAAGAGCAGTTCTCAAGATCAGGTCGGCTTTTCTTGCCCACCGAGTCGGGGATCACAGCAAGGGTTGCGGGGAGGGACATTATTCACCCAAGACTGGAAAGATCGGAGCAACGAGATTGAGATGGACCAGCAGAGCAGCAGTCGCGCGTGGGTTTGGCCTCGAAAAAAAAACAGTCGTACTCAGGAGAAAGAGAGAATGATCGTCTTGGGGGAGGAGTTGACCGTAGGCGATCTGAATCTTATTTTTAGTAGTATTACTTTCCCTCTCCGTTGCTTCTTGTCCTTCGCTACTACTCGCAGAGGGGACTAGCGGAAGATTTCAAAAGGGGCGGCACCGCCGCTAGCTGTTCTGAATCTGAGGCACAAATTTGTGGGTGAAGTGGAGAGGAGAACACACGGTCGAGGAGATGTTTGGTTTCCAGTGGGGAGGGGTGGTGGAGTGTCAGCTGCGTGTGTACTACCACTGGATGCACTCGACACTTTTGACCGGGCACCTACTGGACTGCTACTGTACCACTTTGTAGGATGTACTCAGACGGTGTGCATAATCATATAGGGTTTGAGCATCCCATCTGACGAGTCATGACGAGAGTTTTTCGTGATCACCTCGACCGTGGAAGGCAGGCGCTCGACGCTCTGTTGTTTTTGAACCAGTGAGACAACAAGAGTGAACTAATAGCAGAGTCAAGATCAACTGTACAGAGTACAGACTACAAGTGTACATTGGACAGATGTCCGGATGTTGACCCGTTATCATCTTACATATCCCTTGAATAGATTGGACACGAAGGCAATCGAGGCAGGTGGAGGTTATCATGTAGAAATACCATGTAGAACGATCGTAGTGTTCTGATACACCAAGTCAAGGACGAGCAGCGACATGGACTTCATATCCTGACCTGTACATCACAGCCACCTACCGAACGAATCGATGTCGCTGTCAGCCTGTCACACCTCCTGATGCATTAGACGTCTCTGTCGTGTCTGGCAGACGATAAGTTCGGCCTCGTACCGAGATGAACCTGATCGTTGGTTTAGACGACTGTAGATGAATGATTTCAAGACAAGGTTCCTCTGAAGTGTGGTCATGGGTTTTATTTGAAAGCATTGCTTGTCATTCTTGGGAGCCTCCAGGAGAGAGATGAGACTGGATGAATGTAACCAATGCAGTCAACAGATGTACCCCTCCTGGAGGCTCCTACCGATCTGCCATCAAGTTGGGCTACCGCCTCGAGAGTCACGAGTCTTAGTCGTGAGCAGTTTAAAGGAGAAGGCGACAGCGAATTGACAACGATCATGTCTCTCCACGTCCCCAGTAGGATAGATTGACCATAACCCTTCGCACAGATGAAGCAGAGCCAGCCTTCATCAGGCAGCACCATCCGATCTTATCGCCATCACTCTGAAGGTGAGACTGTCTGATGATGGATGGCTCTCAGTGCCTACTGCCTAGTATGGCGCTGTCCATCAAATCGGTCAAGAGGGCTACAACAAGTCGTCGATTCTAGCGTGGTTGAGGGCCAACCTGCTGTCAAGGCTCTCTCTCTCTCTCTCCCGGCTCCTTCATCTCAAACACGAACCGTCTGTCCCAAAAGCAAAGACGACTCCTCTGGAGTTGACCGATGAAGAAGCATCCACCGAGTCGGTGCAAATCGCGTCCTTCTCCCCGAAACACCGCACGCTGGGGCTGAGGGTTTGAGCATCAAGCACAACTGAGTCCTGCCTGACAACGGGGACCAGTCAAACATGGGATTAAGCCTGCGCTCGGCACCCTCGACGGACTCAAACGCCTCTTCAGGTGGATGCGCACAGGAGACACGACTCCCAACGGAAGACCGACAGGCGCAAGGCCAACGGTCCGGGTGGCCTTTTGAGTGGTGCCAAGTGGAGAGAACCCAGTCAACCACTCTGTTCCCCAGCCAGTCAGGCACAATTGCCCAAGATCCGCCGAGTTCGTTGTCTCGGGATTCCTTCTTCCACCCGCCCCACTGCAGTGAATCTCTACCCAGAGAAGACTCGACGAGTCGACACTCGTACCCCATGCGCAGAGAGCAGCAGACTCGGGCGCACTACTGTGACTGTGTATCTGTGCACCACTGCACAGTTGCACACGAGCCCTGGTGTATAATGCAGAACTGCATACAGCGCACAATTCAACACACTTCTGTCCAGCAGTGCCCCAGAGTCAGCTCGTCGAAACTGACTACAATCTGGATGAGCAGGCTACTCAAGACGATAACTACGAGTTGGAAAAGCATTGGATCTACCTCGCAACGACAGGCGATCCCCGTGCACTGATCAGCGGTCAACCCGCGGGCGACCATCTCCGGGTCAGGAGAAGACCTTTCTGCGTCCCCGGGATCTGTAGCGGAGCGGTTCCTGAGTCTATCTCGTCCTCGCTCGGGGTGGGTGTCTCCCCTCTCAACCCTTTCTTTTGTCCAGGCAATTGGCCAACTCAAGACTCGTCCCCATCGCACCATAGCACAAGTCTTCCGACCATAGGTTACCACCGGTGGTGCTGAGGGATCGCTTCTCTCTCTCTCCCTCTCTCTCTCTCTCTCTCTCTCTCTCTCTCTCTTCGCATTTCCCTCAGAGTAAGGCTGCCCCACTGTTGGAACTCGACCGATCACAGGTACTGTCGGATGCCTCACTTGTAAATGCCTTCCACATTGGGAAGGTGCCCTCTACCTCGATCAGATAGGCCGCGCTCAAAGGATCAAGATCAGTCAGTCTCAAAGAAGTTGTGACACTTGCCAATAATCGTCCCTGCTCTGCCAGGATTAAACATGTGTCTAATAAGTAATAGTTGCTGTCAAGCGCACAACTTCGAGATCTTGTCGAGGCAAATGAGCATAGACCATGCGGGTGTACAGCACACTCCGAGATTGCTTTGCTCTAAGTTGTCGGGTTCAAGCCGGCCAATAACCTTGTAGACAAGACAGCTGCACAGCGTAGGGTCGATCACCTGAAGACGGGGTAGCGCGGGCACGTAAAGTGAACTAGATAGGCTCCGTTGGTCATTCAGACGGGACGTCTCAACTCGAGTCTTCACAGACTTTGCCGGTGCGGCAAGTCTAGTGTTGCGTACTTTCACGTGCAGTCATGTACTATAATCGATCTGCGTTCGCGGGTTGACCGTTGGGCGTTGACCATCGCCGCGTCACTGAGGCCGCCTGTAACATTTCACCGGTTGACGGGGCAGAGTAGACGTTTGCCCAGTGTGATTTTTACCAAATGAGACCGGGAGAGGCTGCGATCAGGGATCATAGGTCATGAGATTGACGTGATCTGGCAGAGAGTAATGACACCCAAGTCCTTCATTCCAATCGCTGTCCAAACATATTCTGGCCTGTGTAATTGCTACAGTGGATGAAGCCGCAACGCAGTTTCCCCGAGCCGGTAAGCACCACAGGACAATCTTGGACAATCTTGCTACGACTCTTCAATGATGCGGGAAATTCTCGAGATAAGAACCCCGCAGTGTTTTCCAGCGAAGCGATGGGCTACAGGCCACCTTCTCAAATGGGTCCTGTCAATAGTCTTTTACTCCGTCCATGGGAAATTGACGCGCTATTGAATTTGAAGGTATTCATAAGTACACAACCGAGTGGCTGGCACATTGATCTCGAAGCCTGGGACCTTGTCATCTTGAGAATGTGACATGGCAGGGCGTTTCACGAGATCGAGATTGGATCTGTCTGGATGCTACACCGGGCCAAAAGCTATCCCTGTTGAATCTCGGCAGAAGAATCCAAGTCACTTCCATCGAACACACGCCTACACCAAAGGCGGACGGGGATTGCGGCGTTTTGCCAGCATGGCGGGGTGAAACGGCAGAAATGGTCGTAATGCCCCGCCGGAATTCATGCTGGGAATTTGAAAGAGTCATTGCGAATTTTGGCCGACACCGCAAAGACCGATACCCCCCCCTCGCCTTCCACCAAGACCGCCTCGGGCACTACAAATATTCTGAAGGAATAGACTGTAGTTATGGCGTCCTCCGATCTCACAAAGCCCGTCCTGGACGCGCTGTCCGCGTCCGACGAGCCTATCTTGTCCACCGATGCCTTCCCCTCCCACCCCTCATCGAATGTCAAAAGTGCGCTGGACCGCCTCGGCTCGCGACAGATGATCGAATATGAAACCCTCGAGAAAGAAGTCTACGTGCTTACTTCGGAGGGTGACGAGATTGCCGCCAATGGCAGTCATGAGGCCAAGGTCTTCGCGGCCGTGGTGGCTGCCATGGACGGCCTCAAGATTAGCGATCTCCCTGGTGTGGTGGGCAAGGACAATGCCAAGGTCGGCCAGGGCAATGCCTTCAAGCGCGGTTGGATCAAAAAGGACAACGACAAGCTGCGGGCAGTGAAGGAGTCAATTGTCGACGAGACTCGGGAGCAGCTGCTCACCGTACAAAAGACAAAGGGTCTGGGTGACGCCAAAGCGCTCGCAGACCTGAAGCGAAGGAAATTGGTCTCTGTCACCAAGGATATCGCCTACAAGATCTCCAAGGGTCCCAAGTACGCTCGCGAGTTTGTCAAGGAGGAGACCGACCTCACTCCCGAGATGCTCGCCGATGGCTCGTGGAAGACCGTGCACTTGAAGCCCTACAACTTCAACGCCAAGGGTGCCATCACTCCTGCCGGTGCGCTGCATCCCTTGAACAAGGTGCGACAGGAATTCCGCAACATCTTCTTCGAGATGGGATTCGAGGAGATGCCTACCAACCGCTTCGTCGAGACTGGCTTCTGGAACTTTGACGCCCTGTTCGTGCCCCAACAACATCCTGCCCGTGACCTCCAAGATACCTTTTACATCGCCGATCCTCTCAAGGCCGACCCCCCTCGTGAGGAACCCTCAAATGACCCGCACCGCCCCAAGACCTCCCAGCCTGGCTCCAACGCGACGGAACAAAAGCCTTTGGACTACCAACAGTATTGGGACAACGTCCACGAGGTCCACGAGCACGGCAAGTTTGGCTCCATCGGCTATCGATACCCCTGGGACGCAGACGAGTCACTGCGTCTGGTCCTCCGTACCCACACCACCTCTATTTCGGCGAACGTGCTGCACAAGCTCGCCGCCAACCCGCGGCCGGCCCGCTACTTCAGTATTGACCGAGTCTTCCGAAATGAGGCCGTTGATGCCACTCACCTGGCAGAGTTCCACCAGGTTGAAGGTGTCATTGCCGATTTCGGTCTCACTCTGGGAGGCTTGATTGGCTTCATGGAGGTCTTCTTCCACAAGATGGGTATCCACCAGCTGCGCTTCAAGCCCGCCTACAACCCCTACACTGAGCCCAGCATGGAGATCTTCGGTTACCACGAGGGTCTCGGCAAGTGGGTAGAAATTGGTAACAGTGGAATGTTCCGACCAGAGATGTTGGAGTCAATGGGTATCCCCAAGGATATGCGAGTGTATGGCTGGGGATTGAGTTTGGAGCGCCCAACCATGATCAAGTAAGTCCTTCCCTTTGTCCAGCGCCCTACTAAAGCATGTAACATGCATTTCTGACACCCCTTACAGATATGGCGTTAGCAACATTCGTGAGTTGCTTGGACACAAGGTTGACCTGAACTTCATCGAAACCAACCCTGCCGTTCGTCTGGAGAAGGAGTAAAAGAAACGGAGGGGAGGGGGGAGAAGGTTCTTTACAAGCATAACATCGGGCTCGAGCGAGTTCATCTGTCCATAGATTACGAAAAACAAACATCTTGGTCATTCGCCGTCTAACAATTCTTCTATTCCTATGGTTCATTAGAAGATTCACATAATCAAATCACATTGGTGTTTCGCAACATATTCATTACCCTTTCACCGATCGAAAAACTTGTAGTGCTGTTCAAGATGGAGCGCGATGGAACACAGGAGATCCAGAGGCGATCGTGTGTATATAGTTTGGGATTGGAGCCAGTCAAAATACGTCTCAAGAAAACTGGAGATTGCGCCGGTGGAGGCTGCATACAACCGAGATATCCATTATTCCCAGCTTTGAAGAATTCTATGCGGATTACGGTACATGTGCAGGTGGTGCCCGGTACTGATTTGATCGCCCTGTGTCTCGAATGGAGCTTGGAGGAGCTGGAGTTTCCAACTCTTCACGGTAGAGACACGAAGTCGGCATCAACCTTGGCATTCGGGTTGTTAGCGAATGCTAGGATTCGGGCAGACGCTCAACCAGGACGCAGCGATCGAAGGAATCCAGTCAGAGTGTCATCACGAGAGTGAAAAATGGTTCGTACGAGATGAGAAATTTGAATCATTTGGTAAAGATTATCATTTGTTCGGTAGTAACGCAAAGATCCCAAGACATGATCAAATGACCACGTCTGAATGGATTTCAAAACGTGGGTTTTACGTGTCCTACATTATGGATGTCCCACCCGTATCTGTGCCCCAGCGCATGATACTCTGCGACAGTGGCTCTTCAGAAGGCGGGTTTTGGAAGTACAATTTTCGGCTGGATGTGCTATTTTCTACTTCCTCGCCCATGGAAAGGTGAGAAACGATGGAATCACAGACCGCGTGAGCATGTCCGGTTTCCATGTCCACCGGGATGAGGAAGCCTTGATGTGCCGGGAGCAGAAGTCTTGGAGGAAATTATGCCCAAAGGAAGATTCCAACTGGATTCCACCGTAGTATCATGGACAGTGGATCTGACTGGGAATGGCGTACGAAGTCCAGCAAGTTCAGGAATAGCTGAAGTGACAGAAATATTGAACAACAAGCATGTCGTTTTGTGACGGGACAATGCACGGAGATTTTGAAGTCGTCGAATCCATTTTTTTCATTTCGATAGATAGGACTGTAAGGGAAAAGAGGGCTCTTCTCGAAGGAAGGTAGACCCAGACCAAAGGGAACTTGCCAGTTACCCCTCCACCCTTCTTTTCATGACCAATTCCTCAAACTGGACCGGTACAAGTCGCAGTTCGTCTGTCAAGTGTAAACCACCGAAATCAGCTATTCGGTTCGAGAGCCACCCTCCAAGAGAGGAACTTAAGAAAGCTGGGATCGGTATGGCTTACATCAATTCAACCCGCGAACACCCTCTAATGCAAACCACATCCCAGCGACATGATTAATTTAGCGCTGGCGGGAGGCGGTCCACACGTTCTTGAGGTAACCGTCACGCTGAGCGAGGCGGTTGAAGGAGTCGTCGCTCTCACCGCGGGAACGGATGAAGCCGCACAGAGCGTAGGTCTGGTTCTCGCCGGTGTAGCGGCCGTTCTCGTCAACCTTTCCGACGGAGATCTGAACGGAGGCGTGGTCATTGGCCTTGATGATGCGGCTAGTGGCGCTGCACTTGCGGGGCACGTAGCTATTGGCGAAAGCAAAGATAGAGTAATTAGCGACTGACTCAAGGTATGCATCGGGTACTCCGAAGCCAAGCAAACCTCCGCCATGTGCCCTCAGCGGATATCCTGAATTCGATACTTGTGCGACAAGAGTAGATTTGTCGAAGTCGCAGGGTTTTCGTCTGGGGCGCCGTTCCGAGAACATGGTTGTTCATCATATCGCATGGCGTGGTCCGGCGCAGTCGAGGAAAATTTGAGAATTCAGGATATCCCGCGAGGCAATGGCGGAGTGTTGGCGGTTGATGATATTGGGGGAAACACATACAGATCGACGATCTCTCCCTTCTCGTTCTCCATTTTGAATGATTGTGGTTGGGGGAGGGGGGTTTCGGCGGGCGACGGTGAGGTTGAATAAGATGGGAATTTTGAGGACCTGTAATTCCAGAGACTCAAATGATTTGTGTGGTCATGTGACTATTTGTCGAGGGCTGCCGGAAGACAAGTGGGGCGTGCTGGGCTTGAGCACCGTATCAGGGTCCGTGGCAATACTGTAAGAAGCCGCCTGCACTTGGCAAACATTCGAGAACTCTGCTTCCTGTTCAGGACTGCATAACTACATACAATAGATTGACGGTTCAATTCATGGACGAAAAGCCTCAAGTTTTATTGCATGATTGCACGATATACATCATTGCCCGAGGCGCGATGATTGCTCATTTCTTCTAGGCTAGGCATACACAAATGACGACAGGTTCGTTATGTCGTAAAGTACTGTGCAAGGTCAAAGGTTACTGCGCTCGTCTTTGAGGATATCCTTTTTCAAGGCAACCGTTACTTCCCTCGCAGACCCCTTCATGAATCGTACAAGAACGACATAATCCGACTCGCCCTGCCTCTTCGACCCTTTCAATTCATAACCCGGGTCATGCAACGCGAGAACGGTACGTCCATCCGCGGCAACTTTGGTCATCTTGGGTGATATGCACTTATCTGTCCAAGCAGGCGATCCCGAGTGTATGAATCTGATGAGTTTGTTTCGTCGATGCTCCATTTCTTCCACAGAAAGCCCTGTCCGTGGATGCTGGTCCAGGAAGCCAGACACCAGGTACAAAAGTAGGAATTGAGGCGGGAAAAGGATGATCTCTCCGTTCTGTGCGCGACGCAGCCATTCCTTTGCCGGCAAAAATTGTGCCTCTGTGACTTCGATGCCACCGTCACTCGATGGCACCTGGATCTCCTCGCGCTCACCCTCTTGTGGCAATTCTTTGAGTAAGCTTTCATCCACGTTCACTGGCAGTGGCATGAAGTAGATGTACATCTGGGTTGTATAGCGCTTGGCATTTGCACTGGGGGTTATCCAGCGGGTGAAAGGGGTCAATTTTTCTGGTAAGCTCGAGTGTTAGTCGTGCAATGTGCAATTGAGTGAATCGTTTCCAAAGCAACATACCTGTGTCAGGCTCGGCATCCGGATGTTGTTGCGCTAACCACTCGTCAAACGTCGCTTTCCCTTGATGAATGAGCTTCCGGCCCTGCTCCCGCGTGGCCTCGTCAACAGCTAACATTTTCCCGGACTTGCGATCTTTGGCAAGCAAAATTCCGCTCTCCTCAAATAGCTCTCGAAGGGCAGCCCGACGGTAATGAGGTCCGTCTTCATGTCTGGAAAGATTCTCGGGTGGAGGACACGGTCCGTCTTGCTCAGACAGATTACCTCCAGGAAAGACATGGGCAGACGCAAAAGAAGTCGATGTCTTGACTCGATGGAGCAACAAGATTTCATTTTGCGGTGAGACCAAGATTACACTATCGGGAATTGTCAGTGACGTTGCGCTTCGAACAGGCATATCGACTGCAGTGGCATTCGATGTTGGGCTATCGCTTGCTGGCGGCCTGTTTGGAGCCAAGGGATGTGCTTATGTTGACAGAATTGATGGACAAAGCTTACCTGGAACTGGGCCGGGGCAAAGCTGGCATTTTTTTTGCCTCGCCATGGCTGCTTGAGCGTGACATGTGAGGTGCTCTCAGGGGACTTTTGGAATCGTTTGAGTTTGTTGCGTAGGATGTGGATGAGCAGTCTTGCCAGTGACTTCGCGGGAATACTGATCTGGGTTGGGTAAATCGCGCCGCTGACTGAAGGCGAAGGTCTGTGAAAGAACTCAATGGGAAACGGCGGCAGCAGGGAATGCTGAAGATGAACTTGGACATATCCTCTGTATCGCTCTTTCTAAGCGCTCTCGGGAAGGTTCATAAGCAGAGGGTCGCTGGGCCGAGAGCCTAGGCTGATCCCTGTACCCCGCGCTTGTGCTGGTGATATTGTTTCCGGGGCTACATTGATTGGCAGATGGGAGCGGACGTCGGCCCTGCATAGCACGTTGCCACTAAGCCTCTTTCGCGGCCCAGGGGAGGTATATTTGATGGAGTGGAAAATGTCGTGCTTGAGTCGCAAGTACAAGCACAAAAGGCAGTCTACCATCTGAGAGGAAATGACCAACAACACTGCTTGATAAGCACGGGAAAGGCTGAGACAAGGAACTCATTGAAAGGATTCGGGGTGATTGAAAGTGGCCGAGAAGTCGATGCCAGGAACCGTGCAATAAGCCCACCTAATCTTGAGATCTTTCTATGAAGCAAGCAACGTATTCACTCCTTGGACGGGGCGGCTCTCAGCGCCTGATGAAGAGGTCATCCCACTGGCCAGCCGAGGCAATTTGGCTCATCTGTTAGACCAAACCCGGTTGGTCTCCCCAAAACAGGCAATCTACGGCGCGTGCCTTGTATCTTAAATCCCAGACCCAGAATAGATGGTGCTAGGAGCTCTACGGCTTGGAAAGAAAAGAAATACTTCGAATACAAATAGTGTCGTGCAACTGCATTCATGGCATATGTGCTAAGTCCCAAAGGATAAAACTCCTCAAATCTAACTCCAACCCTTGACATGCCCCATTTTGGTATTGTTTTCAATCGCGTCGCATCGTACAGGACATCCCGATTAGATTTATTCACAAGGTAGGAGCCCGTTCATACAAGAAGGCCGACCGCCTTAAGAGTACAGCTTCTTGTCGTAGCTGTGGAGGCCGTGGACGTTACCCTCGACCTGAGCACTGGCACTGCGCATCTCGAAGCGAACAAGACCCTTGTTCACACCGTCGTGCAGCTCATCAAGCGACTTGACACCCATGTCCTGCAGAGAGTGCTGAATGCCAGCGACAAGATAGGGAACGAATTTGGTGACAGAGCCGCGGTCCAGAACGGAGCCAGCAACACCCTGGGCGACGAGAACACGAGAGTTCTCAGAGAAGTAACGGGCGGTGCCGGCATTACTAGCCTTGTTGGCAGAGCTGTCCTTGCTGTTACCACCCGCCTTCTTGTCCTCCATGGCGGCAATGGAGCCCATGCCACGGTAAGACTTGACAAGCTGGCCTTCGTTACTGACGAAGTACTCGCCAGGGGACTCAGTGGTACCGGCCAAAAGACCGCCCATCATGACAGTGCTGGCACCCAAGGCAAGACCCTTGACAATGTGACCGATGTTTTGGATACCACCGTCGGCGATGCAAGGAACACCAAATCGCGCAGCGAATGCAGAGACACTGCGGACAGCAGCAGCCTGGGGGCGACCGACAGCCATAACTTCTTGGGTGATGCAAGCACTACCGGCGCCCATGCCAATTCTCAGGCCATCGGCGCCAGCAGCAATGAGCATAGCGGCTTGCTCCTTAGTCACCACGTTACCAGCAATGACGTCGATCTGGGGGAATTCCTTCTTGATGAACTTCAGCATCTCAGTCTGGTACATGCTGCTACCGTTGCTGGAGTCGAGGATGACAATGTCGAGACCGGCGTCCACAAGCAACTTCAGACGGTACTTGTCTTCCTCACGAGTGCCAATTGCGGCAGCGCAGATGAGCTGCTTGGAATCAGGAAGCTTAGAGGCCAAGGGGTAGTGGAGGTTCTTCATCAGGTCGGAGCGAGAGAGCAGCGAGACGAGGTTGCCAGAAGCATCCACGATGGGCAGCTTGCCCTTCTTAGAGCGACGCAGAACCTCGTTGGCCTCAGCCAGGGTGGTCCCAGCGGGGGCAGTGACCAAATCAGTGGCCATGATGGCGGTGACAGGCTCAGACAAGTCCTTGTGGAACTGAATGTCACGGGAGGTGACCATACCGATCAATTTTGAGCTCAGGGTTCCGTCCTCTATCACATGAGAAAGTTAGCACTCAAGCCAAGCAAAATGATGTGATGATAGGTCGTTTGATTGTGGGCAAGATCAGATAAGAAAAGGTTCTCTACAGTGCAACTCTCGTTGCTGCCAGTGGAACGAAAGTTATGATTGATAAGGTTTGTTCATCATGCAATAATGGAGTGCCGGGTTTGGGGGGGGAAGACAGGTGGAGAAACGTACCAGTGACAGGGAAACCACCAAAGCCCCACTTGGCCTTCAGATTCTTGGCCTCTCCCACGGTGGCCTTGGGAGAGAGAACGACAGGATCGAGAATGAAGCCATTTTCATATCGCTTCACCTTGCGGACCATCTCAGCTTGATCCTCGGGGGCACAGTTGTGGTGAATGACACCCAGACCACCAAGCAGGGCCATGTGGATGGCCATGTTGTGCTCGGTGACAGTGTCCATAGGTGAAGAAAGGAGGGGAGCCTTCAGAGAGATGCGCTTGGTGACAGGGGTATCCAGGCTGACATCGGAGGCAGGGAAGCCTGTTGACCGGCGTTATTAACATACGGGCCTTGCCAAACCACCGGTTAGTTTGGCTTACCGATATAGCCAGGCAAGAGCAAGAAGTCGTTGTAGGTCAATGCTCCATGGCTATCAGAATCCAGCAAAGTGTCCACATCAAGGCCATCCAGTGTGGCATAAGTCTTCACGACCTCGAGGGCCTTGGTGTAGTCTTCGATCTCAGCCTTCATAGCGGCACCAGGCGCGGCTTCCTTGTCGGTGATAGGCATAATTGGAATGAAAGAGAGGCGGCTGATAAAAGACTCTGTGGGGTATCAAAGCTGACCTTATAATCAACAGGAGAAACAATCTGTTGATGGGGAGAGACCAGCTTTCCCAAAGAAAAGAAAGAAGAGGGAAAAGTCTGCGCGGACGATGTCTTCCTTTTCACTTTTTTTTGCGAGCAACGGGCCCTTTCCTGCTTAGGACTAGCGTTGAAACTTTTTCATCCCACGTCCTTGGGGACGGTCATTGGTTGATTGCCGAGCTTCCCCGGTGATGGCATTCTGCCGCAGTGCCGACCGGGCCCTGCGGGAGAACGATAGACGCGAACCGCCTACTCCAGAGAGTCCAAGCGGACAATTCTGTGGATAAGGGCAGTCTTGAGTCTAGTGTCTACCCCCCTGAGAAGTACAAAATCGAGTAATAACCTTCCAAATCCAGTCCAGTTCATTACGATCAGTCAAGTCGGATGACACATTATTCAAACGTTGTCATGTTGCGCCTCTAAATCCGAGATGCGGTCAACGTCCCGGGCCCAGGTTCCGCTTGAGAAAATTTTGGCTGTGAGGAGCTCCAAAAATAATGAAGGCGTGCTTGACACTGAATACTAGGCCTCGGGGTCAATTTTGATTCTCCACAGGAATCATCAAGTCCACTTCGTACTTCGGGTCCCCATTTTGAGGATCCTAGATCTTTTATATCTGATAGTAGTGGACCTTTGTAGCATCCATCGACATTTAGTCCCCTCCTATTTTTTCATACATAGATGAAATACTCAGATGGCTTCCATCAAGCCTGCTGTGTGTGGTTATGCCAACATGGATGATGCTGAGGTTGACCTAGGTAATTATACCTGTAACCTAGTAGGTCCCTGGTACAGTACCAGTATCCTCTCGAGGTTCCATTTCCAATTGTGCCGTACATGCTAAATATAGGCTATAAGATACGTAGTGATGAAAGCTCATATGGGTCTCGTGCGAACACGACTGTATGACTTCTATTCATTACGATAAACGATTTGCATCTCTTCGTCAAGGGGTGGGTCCATCTTCAGGAAGGCGATGAGGCGGCTGGATCCAAGACACAAAGCATCGTCTCCAGGCCTTTTTATTCGGAGGCAGCCTTCAAAGTTGACGAGTTGCACAACACCCGATGTCTTGTCCGAATCATTGGATCAAGTGAGTTTGGGCGAAATAAGTTGAATTGTGCAAGGCGACTCTCGATGCAAGTCCAAGCTTTAGCCTAGTACAGGAGCCACGGTTTTGCGCCATCTAGAGCTTTGTCCCAACCTTCCTCGTTCTGCCAGATTGCCACGCTTTCGACCTCTTCTCTGCCGAGTTTGAGGCCATTGTACAGATGCTACCAGTCGCTTCAAGTCAGAACATCTCACATCAGCATCGCGGACGTCCCAGCAACCACTTACCGGAAAAAGTCCTTCCCCGGGACGCGGGCCGCACACTGTCCCATCTGGCGACTCCCACCGAATATCCTGAATGATATCTGCGTAGTGAATGCGCAAAATATACACCAGAGGCTCTTCGCTGAAGAAGAGCTTAAGGGTATTAGGGACCTGAGACGCCATCGAAAGATGAATGAAGCCTGAGTCTTGATCCAGCTGACTGACTGGCAGTCGATCAGGTATCGGCTCCCGCACAGGAGCTGTAGAGGGGACGATCTTATAAATATATCTGGGCTGAGTCTCGAGTGCCGCCATGATTGAGAATTAGGTAGGTAGCTACTCCAGTGTCGATGGACAGTCGTGAATCGATGTTCCAATTCCTGTTGGGGACACAACAAAGAGGTCCTGAAAAAAACTGGAATGTCACGAGAGCGTTCAGGTGGGAGAAGGATGAAGATCAATTTTATCAGAGTTGAGCGGATATTGGATCAGGAGGTGTGCGTGACACTCTGCTCCAGATCCTGCCGGGGGTTCAAGCTTGCTGGGCTGGTTGATGGAGGTACCTTACCCCTTGGGCTTAGTAGTTGGGTAGGCGAGGTACACCGATACAGTAATCTAGGTACCTAAGGTACTTGGTAAGTCGGAACTTAAGACTTGCACTTGCAGACTGCAGTACCGACAAGTAAAAGAAGGGGGCCTGAGTTTTGGATGCGCCTCACGTCCGTGGGTCAGCCACTTGACTGACTACCTCATCGCCAAGCTTTTGCATCGATCAGCCGGACTACCTACTACTATACCTCGATCGATCGTGAATGATTGACTGACTCATGCATGCATCCTTGCTGGGCAGTGTACCTACGACACTCTTCGCAGCCGACTCTCACCAAACCCTTTCTGCTCGGAGGAGGACAACGTACATTGACTGTCCCGCCAACACTGCTTCCGTTGGGAACATGTCCGCACTGCTCTCCCGATCGGACTTGTGATTCGGATTCACCATTGGGGCTCCAGCTCCAGCGCTTGCAACGGCAATCACTGGCTTATATATATCGCCCACTTAGCAGGGTGTACCAGATACATGTTAGTGAGTAACTAGCTCTTCTAATGACCTCGGTGATCGTTGTTAAGTTGCGAAATTACTCTTTACCTCCTAGGTCTGAAGTAAATTTGATCTGTCGGTTACCCCGACTCCCCTTCAGTTGAATTGGAACTTGGCGTTACTTCACTGGGCTCCAAAAGATAGAAATGTGTTGATGAGGCTCACATCAGTGTGGAACTGTGGATGCCTTACTGGTTACTGGGTCATCTCAGTGTGGAGGTGTTCGTTGAGAAATGTTCAACTTAAGCCGAGACGACGCATAACCACTCTCTTCTGGACAGCCACGGATTGTATGTAACGAACCACTCAGGTCCCTGCTAATGATGACCGGCGATATGGTTGAAAAATTTGCGAAGAAGGTATCATGACTAATGAGTACGGGCAGAGACAAGTATGAATACGGGCAGGGTTGCCACTTACCAGTCGTTATTCCGTGACTTCATCGAGTGAAGGGGGGCAACGGGCCTGGCGGGTACTTACAACGGGCACTGGGCGCTGGGCAGTCGGCAGCGGGGACTCGGCCTGTAGAGGCCGATGGTCGCTCATCACAACACCGTAGTATTTGCGACCGACCCGCTTGCACAAGACGTCACGCACATTTCAAGCGATGAAACTAGCCAGCATGAGTAGATATGGAGTTGGCTAGGTCCTTAGATTGGAGAAGCCTTAAGAGCTACCGAACTGCCAAACCTCATCGGTATATCTGATATAACAGTTTGCAATGCTCTGAGCAGTAGTGAGAAGAGAGCCGCGAAGAAACTAGAGATCGGCGGCGATCACCTGATTGACGCTAGGCCTAATTGAGAGATTTGTTTTGGACATGTCTCCTTTGGGCTTGGGGAATCCCGGTCGCACATGCCCAGCTGGAAACCCCCACCCAACCACAAACTCTCAGCAGCGCCGTATCGTTAGCAAAACGCATTTTCCTCCAAGATTAATCTTTGACATTGTCGCACTCTGCTGGTTGACAATATCCAAATCATCCACAATTCACGCCTTGTGTATCATCTCCGTCACAGCAGGGGAGATCGATAAGTGGTGCGGTTCATATCACCTTCTCTTGATTCCGGATCGGAGACGTTGCCCATCTCCCAGAATTGGTCTGAACCACCCCAACTCACCTGTTCTGTGTAGAGAGCAGGGATGCGTTCAACCGAGTGCCGCGCCACCTTTCTACCGATACTTAATTCCACGTCGCGACGATAGAGAACAATGTCCAACCAGTTTCCATCGCTTAAGCGCACCCAAACGGATCTCCCGATACATTCGGCGAGTCCTCTGCGACACGGATCAACTGCGTCGACGAATTCCTCCGCTTACTCGGTCGCTTCCGGCTCGTTTACACCCAGTCGGACCAGCACCGTCTCATCGAATGCGTCTATCAAAAGTAACCTAGGTCACTTCCGCGGCAAGAGCGAAACAAGCGCATCGACGATGAAGCCTGGCGGTGACAAGAACTGGGCCGACGCTGGATCAACGTACGACAGTATCAGGCAGTCTCTGAGACCACTTCAACAACCACCAAATCCCACTCAGGTACCTCCCAAACCGCAGACCTACCGACATGCGCGGAGCTACACGATCGATGAGGGACGGTCTCCCAAAGGGCATCGAACTGGTACCCCGGAGACATCACGGGTTCATTTCAAGGAGAATGAATCACCCCATCACAGAGCACCAGTATTCAAAGCACAAACGCCACCGAGAGGGATGGTAGCTCCTGCGTTGTCTCCCAATACCACCCCGGGGTCCTCTCGCCCTTCGTCTCCTCAAAAAACCCTCTCTAACAGTCCGCATCCTCCACCGTTAACTACTGCATTGTCCGCTCCGGAGCTGGAAAAATTCCAGAAGTCCTCCACACGCCACTTGCGAACACTGTCCAAAATCGCACAGTCAGGCGATACCGATGAATTCCAGTTTGGAGGGACAAGTCAGTCGGTTGTGGGAATGCAGGGACGTCGGCGCCTGAAGCGCGCAGATTCAATTGCTAGTGGGCGGACGGGCGCAGTCTCACCGGAGAAGCCCAAGGTGTCATCTTGGACCGCCGGAAGCTGGATGGATCAACAACGACAGTTCTTGCAGGCGTACGAGTACCTGTGTCACATTGGTGAAGCTAAAGAGTGGATCGAGAGTGTGATCAACAAGGAGATTCCGCCTATTGTTCGACTCGAAGAAGCTCTTCGGGATGGTGTCACTCTTGCAGAGGTTGTCCAAGCGATGTATCCTGATCGGGTTTTGCGGATCTTTCGGCACGCAAAGCTTCAATACCGCCATTCAGATAATATTGCCCTGTTCTTCAGATTCCTTGATGATGTGGAGCTGCCAGAGCTATTCCGTTTTGAGCTCATCGACCTTTACGAAAAGAAGAATATACCGAAAGTCATCCACTGTATCCATGCTCTGTCTTGGTTGTTGTTCAAGAACGGCATGCTGGATTTCCGAATGGGCAATCTGGTTGGTCAGCTAGAATTCGAGCACCACGAACTCGAACAAACCCAGAAGGGTCTTGACAAATCTGGTGTCAGCATGCCCAGCTTTGCTGGTATGGCTGCAAACTTCGGGGCCGAGCCGGAGCCTGAACCAGAACCTGTCGAGTCGGAAGAAGAGCGCATTGATCGAGAGCTCCATGAGAATGAGCAGTCGATTGTCGACTTCCAAGCTCAAATCAAAGGTGCAATGCTGCGACTCAAACTTGGTACAATGATGAATGATCTATGGGACTTTGAGCCTTTGTTGGTCGAGTTGCAATCACGGCTGCGCGGAGATTGGGCTCGGCAGATTAGCCAGTACCGCCTAAGCATGCGTCAATTTGCAGTCCAGCTGCAGGCTCTCAGTCGTGGATACATTGCGCGCCGCCGTCAAATGAGTGACAAGACATTACGAGACACCCAGGCCACAGCTTTCCTCCAGCTGCAAAGTCTGATTCGAGGTTCAAAGGTGCGAGCAGACGCGAAATTACTGCAAACACATGCTCAACGCCAAGAATCCGGCATCAAGGAGTTTCAGGCTGCTATACGTGGTGCCTTGCAACGTAAGGCAGTCTCCGAGCGTTATGAACAAACCCATAATGCCGAAGAGGACGTCTTGAAGCTCCAGGCCATTATTCGAGGTGCTTTACAGCGCAAAAGCCTTGCTGTTCAATCGCAAGAAGTACAGCAAAGCACTTCGCCTATCCAATCGTTGCAGTCGGTTGTTCGAGGTAACCTTGCTCGACAGCACTTGGCACAGATTAAGTCATCTCTCAGCACCGAAGCAGATGCGATTACCTCCCTTCAATCAATAGCAAGAGCCATAGCAACCAAGGACCGTCAGAACCTGCTCCTGCAGGCTCTGGCTGACACGAATGATCAATGCACAATCTTGCAGGCTATGATAAGAGGCGCGGATGCACGCCAGAGTACGTCAGCCCTTCGCTCTGCGTTGTCCGAACATAGCGCTGCTATTGTAGATCTACAGAGTATCATGAGACAGAAGGCCGTGAGAAAGGCGCTTGATGCTCAATTGAGCTCTCTGCAAAAGGAAGAGAACATGATCTTGGATTTGCAGTCATCGATCAGGGGTCTTTTGGAGAGACGGAGCCTGGCTCGACTCCAGAGTGCCCTCCAATCTCACAACGCTGAAGTTGTCGGTCTTCAGTCCCTTGCGCGCGCTGCAATCGAGCGTATTCGCGTAGGACACATCCTGTCGCAAGTCGAGGATACTGAGGAGGAAGTTGTTCAACTTCAGGCACTGTCACGAGCCATGCTTGTTCGAATCCATGTTGGTCAAGCTTTGGCCGAGCTTGAGGATGAAGAAGAATTCATTGTTGATCTACAAGCCTGCATCAGGGGTTCCATGGTCCGCACTCGCTTCGAGGAGCGGCGTCGTCACTACAATGAAAACATGGAGAAAGTCATCAAGGCACAGAGCGTGATCCGAGCTCGCATTCAAGGTCAAGCCTACAAGAGTCTGACTAGCGGTAAAAACCCGCCTGTCGGTACTGTCAAAGGCTTTGTGCATCTCCTTAATGACAGCGACTTTGATTTTGACGAGGAAATTGAATTTGAGCGGCTGCGGAAGGTTGTCGTTCAACAAGTTCGACAAAACGAGCTGGCTGAACAGTACATCAGCCAGCTCGATATCAAGATTGCTCTGCTCGTCAAGAACAAGATCACGCTTGACGAAGTTGTCAAGCATCAGAAACACTTCGGCGGACACATTGGCAACCTTCTGTCCAATACCGACATCTCCTCCAAAGATCCCTATGATCTCAAAGCTCTGAACAAGACGTCGAGAAGAAAGCTTGATCAGTATCAAGTGTTCTTCTTCTTACTCCAGACTCAGTCGCAGTACCTGGCGCGTCTGTTCCGCCGTTTACGAGAGCTCAACACTTCTGACAAAGAATACGAACGCATACGGCATTTGATGATGGGTCTGTTCGGATATTCTCAGAAGAGGCGAGAAGAATACTACCTTATTAAGCTCATATCTCGTTCGGTGAAGGAAGATATCGAAACATTTGCCACACTGCCGGAGTATCTGCGCTCACACGCGTTTTGGAACAAGCTTTTTGCCTCATACGCCAAATCCCCTCGTGATCGGAAATTCATGCGTGACGTCTGGGGTACGGTTGTCAAAGAGTCTGTGATCAACAACGCAGAGCTTGATTTGGAGAGCGACCCCATTCAGATCTATCGGTCTTCGATTAACAACGAAGAACTTCGAACAGGCCAACGGAGTCGGCGACGACCGGACCTTCCTCGAGAGGAAGCCATCAGGGACCCGGAAACTCGTGAGACGTTTATTCAACACTTACAGGACTTGCGTGACATCGCCGATCAGTTCTTCGCGGCCTTTGAAGACTTCCTGTATCGCATGCCCTTTGGTACAAGATACTTGGCACAGCAAATGTACGAGAGTTTGCTCTCAAGATTCCCTAATGAGGATCCTGGATATGTCCTGCAGACTGTTGGGCTTTGGACCTGGAAGAACTACTTTCAGCCTGCTCTGCTGGAGCCAGAGAAGTATGGAGTTGTAGACAGGGGTTTGACGCAAGAACAGAAGAGAAATCTTGGTGAAATTGCGAAAGTTGTCGCGCAAGTGGCGTCTGGAAGGCTCTTTGGGGCTGAGAACGTCTATCTTCAACCATTGAACTCATACATCGGTGAATCAATACAGCGACTTGGGCAAATTTGGGGTCAAAGTAAGTCATGTGGGAGTCTTTTATCCTGTCGTGCAGATTGTCTCTAACAGTACATTAGTGGTCTCGGTGCAAGATGCTGAGGCATACTTTGATATTGACGAGTTTAACGATCTTTACGCAAAGGCGAAGCCTACGCTATACATCAAGATGTCCGACATTTTCTCCATTCATCAACTTGTGGCGTCTCAAATTGATGTGATCTGTCCGCACCCGGATGATTTCCTCAAACAGCTCGTGCGTGATCTTGGAAATGTGAAGACCAATGAAAACGAGTTGATGGGTGTGAGCTCAACTGAAATTAACTTGACACTCAACCCGAAGCTCGCTCAGACCGAAGGTATGTGGAGGTAAACACAGTCCTTATCATTGAACCTCGCTAAACAGAGCTTGCTACAGATCCCGAGGCCGACATCAAAACCTTGTTCATGGAGACAAAGAGATGCATACTTTACATTATTCGAGTCCAGACAGGCGCGAATCTCCTAGATATCATGCTCAAGCCTCCAAGCGTTGAAGATGAGGAACGTTGGCACACTTTGGTGCGGGAGGAGCTCAGCTCAAGCAATTCTCGTCGTGGAGCCTATTCGGAAGCCACGACGCTCATCGACATTGGGTCTATGAACTACACCGAGCTCAAGGGCATTGCGCTTGAGAACATCCTTCGACTCGAGCAAGCTGGCAAAATCAGCCGACACAACCACTACCAAGACCTTCTCAATGCCATTGCGAGCGATATTCGGACAAAACATCGCCGTCGAGTCCAGCGCGAGCGTGAGCTGGAAGGTGCGCGGTTGACCTCGGCTCGCCTCAGTGATCAGGCGATCTATTTGGATCAGCAGCTCAAAACTTACAATGACTACATTGAACAAGCCATGATGACTCTGCAGAACAAGAAGGGGAAGAAACGTTTCCTAATGCCATTTACCAAGCAGTGGGACCACCAGCGTGAGCTACAAAAATCAGGCAAGGTCTTCAAGTTCGGCTCGTATAAGTACTCGGCACGAACGTTGGCTGAACGAGGTGTTCTTGTCGCCTGGAAGGGGTACTCTGAGCGACAGTATGATCGAGTCGACCTGACTATTTCGAGCAATGAAGTCGGAGTGTTTACCATCGATGGAAGCACCGGCAACATGATGGTTCCTGGCGCTAATGCCCAAGTACCCCTTGACGATCTGTTGCAAGCCCAATTCAACAATACGCAGTTCATGGATTTCTTCGATGGGCAAATGAGAGTCAATGTGAACCTCTTCCTGCATCTGATCATGAAGAAGTTTTACAACGAATAAAGCTTACATTGACGGACTTGATGAGAGATGACGGCTTTGGGGGCAGGAGTTCTCTTGCATTTGGATTCGCACTCATGTTTTTTTTTGTTCCTGTTACACGTTTAGATACCTTGGTATTTGCCCCTGTTGCGATTTTATGAGTACTCTCTTGATACCAATATCGACTCCATTTTATATAGGCTCTGCAACTATATATTCTTACAATTGAAAGGTTCCATTCACAGATAATAGCACATAATATGAGAAGCTTGGGAATTTTTGGCAAGACAAGTTCGATGTCATTGGCATTGTTGATGGTAGCCTGTCATAGAGGGTGGTTGTCCAGTAAGGTCAGGGGTCGGATGCCACGTGACAACGTGGCGCCTGAGAGTGGGAGTGGGATCAACCAACTAGTTAGGAACCGGCCGACTCCCTCTTCAGCTTCTCCTCTCACAATTGTTGCCAGTTGGTTTGGACCCTTTCGTCGCAGCTCCAATCCCTCTGTGTCTGTGGTGCATCTCAAATTCGCTCTGTGATAGATTGTTTCAAGCTATCTGCGCCCTGCGACTTGCTGTCCTGCCATTCCGTCATCCCTCGACATGGACCTCTCCAACCTCCAAGAGAAGGTCAGCAACCTGACCTTATACGACCTCAAAGCCGGTGTCCGTAAAGTCCAAAATGGTGAGCTATATCCTTGCGCGAAATTAGGATATACTTCATATCTAGGGCCCTTCACTCCATATCACCGTTGGGACCATTTGTGCTAATAGCTCCGTCATAGCCGTCATGAACTATACCGAGATGGAGGCCAAGGTCCGCACTTACTCCAACCCGCCACCCCGCTACAAGCCACTTGCAGCAATTCAATGACGCGAATTGGATCGTTACAATCACGCGGTTTGGGAGCGATGGCTAATGTGTAGTACAGGTCCGCGAAGCGACCAACAACGAGCCTTGGGGTGCTTCGACCACCTTGATGCAAGAGATCGCCAATGGAACGCACAGTTAGTACGTGATGCCTCGCCGTTCATCTAAGTTTGCGTGGAAAGAGATTGGTCTAACTTTGGCCGTGAAGTCAGCTACTCAATGAGATTATGCCATTGATCTACAAGCGATTTACCGACAAGAGTGCTGAAGAGTGGAGACAGATCTACAAGGTGTGTAGAGCAGCGCATCGAGCTTGCTGTTATCGAGAAGACGCTGACTTCCATTTCCTTCCACAGAGTCTTCAACTTCTCGAATTCCTCGTCAAAAATGGTTCGGAGCGGGTCGTTGACGACGCGCGATCTCACATGTCCTTGCTGCGAATGTTGCGACAATTCCATTTTATCGATGCGAACGGCAAAGACCAGGGTATCAATGTGCGCAATCGCTCATCAGAGCTTGTCAAATTGCTGGGTGACGTCGATCAGATTCGCACGGAGCGCAAAAAGGCTCGCGCCAACCGGAACAAGTTCGGTGGATTTGAAGGTGGTATGAGTGTTGGTGGTGGCATGTCTTCCGGCTCTAGCCGATACGGTGGCTTTGGAAGTGAAAGTCTAGGGTACGGCGGTTATAGCGGGGGTGTCTACGGCGACGGTGGAGGCTTCGGCGGAGCTTCAAGTGATTTCCAGGACACCAGCCGCGATACTAGCCGCCGGGGCAACCGTTTCGAGGAGTATGATGAATACGATGAGGGTACATCTGCAGGTCCACGACGCGAGTCTGCCCCAGCCCCGAAACCCAAGACGGAGCCAAAAAAGTCAGAACCTGCTCCTGTTGTAGACCTCTTTGAGTTTGGAGACGACGAGCCCGCCGCTCCCGCTACAAAAGCGACCTCTGTTGCCGCGGGTAAACAGCCTGCTAGTAGCGGCTTGAATATGCTCGATACAACGGCGGATGATGATGACTTTGACGACTTCCAATCGGCGACACCGGCAGTCCAGCCCACTCCTGCTCAATCGTCTAACTTCTCTATCCCCCCACCATCCACCACCTACAGCACAACTTCGAGCACACAATTCGCAGCACCTGTGCCTGTGTCTGCAGCGCAGGGGGCCAACATCAATGGCATTGTTGGCTTCACATCTGCCACCCCCACCCCTACTACAAGCTCCCTCGCATCGCCAGTCTCACAAACCGGATCTATGCAGCCAACGATGGCATCGAAGCCATCCGGTTACCAAGCCGCAACTCCCAACTACTTTACGTCTGTGTCAGTTGGAGCTGCACAGCCATTCTCATCTCACTCTTCCAAGCCATCTCTGTCTTCGCCCACGGCCGCATCGTCTGCCAGCAAGCCTACAACTAGTACTGCCAAGAAACCCTCCGGTGATGCTTTTGGGTCTCTCTGGTCCACAGCCAGTGCTAGCGCCGGCATTGCCAAAGCCAATGCAAACGCCAACAAGGGTCCCAATCTGGCCAGCATGGCCAAGGAAAAGGCCAGTGCCGGTATCTGGGGCGCACCAGCCGCGTCGACATCTACATCTTCGTCCGCGGCGCAGCAAAAACCAGCAGGTGGCTCCGCGTTTAATGATCTTCTAGGCTAGGCGGTTGGTCAATGCAGAAATGGACGAGAGATTGTTGAAGTGCCAAATCTTTTGCTTCTTTGTCTTTCTTGGACTCATTTGCGCCACGAATACATTGCGCGTGTATTCAAGCTTTTTCCACTTGCTGCCGTTTCTCTGTCACCGACGCTCTATTCGTGAATAGGTCTCTATTCGGGAATAGGTCTCAATGCTTTGGTTTCGCATCCTGGTCTTCTGTTTGTATTTCCATAAAACATGCGTGATAAAGCTCTTCAGTTTTCTTTCCCGCATTTTCCTGCCCTCCCGAGTCCCTACCGCCCTCCAGTTCTCCTTCGTCATTTCAATCCGAGGGCATTACCCCGCCTAGCAAACAATAATGATAAATCCGGCCTTCCTCTGATCGATAGACTTGCATCCTACCTTTCCACCCTGCCTAGTGGAGGATCGTCGCCACCAGTGAACGGTGTATGCCTTCCATCAGGAACAGACCGCCTCGATCTTGTACGTCGATCGTTTTGAAAAATCGTGATCTGGGAGTCTCGAAAAGATACTATGAGTAAATCAAAAGGTACAACTAGGTCAACTGGTATTGGTCAGCAGGTGACTTCCATCAGACCTTTGGCTCCCTCCATACTACCCAGGTGAAAAAAAAAAAAAAAAACGGCTCGCTGCCCGGTACCGACCTACCTAGTACAAGTTATTTCGGGGTTGGCCAGTTTCTAGGACAGTCCATAATTGGAAGTCTTCTTCGGCCTTGTGTTTCTTACATGCATATCTACTATCGAGTGGGTTTGGAACCGATTTAGTACGTTGTTGGTCAAAGGCCGAATCGACCCGAATCGACCCGATAGTCTAGGGTGCACCGTTCAGGTGGAGAGATAAGTAGACGTATTATGTGCTAGGGCTAAATGATGCAAGGCAAGGACAACGCCTGCGCTGAAGAATGGGAGTAGGTACATGTTTGGTCATGGAGGACATGATAGATGAGGAAATGAGCATGTGAACAATTGATAAAGACTAGAGAGGAATGTGGAATCATTTCTCATGCACATCGCTCCATCTAGATGAAGATTGAACAAGTTTCGAGGTGGAAAGAAAGAGACAAATTGTTGGACATCGCGAGTAGGCAAGGTCAATGGGAGGGGCTAACAGGGATCATGATTGCGGGGTTTTTTGAATGATGGATCTCGGCGGATGGGCATTGGGGACCATTGACATGTCGGGTCCGAGGAAAGACCTGACGGTTTTCCATCGGCAGTCTCGTCGCTGAGCTGGTCGCAAGCTGCCCGAGATCTTAAGGACTAGATTGGCCCTGAGGGCATACCGACGGTTTACGTAACTCGTCTGACGCATAAGAGGTACATGTTCGACGATTCATGTGCTTCTTCTGCGTTTCCAGTAAAGTGCTGAAGACCAGACCACAATGAGGTGGTGTAGGGTCTCCAGAGGCCTGGATAGCGCCCGAGTGCCAAGTCGGTTCGGTCGACTCCTGAGAGTGCAGCAATTACTCGCCAGTCACTTGTCAAAGTTGTCAAAGATCAACCGGCCAACATGAATCAGGCTGCGCATTGAATCTCAAGGTGGAAGGCTTACGGCTGCTTGCTGTCGGGGCTGCGCAGCGATGCAGCTCACATAGAGCACGTCGGATGTCGATCCGAGATCCTGACACTCAGGTCACCGACCTTGACTCTGAATGTGACTGTCCTCTTTGGGTCTCGGCTGCGACTCGATGCCGGCTTCCTCAGAAGCAGGCGGCAGTCCCCTGTTACCGATGCTTCCCGCTGTGCCTCGCATGGCATTTGCAGCGTGCTCATCGAGGTCAGTATTTTGGGGCACGCTCCCTTCCACGGCTTCAACATTGACATCCGCACTCAGCGAATTCAATCCCCCTTCAATGTCACGCAAGAGGCGAACAAACTGCTCAGGGACCAAGCCATTTTCGCCTGTCTTGGGGTCCTCGGCGACCAGCCAGCCTTCACCATGACGATATGAGACGTAGATGACTTGACCTTCCGTCAACGGAAGCTCGTTCTCGTGTTCCCGGACAAAGTCAAACAGCGCAACCGCCTTGCCGTGCATTTCTTCGTCAGGACATCCAACCGCAAACTGATAGTCGTTCGAATAACGATCCCCTTGCACGAATTCCTCCTCCGAGTCGTATTCATGATCTTGCTGGTAGCCGGGGTGAACATTGTATGCCACCGAATATCTTCCTTCGTTGGCTGGGTAGGTGATATACTCGCCCTCGCCCTCGCCCTCGCCCACCGCACCGCCATTGTTCACAAAGTATGTCTCGCTCCCATCGGGATTGACACTCACGAAAGTGCCGCGATCCGCAGTTGGCCCATATGCGGAAGCGCGGTCATCAAACATGCCGTGGACGTCGGTACCTTGGGACTTCTTGCGCTGACGTGAGGAGGTCACGACGGGACTGTGCAGATCCTCATCCTCACTGTAAGGAGGCCCATCCCCGAAAGACATTGCAGGTAACCGCTGCTGGCCCTGCGTCAATTCCGTGTTCCAACCACCGGTGGTAGCCCAGGGTCCCTTGGAGGTGTCCCACGCGCCTGGGGGATCGGACATGTGACGATACTCGCTAGCGGGGGTCGACACTCGTGACGTGAGAGGGGGTGGTGGTCCATAGTGCAACGGATGAATGGACGGATACGCGAAATCTCGGACTAGGGCGTACGGAAGGCTGGTGTGGAAGATGGGAAAGACATGGGAGCCTGGCCGTGACCGATTTTGGGAGACGAAAGAGAGATTCGAGTAGGTCGAGAGTCGATCTCGGGCGCTGGGGGAGGCTTTCACCGAGTTGTCGGTGAGGATGGGAGGTAAGACCTGTAAGTTGCTAGCCGAGGCATAATTCGGCGATGCTGGAGAGGTCATTGTCAGAGAAGGGGAATCGCCAATAGATATCGCTGTGGACGGCGAGAAGAACAATTCAGGTCGCGCAGGTGTAGTCCAAAGGTGAAGAAGATAATCATGGGCTGCGGTTTCAGTGTGAATTATTATTTTTTTCCCGTTTAGGAGCTGGAGATCCACCTTCGCATAGTGATACAGAAGTGCAGGTCGGTCCGTTTCTGAGAGCGCCGGGATGCGATCAATTGGCGCAACGAGATCGGCGGGCCGCGCGCGATGAGGTCTCGTGTACACTTGCCACCGGAGCCACACCCGGATGAGGAGGGTATTTGCACTGAGCAAGAAGGCGAATGCACTTGCGGAGGTCCGATCTGACGTGACCAGGGCCGAAGCAGGATGGGTGATGTTAATCCTCACTTGGGAAGTGGTACATCAACGAGGAAGAAATTGGCAGACACCGGCGAGCCGAAGGAATGGACCGTCTTTTCTCGAGGGCCACTCTGCGGGCAGTGCGCGTGGTGCACGGAGCCAGGGGTAGAAGACTTCAAGGGGCCCCACGAAGAAGATCACTGGTGTGAGACGACTGGAGAGGGTCAGAGGCCGAGACTCGAGAGAGATCCGAGGAGGGTTGGCTCCCGGGCAGAAGGGGTGACTCTGGAGTCTTGGTCGCGCGCGGGTCGAGGGTCCAGTAGGCTCTGGTGGAGGGGGAAGAAGACGGGAGGGGAGGAATGGGCAACACCAGCGAGCAGCAGCGGTGGCGGAGCTGGTGAAGACTGAAGACTGAAGACTGATGGGACTGAGGGTAGTCCTGGAGAGAGAGAGAGAGAGGTAATTGTGGTGCAGGTGCTGCTAGTAGTGGTGCTCCAGGCGCCGGTTCGGAAATGATGACTGGTGAGCGCGACGGCCAATTTAACTAAACGTGCTAAATATAGCAGGGTGCCTCAACTGCAAGTGATGGAAGGGTGTTCGGCAAGGAGAGTCCCAAGAGTGAAGAAATGGTCCATCCGTGGCCGAGAGATATCTTTTGATCGTCCAAGGTCGGCACTTGAGGGACAGCCCGAGCAGGACGAGGGATTCCCAAGGCTTGGAGAGGGGAAGATATGGTGAGGTGGTCGTGGTGAGGGTTGATGGTTTGAGCTTTTGAGGAGGGGGAGGGGCCATTTGCGTCGTTTCGTAAGTGGATTTGACCGGAGGTGGGGGGAACGGGCTCTTCTTTTTTTTTTTTTTTTGGTTTCTTAATTTTCTTTAGGTTTCATAAGGGGAGACGATACGAAGTTAGTGGTAGGGTGTGTAGTTGTGTACACTGTACAGTGTGCACACTCCTTGTCGTGTATTCTGTAGTTAGAGGGTAGAATTTAATATGTATAATGAGTAGTATTAGTCAAGGTAGACTACGAAACTCTGTAGTCCGACTTTGAACCAGACAGCACTCGACATCTACATCCACAGTATGATGGCCGCTCTGGACCCGTGTACAGACGTGCAATCATTCAATCATGAATGGTCATTGAGAATGTATGTACTGCCTTGTTGGTCACCACAGCCATAACGCCCAGGCCATTCACACCTTACGGTCAAATGCAATTCGTAACGATGCCGCATGGTCATACACACATAGATCCAAGGCTGCTGGTAGTCAAGGTCTCGTGTGGGCTACGAGCTACACTAAGTGGCCATCCGCATTCGGTGCCACGAAGGAGATTTTCTGTCGAATTGCTTGATTTCCGGCCTGAAACTCTAGGCCACAAGGCGCCAGTTCTCCGCTAGCACATGACGCGAAAGTACGTAACTACTAGTATGCAAATGTTTAGTAGTATGTAGTATGTAGTATGTAGTATGTAGTTAGTACTAATTACCTCATGTACCTGCTGCTAGTCTGCCCTGTAAGAGAGCCTCTTCTCAAGTCTCCTCTTCTTAACGTCACAATCAAACCAAGAAGCCCCATCCTCCAACCATCCAAAGGACTTCCAAATGGTGACCGAGTACTCAAGATGGTTCCAAAAAGGACCTAATCCCAGCGATATCATTACTCTTGATCGGCCAGGGCCTTCCTCTTAGAAGATTCTCGAGAATCTGAGCGAGCATGACTATCAGGTCAACATCGAAGAAAACAAAGAGTCTGGCAGGCGATCTTTGGCCTCGGCCAAGTATCTTTGCAGTGATCCCAAGTCCCGGACCAGGAAAGCTTTGATGCGTATCTACGCACAAGTCCCCCATGGGAAGACTGAGATGCACGATACTGCCACCCGAAGCCAACAAGCCACAACCTTCGAGCCCCTCGAATTGATCGCCTACCGAGACCTTACCGAACGGGGCTCGAGCGAGACACCTGGGCTTCTTGGATACAAGACCGGTAAACAGGATCGCTCCGGGCTAGTCCCGGGTGGATTTATGATCTGGCTTGTGTGGGAGATTGTCCCAGGGCTGCGCCTCGGAGACGGCAATGGCGCGGACGCATTCTGGGCTCTCGAAAGTGACGAAAGGGAGCGTGTTCGCATGGCTCTTATCAATGGTCTAGCGTAATTTGGGCACTCTTGAGTATTCGAGATAAAGACTAATTACTATCAAACATAGTAAGCTGTATGAGATCAAATGGCTACCCTGTATTCTCGGCGCACGTAGCCTGGTCTGGCACCAGGAGAAGCAGAAACTGTATACCTATACTATAACCATGTTGTAACGATAGGATGACTAACTTACTGACCTGCTGTGTGTGGTTATTTTATCGCGCTTTTCTCGAAGGTCGACAGACCCCGGCGTGATATTACTTTCGGTGCTGACTGGATGGCGCATTTTGATCTCGTCAAGCCCGAACCCTCCATGGATGAGACTGATCCTGACTGGGGAAAAGACACCTCGAGCTGGATCTATTAGTGGAGAGGAAGTAAAGTTTGTTGTTTGTTAACTTTTAAAGATTGAACTCAGTGATAAGACTGTGGCCTCTCAGAGATTAATTGGTCATCTTTGGTTACGCAAGCCCGTCTGTGTGTCAAACTGCGAGTCCGTGAGAGCTAACAATCCAACATGGTAAAAACTTTGACATAACGATATAGTCCTTCCTGAAGTACTCCCTCGGAAATTGTGATGAATCACTGGAGAGAATCCCAGTCCCCAAGCTCGACCGAAGTCCATCTTTCGAAGAAAGATCGTCAGCTGGTATGTTGTTAATACTCCATATTTCAGGCGTGAATCGAACATGTACTTGGCAATCTGGCCTTCACTCGCAAGTCAGCGTGTCAGCGTGTATTCACTGGGTCAGTCCCATCGATAGCTCATTGAACTGACCTAGTAGGTGCTGGAAAGGTTCCTCATCTCCTGTCTGGAAGAGAGAGAGAGAGATCGCCTTGCTTAGGCCATGATCATTGATCCAGGGGACCTTGACTTCCCCCACAACTTTTGCTTCGCGAGACGAGATCACAAGCACAAAATCAGGGACTTTTTTGTATCCCGGGGTTAGCGACGAGGCACCTCTGAAGCCACCCAGCTTGAGATCCTGATTCTGGGCCTCGAAAGCCACCCCGAGAACCTCCTCTGCTCGTCCTTCGAATCTACTCTGTACGCCATGCTCATCGCTCACAAGAACGTGCTCTTCGTCCACTGAGCCGGCCTGCAGGCTGGTTGACACCCTGGCCGCTAGTTCGCGCTCGTTCCATGTCTGGCTGTTGTATGTCTGCGAACCTTCTATCCGGAAGTTGGCCCAGCGCCTCAGAGCTCCGACAAACTGGATTCGACGCAGTGCCTTGCTACTGGTGCGGCTGAGTGGAACATTGAGACTCGGCAGAGGTTCGAGCAAGAGACTGGAAGCGTTATGGCTGACTGGGCTAGCCATTATGGTGTCGCGGCGGGATTGTGACTGGAATGATGGAATGCTGAATCCTGGTAGCGACGGAGGCCATGGTGGACTCGTTGAAAGACGGTTAGACAGCAGTACTAGAGCGAGGTGCAAGAGTGAGGAGGCGCTGTTGTTTGTGGTGCACTCGACAGTGCCTTCCCCATTGGGGGTATAGACCCTAGCGCACAGTGCCGTGTGTTCGACCCAGCCAAGAACACGGCAACTTCGGTGCTGCGGGTCAGCAACGGATCAACCACGATCCCAGGATATTATGGACATGAATATGTACGCCTCTAATCAATCTTCTTGTCTTTGTCGTCTTTTCTGTGCTAGGTCTAGAAGCTGGGTCTGCCTTGCGAAAATCGATGGGCATTGTACGGTCCAGTGCAACTGATTGATGCCCGCCAGGGACGAGGCTTATCTGAACTCGTGCTGTTGTGGGCGCCCGACAGGTGCATGCAATGGGTGCATTGTGGGGAGTAAATATAAGCTTCAATTTTCTTCGTATCTTCATTACTAAAGAACAAGGAATATTGGAGGCTTAAAGCGGACCATTCACCCACCACGCAAGTAATCTGAAGCCCATATGATAGCAAAGGATTGCATTCGCTGAATCTCAAAGAAACCGACCATAAGGAAATAAGTCAAATAGTAGGCTACCACGTCTACAAATGAATAGATATGAAGAGCTGAAAGCAATGAAGTGGAAGCCTGCCTCGTGCCTGATTGAGTTCAGATTGCATCACTCTCTCCACCTCCTTCGGGCCAATCGATGTCGACTTACTGGCGTCGCAGCGCTCCCTCCAGCTGTCACGGTGACGGTCTTTTCAATGACCTTTTCAGTCGTGAGCCACTCGGTCACCGTGAGAATCCGGACTACCTGCGTGGAAGTGAGATACAGGGTCGAGGTGGGCTGAGGTCCCTGAGGAACCGACGTGACAAGTGCTGTCGCTGAGGAAGTCACGGACTCCGTGGGTACAGCAGTGGTGTCGAGATTCAAGGCAGATGGGGATGGCGACTCGTGGGGAGTCAATGAGCTTAGCGTCAACGAGTCGGGTTGCGGCTGATGTGGAATCGATGATGCGGATGCTGATAAGAGGGGAGATGTAGTGGCAGATGAACTGGAAACATCGTCGAGGTGGGTGAATTGGGAAGGAATGGCCGCGTAGTTGAGATCCTGATTGGCAACGTATCCTTCAGAAGCACTGGCGAGGACGTGCGGCGAATGCGCGACCACTTCCACGTCCATACAGGTCGTGTAGATCTCTGCTTTTCCCTTTGGATAAGTGGGATCCTTGCCGGGCAGAGTGGGCCAGTCCCAGACCCAGTAGAGGGTGTACAGTTTGCCTGATGGCGCAGTAGACGGTAACTGAATGTCCTGCTGGCACCACATGTCTGCACCCATCAACGCGTTGGCCTGATGAACATACTTTTCTTTGCGTATTTGTGAGATGTTACCGCTGTTGATCTGATAGCATCGCCCGTCGTCGAAATTCTGCTTGGACAGGAGCACACCTCGCTTGTCCCCTCCAGTTCCGTCCGCGGTCCAGGCTCCGTGAACGTCCAGGAATTTCTCACGTCTTTTGGGCTGCGTCGTTCCGTACACGTAGACGGTACCTCTGTTGGGAGGCTTGCCAGGTTGATTCCACGGAAGGGTGACATGACCGTTTTCTTGATAGCGCAGGGCAACTGGGTCGCCGGCCTTGGCCTGTAGGCGAGGACTCCCAGCCGTCTGTTTCTGCTCCAGTTGCGAGTCCATACACATCCGATCCGTGGGGAGGATGAGGTTGACATCTGCTCGAGTATTTGGAGGGATCAGATGGGTCATTTTGGTGTCGCTGAAGCCATGTTCCGAGCGAAGAACGTTCCCCCGAGAGTAGCCAGGGCTCCCGACAAATGTACCGTTCGGTGCAATGACTGTCAATTGCTCGACCCAACTATGGGCCTGCCCATGTCTTGTCGAGAGAAGGAGAATGAAGACGCCCTGTAGCCAACTGGCCCGCATGTTGACTGTAATGGTTGGCGTGTGAAACCTCGAGCTTGGCGCTAGCTATCCACCGCCGTAGAAGATAGCTTTCTGGATTTGCGAGACAATACCAGTGACAGTGTGAAATTTCCAGTGGGAAATCAAGTCGAGGTCGATACTGGAAAGTCCTCGACGCCGTGGTAGTATGATCTTGCCACACAACGGGCGAGAGAAGGAAGAATGCGTATTGAAGTGATGCGCGGCAACTGAGAGACAAGACAGAATGCCTTTATGAGTTTGGAGCGTGGGCCAGAAAGAGGTAGGAGTCAGGATGAACAAAGAAGTCTTGTTGAGAAGCATGCCCCAAACAAGCTGAACAATCAGGGTTGTTGTCTGTGGAGAAGCAGTGGGCAGGGGAAAGTAGTAGATCCCAGAAGAAATTGTTGTCCAGGCTGCAATGTCTGCAGGCAGCTTTACTTAATAAGAACGACAATGGAAAGACAAAGAGCAGGAGCCTCCGAGCATACCAGTCAGACGTTTATATCCCAGCATATCAACATGGCATCATTGGCTATTGTGATAAATTTAGGAGGGAAGTTGGTCAAAGGAAGGATTGTTTGCGCCCAATAAGGGGAGCAAACAAAGCCTGCATGGTCTCGCGCTCCGGCGGAACGTCATAATTGAAACGCTCGCAATCTTGAACTGGGCCTGTCAGGCGAGCTTCATTCCTTTCAGAGACTCAAGAATGTCAGTCACCATGGATGGATGATTGGCCGACGAGCATCAAGTGACAGACGGGATGGAGACTGTGGGTGCAACACTTGAGTCGACTAGGGTACCCGTCCGGACGTTTTGTCGGACAATTTATGGGGTTGAGCGCTAACGTCAGACAAGGGCTCTTGTCTGACGTTGAGACTGACTCGAGGTCTCTGCTCGCTGGAGCTTCTCTGCTAACTGCTCGGCGATCGCGAAAGGCTGTGGAATGTTAGTCAGGGACCCATGCGGCCGTTGCAGGTTGAAGGAGAGTGGAGTGGGTGGGCAGTGGACAGAACCGATTGGCTGCGGTCGGTGGACTGGACCGGCACCTTAAGCGCCTGGTGAGAGCCCCTTGGGCCGGCGGGTAGCAGTCAACCCTTCAAAAGTAGATCTCGTGGGCTTCTGCCATGTTTAAGTCATGGATGTTGGAGGGATATTTGTTCGACCTGAGGGGGCAGGAGAAACTCCATCGCCAGCATCGCATTCTTGTGGCTTGGCACTTTGGTTGAAAGACCGGCAGTGAGACTGATCAATCGATGTGTCGGTATCATGACCCGACAATCTTAGCAGGGAAATTTTGGCTGTCTTTCGTGCTGAGTAGACACCTGCAGCCCCAAGGTAGGTATACTACACGTGCTGGCAGGAGATCATCACGTGGAGTCTTCCAACCTTGAAGTTGGTGAAACGCTGGAATGACTCGATAAATCCAGTCTCTCATTTAACAGGACACGCTATATTCTCTACACGATCTATGCTCTTCTCTATGGGCATATTCTCTTCGTACCCTCGAGGCATGGACCATGTCCGCATGGGAGATTCCTCCAAAGGCTTGTTTGCGAGAAAGTGGCATCTCGAGTCCCACTTGTGCGCACAGGTCAGTTTTTGGAACGTGCCCATTCATTTCCCGTGGCCAATCTCTGCCAGATATCCGGTAGTCACATGTGCTGATACTCATACTGTGAGTATGCAGTATGCTCTAGCTACTACCCTGGGCTTGCGGAGATTTCAGTGGGAATATGAATGTCCACTTTGCAGTACTCCTGGTCTGCTAGGTCTCCATGTTGAATTTGAACCACTTCGCCTCATATGACCGGGCCCCAGTAGTTGCCCACCTCGAATGGCCTGTCCTGGACGAAAGCTGCACCTCGGGTCACAGACATGGATACTTTAGCTACCTCCCGATCATTTTGTCAATCCTGCTTTGTCGTCAGTGCTTGACAATCCCAGTGCCCGAGACAAATTGTGGATATGGGCGGGGAATTGGTAAGTGTATCACCGTTCATTGATCGATACGTTGAGTGATCCCGCTTACAGTTATCTGATCTTGCGCTTCTCGGCGGAAATTTGCATCCCGCATCCTTTGGCTCGGCCAGCAAGGCGATAGATGATACTATTGAAGTGCACACTGCACTGTCCTTTACCGACAGCCACATGGGGGTTGGCTGGGCAAAAGATCCATACCACAGAACAGTGCTATATGCTCTGACTGGAATGTACTACTGTGCAATGTGTACAATTGTACATTGATTAGCGATCGGACCCGTGATTCCGGTGAGGTGCATACGGGTGTTTTCCCGCAGACTCGGATTTAGTACTGCTCTATACCTCAAAACCCGAGACACAGAAGCAAACGGAATGTCGGTGGAAGAGGTCCACTCTTCCGAAACCCTCGAACCCTCGAGGTGTGATGGATGCTTCATCTCATACAAACCATGCTACCGGCCTTCCTGTGAAGCATCGAAGCATGCTTTGTTCCGAAAGAACCGGTGGCGAATGTCCGGCGGTCTTGCTGATTCCCATGACGCTCGATCAAAGAAAGTCAACTGCCTCAAAGCTGAATTTTGCATGGTTATCTAGGCTTTCACATCCGTACATCATTGGCCAAAGTCGAAACTGACGTCCCCGGACTTGCGAATCTTAGATCTCCCGTCCATATCGGTCGCGCAATTATAATAGGGTGACCGATGAGCCCTCTTTCACACTGGATAGCTACCGGTGAGCGGGCTGCATTGCGAGAAAGTGGCAACACGCGAGGGATTGCTGTACACGGTACGGCACTGCGCATTGCAGCGTACATCTACAGTATCCTCGTAGGACTTTCAAGTGGACGTGTCCAGTGACGCGATCGAACGGTGAGCACTGAGCACATCCTTTCCTACCCTTGGGTCTTTTCGATTCACAGAACACCCGAGGGTGCTACTCCCTTGGAATGATCCTAACTTCACATTTGAGGCCTTTCGATAACTGTAATCGATAGGACCGCAAGGGTCTCGCATGACCTTCCCCTCTTGTGTTTCTTATGTAATTTCACTGGACTGGCCGTGAATTTCTTTCATAAAGATCGGGCTCGTTTCATCCGGGGTTCGGGAATGGGGTTGAGCCCGATTGTTCTTCAAGATTGTTCCTTCCCTGCGAAGGCCGACCCTTGCTGCACAACCAGACCGACCTCATATATTGCGTGTGCTGCACAAAGAAACCACCCGAGTCCACCCTACCTTCTCTCCTCTTGGCCACTCGGGGGTATCATAAATCGGGAGCAGACGACCTTGCGCGGGGTCTTCCAGTGTCTCGAAGTGCTTGTCTTTGGACTGGCCGGCCACAGATCAACCATAGTTCGCTTCCCCCTTTTTGCCCGTGTTGTTTTTTCTGCTCGGCGGGGCTTGGCGAGACCCGTTCGTCGGCGATACTTAATTCCATCGGCGTGGACCCGGATGTCGTCTATTTTGCAGCCTTCAGGGGTTTCCCCGTGCTTCTCTTATCCACCGCATCAAGTTAATTGCTAGTTGGGGTCGTGCTCATTCGCCTTTTCGTCCGCTGAATTTGACGGATTGCCTGTCTGTCATCCCAGGTTCTGGCGGCAGAGTGTGCTCAGCAGTGCCGATTTGGAGGGTTGGAGAAAGATTTCCGCCGTTGCAAAAAATCCACACTTGCGACTGAGAAACACCGCCTCGTGAGCCACATGTGGCAATTGATATAGGACCCCTCGACTGTTGTGAGATCCTCGACTTCTCTATTACGTGTCAGGCACTGTGCTTGACGACGGCGTCGCTCGCACAGATTTTGGCTTTCGCGGACCATACAGGACTTTCCTCCCCTCCACGCCTTCAACAGGACGTCGCGGACAGATCTCTCTGATCCACCGCCTCTCTCGCCAGCATGGCAACCTCTTTGATCTCCAAGAAGCTGCGCTCCGCCGAGAGTGATCGCAATGCCGAGCCAAGCTGGATTCGTCGTCAGGTCACCGCTGGCCTTCAGTGTGTCTCCCGTCGCGCGTGTGTGCACCCGATTCATACCATCGTCGTGATTGCGCTCTTTGCCAGTACCACCTATGTTGGTCTGCTCGAGGGCAGTCTTTTCGACGCGACTCGCAATGCCCGCAATGTGGCCGGACAAGTGGACGTCGATACTCTTCTGCAAGGCAGTCGGTCGCTCCGTCTCGGCGAATCAACTGCCTGGAAGTGGCAGGCTGAGGAGTCCTGGATGAATACCGTGGTAGGCTGCCCTTCCACGCTCTTTGCTCTGCCAATGTTCGACTAACTCATACTTCCGCCAACAATAGCCAATCCAGCAGGAACCCACAAACCATCTCGCTCTGACAACTTTCATCTTCCCGGACTCTGACTCCAAGTCTGCTTCTACTGCCCCCTCCGTCGAGGATGTCCCGGTTCCCTCCAATGTCTCCGCTTACTCCGTACCCCACACCCCGAACATGCTCTCGCCATTTTCGCACGACTCGTCTCTCGCCTACGCTCTGCCTTTCGACCACGTTCCGCAGCTGTTGAGGGCCGTTCAGGAAATTCCTAATCCAGTGGCGGACGAGTCAAAGGAGGAGTCGAAGAAATGGATCATGAAGGCTGCCCGCGGCCCTACCGGATCGCGTCTTGCTCTGAAGCTCTGGTTCACAGACATGTGGAGTTCTTTCGTAGATCTTCTCAAGCACGCCGAGACCATTGACATTGTGATCATGGCTCTTGGCTACCTTTCGATGCACCTCAGCTTCGTCTCCCTCTTCTTTTCCATGCGCCGACTAGGGTCCAATTTCTGGTTGGCAACGACCGTGCTCTTCTCCGGTTCCTTCGCCTTCCTCTTCGGCCTTTTGGTGACCACCAAGCTTGGTGTGCCGATCAACCTTCTTCTTTTGTCCGAAGGTCTCCCGTTCTTGGTCGTGACCATTGGCTTTGAAAAACCTATCATGTTCACACGTGCCGTTTTGCGAGCATCTGTGGACAACCGTCGCCCTCAGCCCGATGCTGCGCCCCGTCCCTTGACCGCGAGCACCCCTGGCTCAATCCAAGATTCTATTGCCACCGCCATCAAATCCCAGGGTTTCGAAATTGTTCAGCACTACTGCATCGAGATTGGTCTTCTCACTCTGGGTGCTGTGTCTGGTGTCCAAGGCGGTCTCCAGCAATTCTGCTTCCTTGCCGCGTGGACTCTGTTCTTCGACTGTGTTCTGCTCTTCACTTTCTACACGACAATACTGTGCATCAAACTCGAGATTACTCGCATCAAGCGTCACGTTGCCTTGCGCAAAGCTCTTGAGGAGGATGGTATCACTCATAGCGTTGCTGAGAACGTCGCTTCCAGCAACGACTGGCCCTCTGCTGGTGCTGCTGGCGCCGAAGCCGACACCAGCATTTTCGGGCGCAAGATCAAGTCGAGCAGTGTGCGACGGTTCAAGTTCCTTATGGTTGGTGGCCTCATTCTGATTAACGTTGTGAATCTGTCCGCCATCCCGTTCAGAAATGTTGGAAATGGTGCTATTATGTCTCGCCTCTCAAACGTCATGTCGCCTGCTCCCATTGATCCCTTCAAGGTCGCTGAGAATGGCTTGGATGCTATCTACGTGGCTGCGAAGAGCCAAAGACGAGAGACCGTGGTCACCGTAATTCCTCCGATCAAATACAAATTGGAATACCCTTCCGTGCACTACGCGACTCACGAAGATACTGGCTCTTTCGAGATCGAGTATTCTGACCAGTTCCTGGACGCCGTGGGTGGGAAAGTCCTCGAGAGCCTGCTCAAGAGCGTGGAAGACCCCATCATCAGCAAGTGGATCATTGCAGCTTTGACTCTGAGCATCATTCTCAATGGGTACCTTTTCAATGCTGCTCGCTGGAGTATCAAAGAGCCCGAGCCCGTCAAGATCACCCCTGAGGAGCCTGTGGCACCCAAGGTTTATCCCAAGTTCGAGCCCAATGAGGAAGAGTCTACCCGAACGATGGAAGAATGCGAGCTGATGCTGAAGGAGAAGCGAGCCCCCTACCTGACGGATGAGGAGTTGATCACATTGTCACTCAAGGGCAAACTCCCTGGATATGCCTTGGAAAAGACCATGGAGAACGAGGAATTGATGAGCCGTGTGGATGCTTTTACTCGCGCGGTTAAGATTCGCCGTGCTGTGGTTTCCCGTACTCCCGCCACCTCTGCCACTAGCAGCTCGCTCGAGCGCTCGAAGCTCCCTTACGAACATTACAACTATGGCTTGGTTCACGGCGCTTGCTGTGAGAACGTTATCGGTTACTTGCCTCTTCCCCTTGGTGTTGCTGGACCCTTGAACATTGACGGACAGAATTACTTCATCCCCATGGCTACGACTGAGGGAGTTCTCGTTGCCAGCACCAGCCGTGGCTCTAAGGCCATCAACGCTGGTGGCGGCGCGGTGACCGTCCTGACCGGTGATGGTATGACCCGCGGTCCTTGTGTGTCTTTCCCTACTCTGGCCCGGGCTGCCGCTGCCAAGGTTTGGATCGACTCAGAGGAGGGCCGAAGCGTCATCACTGCCGCCTTCAATTCTACTAGCCGCTTTGCTCGTCTTCAAAGTCTCAAGACTGCTCTCGCCGGTACTTACCTTTATATCCGCTTCAAGACCACCACTGGTGACGCTATGGGTATGAACATGATCTCCAAGGGTTGTGAGAAGGCTCTTGATGTCATGTCCAAGGATTGCGGATTTGACGACATGTCCATCATCTCGTTGTCCGGCAACTTCTGTACTGATAAGAAGTCCGCCGCCATCAACTGGACTGACGGACGTGGCAAGTCAGTTGTCGCCGAGGCCATTGTTCCCGGGCACATTGTCAAGAGCGTTCTCAAGAGTGATGTCGAGGCTATGGTTGAACTCAACATCAGTAAGAACTTGATTGGTTCTGCGATGGCAGGTAGCTTGGGTGGCTTCAATGCTCACGCTTCCAACATTGTCTCTGCTGTCTTCCTGGCCACCGGTCAGGACCCAGCCCAGAATGTCGAGAGTAGCAGTTGTATCACGACGATGCGAAAGTAAGTTCATTAACCCTCCTCCCTTCCCTTCTAACACTGCGCGCATCAATCACTCTAACACCTTCATTACAGCCGCAATGGAGACCTTCAAATCTCAGTTAGCATGCCGTCCATTGAGGTTGGCACGATTGGTGGCGGTACTATTCTGGAGGCCCAGTCGGCCATGTTGGAAATGCTCGGAGTGCGCGGGCCTCACCCGACTGAGCCAGGTGCCAATGCCCGCCAGCTTTCTCGCATCATTGCGGCCTCGGTCCTGGCTGGTGAGCTTAGTCTGTGCGCTGCACTCGCTGCCGGTCATCTCGTCAAAGCTCATATGGCTCACAACCGAAGTGCGGCACCTACGCGGTCTTCCACCCCCGTGTCTGCTGCTGTCGGTGCTGCCCGCGGTCTCTCCATGACATCCAAGTAGGAGATTGCCGTGAGCTCATTCCAAATCACTTGGAATGAGACTTTGTATATCGTTCCGCGACCTACGACCCCTTCACGATAATATTCAGATGCAATTTGCTGGGTAAGACGCCTCCTCCTCGCCACCATCTTCTTTCCTTTCCTCTTCCCACGTTCCTTCACCCACTGCATCTTATCGTCCCACACATGGGGCTGCCCTCGGGACTGGTTACAGGAGCGGCATCCAACAGAATCCGCTGCACTCCGGCGTCCATTCAGCCCGCAAAGCCCTTGTGATCTGCGCATAATAGTACCTGCCAGGAGAACATCTCCCTCTCCGTGGAGTCTATTCAGCAAAACCGCATCGTACGCGGATATGAGCTACACGCTCACCTTACATTCCTGTACCTTGATGCTTCTCAATTAGAATTCCGGCCGTCTATAGCCCATGAAATATGTACGATTGAACTTTTGATTACCTCAATAATTGCCCGCCTTCGCCCCACCCGTTTCCCGGGGTACGGCTGTTTAAGGAGATGCTCCGATCCCGGTGCTTCAGAACAATACCAAGTCTCGTCCGACCCACGATCAATGTCACAATGCATTATTGTCTCGACCTGTGACGGGTAGATTGATGAGCCCTGGACTCCATCGCCTCAGAGTTTCAGTATGCTGCTTCATTTTTGTGCGTATCTCGCTAGTATTCCTGGTGCTTCCGCCCACCAGACGATGAATCTGCCCGTTTAAGCATGGAGAAACAATCTAGCACATCCATACCGCGACGCCCTCCAGGCTGACGATCAAGGATCTGCTGTGCCATTGCTCAGGACTGTCTCCGTTGACCTACGCGGTAATTGAGAAAAACGGGTCCGTCTTTGCAATCCACGAAGATGTCATCAAGATTTCTTTCCATCTTCCCACGCACGCTGATTTGCTCTAGACATGGTCATACAACAACCGGATGGTTGTCGTCGCCAGTCTGATTATTGCACAGCAGCCTGACCGGTCGTTCGGCGACTTGATCCGACAGTGAGTATTTGAGCCGCTGGTCATGAAGCGCATTTCTTTGCTTCAACCTTGAGGGCAAGAATATCATGCAAAACCGTATCTCGTCTTTGCCAACGGCACATTCGAGGCACTTGACCCCTGCTTGATATGTCCGAGATGCTCCTCGCACTATTTTCCTGCGACCAGAGCTCATTTCCACAGGCTCACCTCAGGAAAGTATGCAATCCAGAACTTATATGTCTGGATGAAGCTTGTCAGAGACAAGCGCGAGGTTCAACCTTGGGCTTCTCTTATACAAGGTGGCCTAGCATGTAATCTTCGCCGTATAGCCGGGTTTCTTGTCCCAGATGAAGACCTTAGAAATTCAGACCATAAGAAGCATGGTCTACATGTACTCGGACACTGAGCATGTCCTGATTATAGTCTAGTGCGAGTGCGAGTGCACTCAGCAGCGTCAGCACTATGATGGATGGAAAGAAAGCACGTGACTTATACTTTCACATCGAATGCAGGTGGCCTGAGGTATGAACTATGATTTTTGAGGCGCAGTCTCCTCAAAGTTCCTGGCACCGAATGGCCACTAGAATACTGCGTGTACCTTGGCCAACGTGGTACCTGGACTATCAGCAACCTTGCATCCACATATGTCAATGATTTGTAGCACCTTTGATAGATTGCATAGTATTGTCAGGTGCGAACAGTCTACAGTCTCTACGCATGATGACTATGGCAACCAAAGACTTGTACACAAATAGTTAATTACGGTCCAAGCGTGCGTGGATGCAGGATTACTCAATTCCGCACGGGTCCAGAGTCCAGAGTACTGGACTAGTCGTAGTATGTAGCTCCGGAGACGACGGCTATCATACAGTGGGTGTTGTCTATTTCAGGTTAGTTAGGAACGGGCCGAGCAAGTACCTCCGCGGTCGTGGTCGCGGTCGCGGTCCAGAACGCTGCACACACTTTGAAGGGCCGTTCGCTCATCTTACCTTAGTAACAAGCCTCCTTTCCCCCCCCCCCCCCTTCACTTTGGTCTTCTCGTCCAGCTCTTCATTTCTCCATACTCTACTTCCGTCCAGTCCTTCACTCCTTTGGACTTGGTCATACTCGACAGGATCGAGTTTCGATCGTGGGGTCTCTTACTCTTTTTTTTTTTTTTAGGCTTTTGTCTGGCTTTCCTATTGGGTTCGGAACTCCCCACCCTCCTTCTTTCGCCCCTTGTCCGCGGCTCCTCAGGTCTCAGATTCTAGTGTGGAGGAGAATCAACTCCTGTGGACCGAGACTGGTCCGCGAAGTGTCAAACGCTTGCAGCGCGAAACAAACGACTGCCTTCGATCATTCTCGCAGTACACAGGACGAGAGGCAGCGTCGGGAGCCCTTTTGGCCACAAATTCTGAGCACCTGCGGCCACCGAGAAGTCCTTCCGCATTCCCGGTGCCCTCGACATGAATGGTCCCGCAGGAGGCCTGTCGCCCATCTCCGTTGATGGAAGCGACTGGTCGGGCCTCAATCAGTACCAGAAAACTGATGCGCCCTTTTCCCCTACGATCTCTGCACGAGGTACCTTGGCCACTCCTCCAACATCCGGCGCTCCCAGCTCTCCTCTCAGCCCGAATAGCGGTGGCCCCCCCAGCAATGGAAATCCCTCTCCTCCAAGTTCGGTGGCAGCTCGATCGAGCATCGGGACAATCAACAGCGAGAAGGGTGGTCGTCGGGGCCGCCCGTTGGAGGATGTGATGCACCAACATTATGTGACCCTTAAACGGTTTCTGGACGCCTCATTGCGCGAAGAACGAAAGAATGGTCGGTCCGAAAAGGCCCGTGATAAGTTGCTCCGTCTCTCCGCAACCCAGTTCCATGAGCTGAGTACCGATGTCTACGATGAGTTGGTTCGCCGTCAGCAAGCAATGCCTCCGCCGGGTCGCCCTGCTCGAACCGATGTCCCGTCCTTCCTCCCTCCCCGCAAAGATTTCCACGAGAAACGAAACCACGCCCGCCAAAAACTCGCGTCTCTGCAACACGCGCGATTCCGAGATCTCGCCACGGACGTGTTCTGTGAATTGGAGCGCCGATTCCCACACTTCACAGGCCGCCCGAGACCGCCGCCTCCAGGCTCCAGATCGTCCCAGTCGCGAGGCCCTCCTCCGGCGGGGCGAGGGTATCCCTCCGGCGGCCCTCCTGGGGGCCCGTTTCCGCCTCGGCAGGTCTCTTTAGGTGCTCCGCCTGTCGGGCCAAATGGAGAGGGCCCGGTTCCCCGAGCATTTCAGAGCAGTACTATGGTGCCGAATAAGAGCACCATGGTGGAGGACAGCGACGATATGGCGGGCGACGATGATGAGGACGCACGCAGCGATGCTTTCGCACTGGATGCAGTCTTGAGCAGGCGCGGGACTACGACGACTTTGGGGGACAATGAGCGAAAATTGCTCATGGACAGCCAGACGCAAGTGTCTGCGTTGCAAGAAAAGGTTGAGAGGCTGGAGGAACAACTTCGCTTGAAGGACGATGAGATAGCCCGTGGGTCAAGCGCCGACCAGTCGATGATTAGCCAAAGCGAGCGTCAAGAGTGGGATGATTTGCGACAAGATCTAGAAAGCAAGGTCTCAAAGGCCGAGGATCTTAATCATTCACTGCAAGAGGAGCTTGAAAAGATGCGCGCGGAACATGACCGGACGGAACGTGACCTTCGTAGTCAGCTTGAAGAAGTCAGCCTAAATGCGGGAGACCCCGAACTAGAGGCCCGTTATATGGAGTTGGAGACAAAGCATCAAAGCCTTCAAGCCGAGCTACAGCAACAGCAGCAGGTGGCAGCTGAGGTTCGTCGTGTGGCATCCGAATCTCTCGCGGAGATGAGGAGTTTGACCACGCAGAACCACAAAGAACTAGAACGGGAGGAACGGCTCTCGGTTGATGTCCACAGGCTCGAAAACGAAGTGAATGAGTGGAAAGATCGGTATGCCAAGGCAAAGTCACAATTGCGGGATCTGCGCAGCTCTGCCGGCAGTCTTGCCGATCAAATACCCGATGCCTCCAAGGTAGTAGCTCGGGAGCACGAGCTCTTACAGCCCGACGGTATTGTCGAGGATCTGCATGTCACCAAGTTCCAGATCTCGATCGACGAATTGCTACGTGTTGCGCGAATTGACGACCCGCAACAAGTGTCTCGTCATATCAAGAACGTGATCGTGGCCGTACGCCGTATCATACATGACGTGGATCAGGCTCCTTCTCCGATGGATGGTTCGGCCGCCTTACGTGTCAAGGCCAAAGGACGTGTCTCTGTGACTGCGAATAATATGATTACCGCCGCACGGAACTTTGTTCGCTCTGATGGCCTCTCCCCTGTCTCTTTGATGGATGCGGCTGCGTCGCATTTGAGCACGGCCGTTGTGGAGTTGATCCGCCTTGTGAAAATCCGGGTGTCTTCTGTGGATGCATCGGATGAGGAAGAAGAACAAGATCTCCCCACGGACAAGTCTCCAGAATATTTCAGCGCTCCACCCAGTCAGCGGCGACTCAGCAACAATTCCGAATACAGCGTCCTGAGTCCTCCTGATGAGATGTCATCCTCACTCCAGCAGGACGTCAGCACTACTCAAAGTTATAATTACGGAGCTCCTCAAGGGGACCACGAGCTCCAGGAGTTGAAGGTACGGACCGAGAAAAAGATCATCATCATCATTATTGGGGATCTCACTGACTCCTCTCTCATTAGCTATACGTCGAAGACCAAACCGATAGCATGGTGCAATCAATCCAGGCTCTCGTTGCTAGCATTCGTGCGGAGCATGGCATGGATACCGTCGAAATCTATGTGTCGGCTATCGGGAACATCGTTGGCAACGTGATCGCGTCCACCGAACACTTGATGCACGACCGCAGCGGGGATGTCTCTCTTCGAGAACAATCTCAGCCAGTGATTCACAGTTTGAGCCAGTGTCGAGACCGTCTGGCAAAAATCGTCACCGAGGGACATAATGCCACTAGTCCAGAGCAGCTCCGTGAACTCACCAACCAGCTTCCTCCGCTTGCCTTTGAAACTGCTCGTCATGCCAAAGACCTCATCCAGCGACTGGAAACGTTGTCACTAGGAGACGACGACGATGACGACTTCCGATAAAAGGGGTATTTTGGACCTTTGGCCCCCAGTTGGTGCCTTTCTTTTCAAGTGTTTATCTCAGGGGCTGTTGCTCAGCGCCAGTGTTGACATTTTCCGAGACGATCAGGTTCATAGCCGACCTTGATCTCCTTAGTTCTATATTCACTCCTCCCTTTTTGTACTCTCTGTCCCGAGGAGACCCTTTTTCCCCTTTCAAATTTTTCTGCATCTTTTGGTCGTCTCCTTTCGCAGCAACTTGCATTGATGACCGCCAGTTATAATATTGTGGTGACCCAGCAGAATTTGTGCCCACTTTGGTCCAAGGGATCGAGTGTCTGACAGTCATGTCGGCCCCCACCTAGCTTGCTCTTAGAGATAGACTGGATGTTCATTCTTGGTCTGAAGCTGACACTCAATTTTTGTGTGAGCGCGCCCAGAGAGCATATGATTTTTACGACTTTACTAGACTGCCTTGAATTTTCCACTGAGCTACAGTTTGTGGGTTGTATCATACAGGAAGCAGATCAATTCAGTATTTTGAACCTGCAACAAGGTTAATGGGGGTCGCCTTCAAGACATATCAGTTCCGTAGACAACCCCGTCGATGGATGAACTTAAACCGAAAATAGAAGATTAGTGAAAGCACTCCGAGCATTGAACACGAGGCCCGATGTTTCCGGCTATTCCAGATATGCATTGAATGTACCGACGCTCTATTCATAATCGCCTTTACGCTCAAAACCGATCATTCAGACCCTGGGCCTTTTCCGCCTCAATGCGTTCTTCATTCAAGGAGATCCACCACGCATGAGACGGGTCCTTACTCTTCTCCGAGTCCTGTGCTTGCTCCCCCCTCTGCTGCGCATGCCACTCATCCCAGGGCTTCGGGCTCAAGATATAATGGACGTTCTTCACATTCTCATCGCGCCAGATCGCATCGTGCACGCCTTTCCACCGCAAGGTCTTGAGGGCGTTGTAAATGTAAGGGATGGCGACCCAGCGGCCGTTGAAAACGTCGCCCAACAGCGACTGGTCTGCAAAGTCGTAGTTAGACGCGGTGGATGAGGCGAGTTGCGCGCTGATCTTGTCGTAGGTCCCCTTGGAAGGGTTGACTACTTGGAGGCCACCATTGGGCATGCCCAGGCCTGCAGTGGGTGGGGCTCCCGTCGTTTGTGCTGATTCCGGATCATTGTGCTGGGTGGTAAAGGCGCAGTTGGCGGGGATCCTGTTGAACATTTGAATTAGATACCTGAGGGGGGATGGGCGTGACTCTCAATGACTAGCTCAAAACGTACCAATCTTTCGGATAATGCGCCTTTTGAAGCGGATTACACACGCAAGCATGACTCGCGGCGAAGACACGATTCCCCGTCCCGTCCAGCTCCGGCGCATCGAGTTCGAGATCCATCAATTCGTCCATATTCTGGAGCGCGACCATATCGCTGTCCAGCTGCACGACGCGGTCGTACTCGACGAGCGAGAACGGGGTCAATTTACTCCAGCAGTCGTAGAATCGCACGTCATTGGTGTAATCCTTGGAGACCGAGGGCAGCAGATATGGGACATGGCGTTTGAGAATTCCGCGCGCATCGAGGGCGGCGTGACCCTCGGCGGGGAAGGCGTCCGTGTAGAGTGCGATGAGAGGGTACTTGGAGCCGACTTTTTTGAGAGAATAGTCGAGTGTCAGAAGGCCGGAAAGATAGTTTGTGTTGGTGATGAGGGTAGTCCAGACTGTGCGGGGGAGAAATGAGATTGGTTAGTTTATTTTCGGTAGAGAGAGAGAGAGAGAGTGTGTGTGTGTGTGTGTGTGTGTGTGTGTCTATGTGGGTGTTGTGAGGTCGCGAGGGTGATGGAGAGTCGTATTGAGATTGTTGCTTGGATTGAGGGTTCAATTGCACGACGAGGTGGGTGACTTACCTCGGGGCCCCCCAAGTGGCTGTGTGGAATCGGTCATGATGTCTGACGATGTTGAAGATGCCTCGGATGGTGGGGATGGATTGTTAAGAGCCTCCCGTAAGTGGTAGGGGAATGCCTCAATTGTATCTCTTCCAGTTGTTCTATCACCACGACACTGCGAAGCTACAGTAAGCAAATGTTCTGTAGGAGCTCTGAAAATCGTGCTGACGTTGAAGTTGACCGTCAAGGAAAGAATCAAGAACGGAAGAATCCACGCTTGGAGGGGCAGACAAGGGAGAGCCGGAAGTGTTGTCAGCCCCGGTTTCACGGTTCCTGGTCCCTGGCTAGCCGCAATCGGGCGGATCGGAGATCGGATCGATTGGGGGAGACGATGGTCCAGATTGCTAATCCGCAGCGCAGAACCTAACCTTGTACTTGATTACTTGCATCGTGCCGGAGGGGAGAAGGGGAGAAATGGTGGACACGTCGGTGGGGATGAAGTGAGCCACAGTCATCATCACTTGAGTGAGACAGAAAGGCTTGAAAATTTTGGGCAGATGAAGAGTTGGCATTTGTAGGAAACCGAGTCCCTTTGCAAAGTACGCTTCAAAAGATGCTTTGTTTAATATCGCTCAAAGCAAGTCAATCGATCCCGACTGTTGCCCTTCCACTCGAGCTGATATCACGAAGCACCTTCCCAATGCATCACAGGAGTACATGATCAGGCAGTACTGTGAGATATCGGGAACTCGCCAATCTAATCAGGCAGTTCATAGACCGGGTTTGTATTACTGTGTTCCAGCTTACCACTACTAGGTAGTAGGACTAGGTAGTAGGACTAGGTAGTAGGACTAGGTAGTAAGTACTGGTAGTCGGTAGTATTAGTATTGTAAGATGTTGGGTCCTTGAACGGTGTTCAGATAAACACATCCTCAGTGAGGCATCTGATGGCTGCACATACTGTTCCTGGTATGGACTTTCGATCACTCCAAATGGCAGGCGAAGCTGCTCGGGGATATAGAAAGTCTGGACTTGTGGAGCGTGGAGAATGTCCACTAATGAAGGGCCCGAGAAGCACCGCTTAATCATAGTACGAAGCCGCAGGAACCGGACCAGGATTACACCACTAGATTATTACTTGTACAGCCACCCTGCGGACATGTAGTATTCCATAGGCATGGGATATACTTTGAAACAATCTCTGTATAGCATCAGTCCCCTATGTAGCCTACCTGACTATATGTCAATCATGCAGATTCTCCAACATTCGTCCTATAAGTCAGATCATCTGCGGACGAAGCTCGAGCCATGATCGAGCCCGGTCCATCGGGCTCATCGATGATGACATAATCAAGGAGCTCCGATCCTCCGGAATAGAGTCGGATCGAACCTCAGCTTTTTCCAACGAGCTTCTTCCTTTTTCCTCGTAGAGCTGCTAATCTCCGCACCACTCCTCAACTGTACTATTATTTTCTGTAAGTGAACCTCAATTTCCATGGGCTGGGAAGGGTTGGTCCAGCATGCATTGGGTCCCTTCAATGGATCTCTCTCCCTCTCTCCATGATACTCTCGTCACGACGACCGAGTCAAGCTGTTCGTTGGTTCATCCCTGCCCGGATGGTTCCTACCGTCTGGGAGCTAAGAGGAAACACCTCAGGCAACAAGGCAGGAGACCAGTTCTCATATGCTTGAGGGTATCAGAGAGAGCGCGAGAGAGTGAGACCAAGAGAGGGGACCAAACTCGTGGCTTGCTCCCCCCTTTACGACCTCGCATGTTGAAGTGCCAGCATTGGCGCGCATCAACATGTACACAGTACCTCATGCTAGGCAGGCCTGCACTAGTGTACCCCCCGTACCTCGCCCATCATTTGTCCCACGCGGCACGGGAATGGCGACTCTTGCAGCAGCTAACCCGCATCTAGTCTCGGCTCCCGAGTTTTCCCGTTCCGACTCCTGCCCCTCACCATGTTTTGCCGCCTCAAGTCAACCCCACTCTCCCTCTTTTCTTCCTCTTGCTCCTTCCATCCTTTTGCCTATCGATCATTCACATCATCCGCCATCATGTCTGGAAACACCAAGGCCTTCTTCGACGTCGAGTACACCCCCTCCGGCCAGGCCTGTAAGTTTCTCCTTCATTCGCGAGCAGCGTCTTTGAATCTGGTCTGTGTCGTGGACAGGATGCGAAGGAGGGGTAGGGTCAAGGGCAACTGCTGCTTCTCTTGCCAGTCCTCTTCGTCTTAGTCCCCATCCATTGACCAGGTTTTACTTCGCTGGCCCTCAATTGAACCCTTGCTGCCAAATCATTGTCCTCTCGGGGGGATTTTCTTTTGTCGCGAGCCCTGCTAACTCGTGTCTATAGCCCCCAAGGTCGGCCGCATCAACTTCAACCTCTATGAGGCTGATGTTCCCAAGACCGCCCGCAACTTCCGTGAGCTCTGCACCAAGCCCGTCGGCGAGGGCTACAAGGGCTCCGGCTTCCACCGCGTGATCCCCCAGTTCATGCTCCAGGGTGGTGACTTCACCCGCCACAACGTAAGTTCATTTAGGTTACTCGCTCCGTTGCTCGGAGCGGAAACTACCCTAAGAGACAAGTTGAGCTCATGACTGACTCCATTCTTCGCTCTTCACAGGGTACCGGTGGTCGCTCCATCTACGGCGAGAAATTCCCCGATGAGAACTTCAAGTACAAGCACACTCGCCCCGGTCTGCTGTCCATGGCCAACGCCGGCCCCAACACGTAAGTTTACCCTTTCCACGAGTTTCTTGTGGAGTGAGGTTTGGATTACACATTTTCTAACAGACTTCTTTACCATTCAGCAACGGCTCCCAGTTCTTCATCACCACCGTTGTCACTTCTTGGCTCGATGGCAAGCACGTCGTCTTCGGCGAGGTCGCTGATGCCGAGTCCATGCAGGTTGTCAAGGAGATCGAGGCTCTCGGCTCCTCCAGCGGCTCCATTCGCTCTGCCAAGAAGCCCACCATTGTCGACTGTGGTGAGTTGTAAGTGACCTCGATTGTGGAAACAATTGAAGTTGCGTTGGTGGCACGGATTCTTCGTCCAAGCGTTTGGGCCACCATTGGGAGAGGTTTTTTACCCAAAAAAGAATCATAAACCCATTCGGGGCGACCAACTAGTTTGTTCCGAGTGGCTATTTTTTTTTTCTCCAAGATGTGGTGTGTAATCTAGACTGTGAAAAAACATAGTCCATTGATGCTTCCAACCCGCTGCATTGACATTTGCTCTCTCGTATGACTTTTTGTAATTTGCGGTGTTCTCAGTCAAACTTAGAGAAGTGTCATTCACGGTTACCAGGTCCGTCGACAGTTCGACCCTCTTTTGACACTGACAGTGCCCAGAACCGGTTTCTACGACTGTTCCCTCGCAGGGCCTCAGCAACTGAGACCCCGTGTAAGACTAAGAACCAATTGAGGTGGCACGCGGAGGTTTTTGGGCGGGAAGGGGGGGGACTTTACGCTCGCTGGGACATGCGATGGAGGGGCACTCAACTCCGGAGGAAGTCAAGGAAAGCCAAGTGGAGGGGGCTGGGCAAGGAGGGGGGGAAGGATGCCTATTGGACATTTTCCACTGCGGACATGCGGACCATACTTCCGCTAATTCTCAAAGGAGAGAAGGAAGCCGGAACTTGAGATATTGGGGATTGCTCATGGCAGTTGCACTCAGGCAGTGTAGTGACTAGTGACTGGACCAAGACTACCAGTACTAGTATAAGTCAAGACCTGAACCTTGATGGATACCAGTATGATGGTTATTGATCTTGGGGCCAACTGGAATCTGTGCCACTGCCAGTCACTCTGTGCGTTCACGCATCCAGGTAAAGAGGTATTTCAATAATCTGGGTACTTCTACTTGGTGACTGAGTACCAACTGAATAAGTACCGACCTACGTACGGTACCTGAGGTTAGGTACCTGGTATCTACTATCTAGTAGGGAGCAAGATTTCCCTCTCTGCGCATGGTGCATGGTGCATGAATACTATGTGGTCATATAGGGTATACTCATTATACTGTATAGTGTAGAACTACTAGATAAGTAGTACTTACGAAGTAGTACTTAGTACTTACTAAATACCAATAGATCATATTCTCGGGTAAACCTTGGGGTATAGATAGATTCTAGGTAGATGGCCCCTTCTCCGGCGAATATTTGACGCGGGAATATCGTGGTGCTATGCTACTGCCGCATGTGTCTTCCTCCTCGACGTCGAATCTGTCAATGTACGAGGAGATCGCCGCCAAGTTTGCGCTGGCGAGTGGGATCTTAACTCAGAAGTGGTGTAAAGCTTGAAAAGATTGTAGCTGGAGGTGAAATAGGTAAAGGGCATGGATACAATGGAAGGAGCTCGACGAGGGAGTCGTTGAGAAGAGATGGAAATATCCTGACATGTGAGACGCTTTTCAAACGGCCAGGTCTGTCTCACAGTGGAAATACTACTGTTCCACCGGCACAAGCGACAGCGACACGCGCTGCTTTCAAGGAGTCCATGTAGTGAATTAAAGTCTTTGAAATAAAGATAGGCGGATATCATACTGGAAAAGCTTCAATTGAACCCATATTCGACATTAGCGCTGAAATTCTTAACACATACAACACACGGTGATATCAAAGTGGGGCAGGAGCCATCGTAAACCTCTCCTGCCCTGCCTTGAGCTTATGAATCGGATAAGTGAAAGCAACAGCCGCGGTGAAGTCCAACCCCAGCAGTTCTGAATCAGCACGATAGGAAGAAACGGTCAAGTATCACATAATTTAACATCCAGCCCGTCACATCGTTGTAATCGTTCCTTGGCTCATGATGGTCGCCGTCGAATCAACAACCCTACCATCTAGCCACAACATTTGGTCACCTGAGTGGCATCGTTCCTGGTTTGCTGTGGTATTAGTGTTGAACCCTCGGGGGTGGTGTCCAGTCGAGAAGACTTACTCATGTGAGAGAGACAGAGGCTGCCACGAGAAGACGAGAGCACCCAGGAAAGCTCCAATGAAGATGCAGATGATGATGTAGCCGTTGAAGTACATGGCTAGCAACATGATGATGTATGCCACCGCGAATTGAACCGTGTGTAACAAAGCTCGGATGATCTGCTCGAGAGGCGAAGGGCGATAGGAGATGACAGCCTCATGGCTTTGACGAGAGGCCGAGCCATTTTCGGTAGATCGCAACCCCCAGAGGAAACAGCCGTGACAGCACCAGAACCCATCAACTTGGTACCGTCTTGACCTGCCGATGGGGATGTTGGACCTGCGCACATGCAATCTGGGTCATTTCCGTCGAGGGACATTCCGGACTTGATGTAGCCTGTGGTTTGGCCTTTGTAGGGAGAACCGTCCAGAGTCGACTGTCGCTGATGGGCTCGACGGAGGATGAAAGCATCGAACTCGCGACCCAGGCGGCGGAGGAACTCCAAACTGATGACGAGAAGAATAACGCCGATACACGAGCCAGCGAAGGCACCCTTGGAACGAATGTGCCAGGTGCTGGAAAGAAAGCCTTGATTCGAACAACTGTTTATCAGCTCATCTGTTGCCCTTGATTCCCAAACCAGGAAGATGCATAGGGTCAAACCGTACAGGCATCAATAGTGAACCAGTTCCAAAGCATCTGCAACTTCGAGATTAGAATGACTTCCAAAGGTACTGGTCAATCTGGCGCCTGAGCTCACATACCGAGATGCGACAGCTCATGTCCATACCATCCATACCGGGCATGGCTGGAGGAGCCGATCCATTCAAGGGCATATCCGGCATATCCGGCATTCCCATGGAGCTCGTGTTCATGAATCCCAATCCGCTAGGCATCGCGGTCATTGCTGGCAGATCCGGCATGGACATTGAAGAGAAAGACGCCATATTGGTTTGTTTGTTTGAAGTAGTGGGAATGGAAGAGATGGAGATGAAGGTCGAGTTGAGGTGGTTTGCAGAATGAAGAAGAGTTGTCAGTGATAAGTCGTGAAGAAGGCCCACGACTCACCTCAACCGCTTTTGAGAAAGGGGAGTGGCAGAAAGAGTGGCAGAAATAGTAGGGAGGAGGATGGATGGTCAGATCAATGCTGGCCCTGGCATCAACAGTGTCACTTGGTGGTGTGGTGATTGCCCGTTTGGGAATTTCGGGGGGGGGGGGGGGGGGGGGGCGCGAAAGTACTACAATTGAGCAAGTTTGAGCAGATTAATGATTCCCCACGGCTGTCACGCTGATCCTCCTACACAGTGCGTATTCACAAGTCGAAGCTGGGACGGTGGCCCATGTTTCTGTTTCTCTACATGATAGTTCAGCTGTCGGGTATAGTCAATGATGTACTCCATCGTCACTCTGTTCCAGACCCTGGATGAATGTAGGAGCACTAACTGGTAACCAGTATAACAGCTCCAACAAGGAATATGTTCACCCAGGAGCCTGCTCGCTCTGGGCTGGGAATCACAACTGACTCGTATTTGATACTCCTTATTCCACGCAAAAGTAGAGAGTACGACGTGGCATGGCTCAGTGAGGTATTGCGTTCCGGTTTCTCACTTACAAGATAGCTACAGTAGCACGGCCTTTTCTGGGCATCCACCTGAGGCTCAGTGCAGGAAGATATTGTCGTCCTCCTTAATTCGAAACCCTCCCTCGGGATACCCTCATGAACGAGGTCTCGAGTAGTTGACGGAGCAGGTCACATCCCTTCCGAGATCCATACTGCAGGTGCTGTCAAAAGAAATGGTCCTCTAGGAAGTATAGAAGGGGTATCAAAGCTCTCTTCTTTTTTTAAGCTCGGCTGGACCCTTTGATCACACCTTCTAATAGTTCACGAATCTGGCTGCAGCCATCAATACCAACTGCCAGCATAGTCTCCACATAGGTGCAATGTAATTTGGAATCCATGGTCACCACGGCCACCTTCATTTCCTCTTCATCAGTATCCATGTTATTCTCGCCCACGGGAACAGAATTGGTAGTGCCAACGGTCAACACAGGCAGCTCTTGCTCCTCTGGCAGAGACAGATCGAGAAGCGGATCTAGCTCGTTGTTTCGGGGGTCTTGAGGCGTAGATGCGCTACCACTCATGCCGGCCGTGCAACTGGTCAATAGACCCGGCATGGGAATACCGGCATCGACAAGAGCCAGCGTACAGGCATTGATGGCAGCGGCGAGGAGGGAGCCATCGACTGATAGGACGGACACATGGATGCTAATGGTGCTGTGAGGGTAAAGGTAGGTGTGCAAGTGTGATTGAAAAGCCGAGCGTAGCGTCGTCGCAATCCGCGAAGATTGTCTGTAGAGATGAATGTTAGCAAAATCCCCTCTCTGATGGATTCTCCAAGACAAGAACTCCCTTGGAGGGACGTACCTATCACTTCCACCAGCTCTACGCTTGCGATCAACACCAGCAAATCCTGCAACGTTGACATCCACATCAACAATGGCGCCCGCGCCCCCGGCGCTGCCGCTTGCGTCTCCTCGGCGACCCTCAGCAGGACCGTGAACGGAGCACATGATTGATGTGTTGCCCATCGAGAAGAATGAGGACCCGGAACTCGCGGGGTTGGTCGATATTTGTGCTTGGATGAGTCGCAATTCGTTCCATCGGCGACCATCAAGCCGCAGCTTGGTCAGAGGATATGTCGTGGAGGTGTCGAGAGGCATTGTGTAGATAGCGCGGGTTGAAAGCGCGTGAAAGGGTCCGTGAATGAGAGAGAGAGAGAGAGAGACAAGACGCTAGGGTTCAGAGAACGAAGCCGATCTTGCTTGGACTGAAAAGAGTTGAGGTAGCTGAAGAGTGCACGTCAGCACAGTCACGGCATAGAAGTTGGTGACTGGACATTCTGGTCCGGTGTGAACTCACCTTTCTCAAGCTGGCCGAATACCCATGCAAGATGATCAAATGCCCGCGGAAGAAATCACGAGTGTCGTGGTGGAGAGGAATCTAGTCCCGCAGCTTTTTTTCTCGCCGACCGGAAATGACATCGACTCCGCCCTGGCACGCCTGCGGCTTGGATCCATCAACGATCTTAACGTTCTTCCAACGCCGTCGTCCAACTCAACCAGAAAGCAATCGGGAATGTATTGGACATGGGCAATCTGGATGCTGGAGTCGAGGTCATCGATCTCGAATCAGACGATGACGATCTGGAGATAACAGCCTATGCAAGGCCCGGCAACACACCCGGTACGGGTCTCGTGGATCCCAAGCATGTGCGCGATAACGCAGCTTACCAACTAAAAGATAGGAGACAAATTATTTCCGAACGAGAAAAGCCTGCGATCTCGACCCCCCAGCGGTATACCACTCCTACAAAATTCAAGTCAGAGCCACGACATCCTCCCTCTCGCCTAATTCCGAGTACCCCAATCAAGGCCAAAGAGGAGAGCGAAGATGAGTTTAATGATGGCGAGACGACATACAAGAACTTCAAGGAGCGCAAAGCCGTCAAGCGCAAGCAGGCCGCAGCCGCTACTCGACGAGCAAAGCTCCCGAAGAGACAACCACGCGACCAAGAGATGGTCGGTCTGGTGAAACCAGAGCGCGCGCCGGCGCGACCAAAAAGGCCGTTGAGGGATTATGGCGAAATCTCCTCGGAGGATGAGCTCATGGAGTACACTCTCCCGGACTATCTCAAAAAGCGAAGGGTCAAATTCGATCGTCAGCAGCAAAGTTTGAATGACGCTGGGTTGAAACTCCCCCCATCGTATGACGATGTTGACTTCTCGGATGATGAGCGTCTTGAACATTTACAGGAAAGGCCCGCCTTTCCCGGTCAATCCCCTGCAAGGGCTTACAAGGATATTACTCTACCATGCTCGCTCGGCCTGATCCCAGCCCCGATTGCGCAGTGGCTGAGACCATATCAGATTGAGGGCGTCGCCTTTATGCATGAGCTTTTCGTCTATCAGAAAGGCGGCATTCTTGGCGATGACATGGGCTTGGGTAAAACTATTCAAGTGATTGCGTTCCTGACCGCCGTCTACGGCAAGACTGGCGATGAGCGGGATTCCAAACGCATGCGGAAGATGCGAAGGACTGGAGAGGGGACCTGGTACCCACGCACCATCATCATCTGTCCCGGAACGCTGATCTCGAATTGGATGTCTGAGCTGCAGCGCTGGGGCTGGTGGCATGTTGACGTGTACCATGGCAGCAGCAAGGACATTGCTCTGCATGCCGCAAAATCGGGCCGTGTTGAGATCCTCATCACCACCTACACAACTTATGTGAACAATAGAGATTCGGTGAATATGATTGAATGGGATTGCGTGATTGCAGACGAGTGTCACAAAATCAAGGAGCGCAAGTCGGAGACGACCCAAGCCATGAACGAGATCAACTCACTGTGCCGGGTCGGCTTAACGGGAACGGCGATCCAGAATCGATACGAAGAGCTGTGGACACTGTTGAACTGGACGAACCCAGGTGTCGTTGGACCCGTGACAACATGGAAAGCGCAGATTGCTGAGCCTTTGAAGATCGGCCAATCTCACGAGGCAACGTTGAATCAATTGAGCAAAGCTCGAAGGACGGCCAAGAAGCTGGTCGAGAATCTTTTACCCCAATTCTTTCTTCGCCGAATGAAGACTTTGATTGCAGATCAGCTTCCGAAGAAGAGTGATCGGGTGGTGTTTTGCCCACTCACTGCAACACAAGCAGAAGCTTATGAGAACTTCTTGGACAGTGACATTGTTACCACGATCAAGTGGGCCACCGAACTTTGCGACTGCTCGTCGGGCAGGAAGCAGGGATGGTGCTGTCGTAAATATGTACCGGGCACGGACAAAACATGGCAGTCTCTTGTCTTTCCAGCCATTGCGGTCCTGCAGAAGCTCAGCAATCATCTAGCCATTCTCATCCCCCAGGGTAATGACTCGAATGAGAAACAAGAGAAGGAGAAGGAGATGTTACAGATTGCTTTGCCTGATCAGTGGGAGGATCTTTACCGCTCGCGTGACTCCATTGTGAACTACGCGAATCCTGAATTCTGTGGGAAATGGAAAGTCCTTCGCAAGCTGCTGAGGTGGTGGCATGCGAACGGGGACAAGGTGCTGGTATTTTCCCATAGCGTTCGTTTGCTGAAAATGCTCCAAATGCTATTCAATCACACAAGCTACAACGTCAGCTATCTGGATGGCTCCATGAAGTATGAAGACCGCGCCAAGGCCGTCGGCGAGTTCAACTCCGATCCCAATCAGTTCGTCTTTCTCATTTCCACCAAGGCCGGTGGCGTCGGGCTGAACATTACGTCGGCGAACAAGGTAGTTGTGGTTGATCCCAACTGGAATCCCGCGTACGATCTGCAAGCTCAGGATCGAGCTTACCGTATCGGACAAGTTCGTGATGTCGAAGTCTTCCGTCTCGTCTCAGTTGGCACCATTGAAGAGATCGTCTACGCTCGGCAAATCTACAAGCAGCAACAAGCCGAGATCGGCTACACTGCCAGCTCGGAGCGGCGATACTTCAAGGGCGTTCAAGAGAAGAAAGATCAAAAAGGCGAAATATTTGGCATGCACAATCTGTTCGCTTACCAGCATGACAATGTTGTCCTTCGCGACATCGTGAACAAGACCAACGTCGCGGAAAGCCGAGCTGGCGTCCAGGTCATGGACATCGAGGTCAAAGAAGACCCCGAAAGCGGCATGCTTGGTGACGGACAAGTCAAAGCCGAAGACGAGGCCATGAGCCAATTAGCCGCAATGATCCGCGGTGAATCAGATGCCGATGGTCCTAAGCCTGAGACATCCCGCAGCCACGACCCGATCCAAGCAATTCTCGCAGGCGCCGGAGTCGAATACACCCACCTGAACAATGAAGTCATCGGTTCATCTCGGGTCGAGGAAAGACTGAGTCGACGCGCCGAGCAGATTACCGATGACCCGGAAGCGAATTTCCAAATCTTCGAGCCTTCCCAACTAGACGATGGCGGTTCTGATCCATTCGAAGAACCGCGTCACTTGCCTCCTCCGCCTTCTGTGTTTCAAGGACCAGAGGGGCAGATTGTGCGATTCAAGTACAACCCGCCTGAGGATGTCAAGCGCCGGCAGTTTTGTAGCATGGCGCGCCGCTTCGGATATGCCGATGCTACGGAGTTTGCGCTCGTGGTGGAGAATATGACTCAGGCTCAGCGAAGAGAGTGTCTAGATAAGTGGTATGAGGAGCGAAGAAATGTTGTCTTGGCCAAAGACCACAAGGAGGCTGTGGCTGTCAAGGAGGAGTCATAAGAGATTGCTCTCGGATGACGCCGTCTGTGTGTTCCAATTGTCTTATTGTCAAGGCTCTTGAGACTCGCTTTCCCGTATCTCGATTAGAAGACCACATAACTAGTGCATGTACAGATCAATGTAATTCTAAGAGAAGACCGGTCGATCTACAATGAGTTTGACTGGTTGTCTTCCAGTGTGGAAAGGGCTAAACGTCAACTCGAAAAACACGAAGCAAGCGTAATGATCATAATCTGCCTTCCTTGATTACGCAATGGTCAATGATGTCTCCTAAACAAAAATTACCGAAATTGAAAGAAAATGGCTGCTATCTCGCACAGAGCAGACCTTGAGGAACAGAACATCGTGAATGGGTATCAGTCTAAACATAAGACGTAGATTGCGTAAGGCTGCTCGAGCTGCTCCAAACTACAGCCAGGCCAATGTCCACAATGCTGGCAGATTGGGGTGCTTTTCTTGCCACTCGGCCAGGATCTCCGGGACACTCTCATCGAAGCTCAAGCGCGCGGCACCAGATCCATTCTCCCATCCCGCGGATCCGTGGGTATTTCTTTGCGCCATGGCAGATTCATTCAACCGGTTGGCCAAGTCCAGAATGGCCCTTCCACCAACCAGGGCTTCTTCGTGATTATCTTTGATATCCACATTGAATACGTGAACAGGTCGATTCAATTGATTCCCCTTATTCATGAGGTCGTCCACCACAGCATCCCAGCAGCGCTCCTCGCAGGTGATGATGACATCGACCACTCCCCCTTCTGTCCCCTGAGCGCCCTTGTCGCCCTTGGAGATATGTTCGAGCCGTGGCTGACCGGGTATCCAGTCTTGGAATCGTTCCGGGCCCCATTTCAAATTGCGATTGCGGTCCAGCATGTTCAGAATTCCATTGTGACGATACAGGCGCGCGTCTTTCTCCTCCAGCTCTTCGTACATCTGATTGTAGGAAGTGGTGTTGAAGCTGTACACGTTCGGTTGCGTGATAGACGGGCCTGGTAGTCGGACCAGTGAGCCAGTGCCGAACGAGATGACTGGGAACGCGGAGGGTGCTGTCGCGAGTCGAAGGTGAGCCTCCATTGAGCGATTGTTGTTGGATGCACAGACGGTGCAGAATTTGAGTTTCCAGGAATCTGTCTGCTCATCATTGGTGTTGTTGGGGGTTGTGGTCGCAGCGACCACATCAGCTGCGCCGTCGGTAGGTGCAGTCATGTCTGATGGCGCGGACTCGGGAGGAGGCGGCGGGGGAGGAGGATTTTGAGTTGTGCTGTTGGTGTTTACACGGGGGTCGTAGGATGCCATGATGGGCGACGGCTTATTGATAGAATGGATGGAGCACGGTGGGACAGAAAAAGAGAGAAGAGTAAGATAGAACTAAGAAGAGGACCCGAAATGGGGCCTGGAAGCTAAAAAAGGCTTGTTGGGCAAATGGGGTATCAAGAAGGCTTCACAAGAAGATGTCTACAATTTCCAGAGGTGTCGTGTCTAGGACTTTTGAGACATGTCAGTATAATGACCCATCATGGTAGAGGTACTGTCAAGTTGATCGCCGATGGGTTGCAATGGAAATTGGGTTCAGATAAAAAAAGCGTATAATGAGTTTGTCCGCAAAGCCGAAGCTCAGACAGCTCCAATAATAAGATTCATCATGTAGACGTGCATACAGGAATGTATTACAGGAAGGAATTGGTAGATGATTTTGAAGGTTTGCATACCTGGAAGATGACTTTCATTATCGTCAGCCTTGACTCAGAAGCACACTTTAGTCGTTTGGGGGCCAGAGCCCTCGAGAAAAGAAAGACAAGCGACCAGAGAAGGGAAAGAGGGGACGATGAAGAAAGAAAAGGTGCAGGCATTTACCGAATTTAGCGTGCGTGATGAGTCAGCCAGACATTCTGCCGGGCTGGGCTCCAGTCTGTGCTGTCTCACTGCTGAGGCGGTCGGCTACCAACTACAAACTACCAAACTACCGACTGCAGTGGTTGACCCATTCTAGATCACGTGGCTTTTGTCAAACACAGCAAACCACCCGCACGATGATGTAGCGCCCCGCCTGGGGCTCTATTAAGGTTGTGTGTTGTTATCAGACACATTAGCTCTCCTCTGCAAACACGTTCAATCTTTGTCATATTTGGTTGATCTCACACGTGCACTCTTCCTCCGAGAAGTATCAGCTCGAGCCGACCAATATCAACCAGCTTGGGAACCTCGTGATCATTAACTACCAGCGCTCGTACACAGTTACACACTCCTGGATGGAGTTCAGAGGCAGTGACCGAGGGCCGTTCGTGCCCGCGCTGATTGTAGTTGACATGCAGGAAGACTTCTGCCCACCTGTGAGTTCAACCCACGCCATGGCCACAAGACATAGGGTACGCAAAGGGACAGAACATGACTGATGCGTGGGCTTGCTATGATGCTCGAACTCCCCTCGCAGGAAGGATCCTTGGCTGTTCGAGAAGGCAGGGACATTGCACCGGTGATCAATACTCTTTTGGCTCAACCTGGCCTGGTGGTACGCATCGCGACTCAAGACTGGCACCCCGCCAACCATATTTCCTTTGCCAGTAACCACCCACCTCCAAACAATCGTCCATTCGAGTCATTCGCAGAGATGAAGAATCCCGCCCCGGACAAGAAAATGGAGTCCATGTCGGTGCAGCTGTGGCCAGATCACTGTGTAGCCAATACTACTGGGTCTAACATGATCCCGGAGATTGACACTACGCCCATAGACCACTTCATCCGCAAAGGTACTGATCCCCAGGTCGAGATGTATTCAGCCTTTGGAGACGCTTTTGGTAATCTGGACCCGGCTGTGACGTCGCAATCCGTCAGTGAGGATGTCGCCTCCATCTTGGAAAAAAGGGGGTTACGGATGTAATTGTGGTGGGACTGGCGGGCGACTACTGCGTGAAATGGACCGCAATCGATGCCGTCAAGGCTGGATTTCGCAGTTGGCTTGTTGAAGAAGGCACCAGATGTGTCGCGCCGGAGGGCTGGGACAAGGTCAAGGCAGAGCTTCATGGGGCGGGGGTATCTGTCGTTCATATGGACGACCCCATCGTGAAGAAGCTCAGCACAGCTGTGGACTGAACATAACAGCCGCAGTATTTACTCCGGAGTCAGGAACACTACGCCTTCTGTGGGTGACTCCGCGCGTTTCTTTTTTTATATTATCCAGAGAACGTTCTGGGGATTTATCAAGATCTTTATTGTACAGTAGTACACACTACACACTCAATGATAGTTGTGCTTCAGAATGAATCGCCACTCGGCACATTCCAATAGACCCGGCTGGATCCGTGAAACTGGGACGACCAGTGATCGACATCGATAACAACGGCCCGGAGAGCTTGCACGAGGAGCAATTCATTTCCGAACTGATTCCCCGTCATTTCTCTCTTCGGCTCTCCCTTTATTATCTCTTTTTATAGAATCATTCAGCGCCCGGTGAAAAGAAGGAGTTCGATCAAGGAGTAGTCGACCTGGGCAGTTCCCTCAGCTCTTTCCCTCCTTGCTTTTGTTGGTTCTGTGCCTGATTTCTCGAACATCTTTGTTGATTGATGGCCTCTCCATCAATCGACATGGCTGCGACTTCTTTGCCGTGCTTTCACGACAACGTCAAGAGGCATGCAGGTGGTCAAGAAGACACCCCCACCACCTTCCGCCCCAGCTACTTACACGACCCCGGCCTCGACTCGGAAGAGCCCTTATACTACTGGCAGGTCAACGTGCCCCGGTCGCAACGGACCAAGGAGTGTCCGCCGTTCCTGCGCGACCAGTCCCTCAAAAACATTCAATGTCTCGCCACGCGCGATTGCGACTATCAGCGACAGAGCTGGGAACAAGTGCAGATAATCATTCGTTGAGTGGAGCCAAAGCCCCGTCCCTTTTCACCCCCGGACCAGCAGCCCCGGCAGTGTTGAACTGTCATGCATCTTGGCGATGGGGCTCTCGCACGTTTCACAGCCTTGGCGCGGAGTCTATATACTGTTGGGCCGTGCAGCAGGGCAGATGCGGCTAACATGGCGAAATGGTCTTTTGAGCAGGGACAAACCAAATCGATCGGTTTCAGCGAGTTCCGAGTGAACTGCGCAAATATTTGGAGTATATCTTTCGCATCAAACTGCAATATGGATCGGTCATGCGATTTGTGGTGATGGAGCGGTTACGCTGGGGTATAGGGGTTCTGGAAGGTCTTCAGCCTCGGGGTCGCCCTTTTGAGTGTGCTGGTGAGTGCTGCATTGACGGCCTACGTTGTACCGAGAAAGCCTTTATGTTTGATATGTTCCGTGATCGAGCGGTAGCTGCCGGGCAACCGCTGTGAGAAGGCTTTCCAGTGTCCACTCCCTCAATGGACTCGCAGAAGGGAGTCCACGAGGGTCATCTGCCGAGTTACTTCGACTCTACGCTAACGCTGCCGTAGAGGACATTCGCATTCTATACAATGACTGGCCATACGGGGTGGACCCGGGCATTATCCATCTTGTGGTCTGGACCAAATTTGAGCTCTCCGAAGATCCGGCCACCGGTGATCTCACCAACGAAGCGCGCGAGGGGATCGAGCAATACGTGCAGGCCACGTTCTGCTCCCGTCTGGCGCCCGACCAGGTGATTTGGTTTAGGAATTGGAAGTCTTTGAAATCCGTCCATGCCGTCGAACACTTTCACGTCATGCTTCATCGACCAGATATGGACTTTGTGCGCGAGATTACCGGGGGAGATGTCCCACTGATTGAACAGGTGGACTGAAGAAGTGCATCATCCTTGTTGCAGGTTCAACTACTATGGAATTAGATACCGTCCATTACAGCGGTCGGAGTGGATCACTGGATACTGCAGATTGCTGGCTACGCCTCTTATTGAAAGACAATTGACTTTATGAGGTCAGCTTCTGTCTTTGCAAGTGGCAAGTGATTTTTCCTGCTAGCATGAAACTCTACTTGTAGCCTTGTACTGGATATGCGTAAAACGATCTTTTCCCGAGTCGGTAAATTGACTGTGACTTGAGGACTTCCTGTTGGGTGCACTCACTGCACGGGTGTCGTGAGTGATCCCTAGTCCTACTACTCTCCTTGGCCGTATTCTCGTATTGATCCTTTACGAATCAAACCCGCATGCCTGGACCTGCATCAAGGCGAGTGTCGTTCTTTGGCTCTTCCATTCGATCGGCTCCATCTTGGAAAGGGTTGCTGCTCTCCACTCAGCCAATGCGATGCCCCTCTCCAGGAGAGGATCATGGCCGATGACCGCGCAGACATTGGACAGTATAATGGCAGGTGTCGTGCTTATGCATGAGTATCCTCGTATTCATGTAGAATGAGAGAGAGAGAGAGAGTACTAATTGAGCTGGCATGATCTAATAGTTTGGAGACAACTGAAGATCGTAAAGGACACTCCACATACTAATTCCTTCAGTAGCTAGTAAGTACCAGCTAAGTTCAGCAGTATGTAAGTACCTACACATAGTTGGGTATACACCCTGGACTTCTCAAGTATGAACGCATCGGTTGCAGTTTCTATTGTTAGCGTAGAGACTTTCAACCACTCCCGGTTCCAGTCTCCACTCTCCACCACCACTCGGCGGTCGGGCGTCCACAGGCAGTACGCAAAAGATCCGCGGACTCTCGACGTCATTGTCCGACTGCCTCCGAGAGCCTCGACGATTTGGTGGTTGATGTGTGGAGTGCGCCATTCTGGATATGCAAAGCATTTCTGACAAGAGCACTGTCATATTACAACCACTTCTCTTCCTCCTGCAGGCTGTTTCTTGGCTCCAGATCACGAGTCGGTGGAGTGTGGCTGTGCGAATACTCAATAGTACCGGTTTCATGCTTCGTATTCCAACGAGATGGGACCCTAGGATCCACAATTCAGATTTCCAGACCTTTGTAAGGATGAGCTTCATGTCAGATTCTCAGGAATACGGTGGCAGCTTAGAACAGTCATTTCTGGAAGCGGTATTGCAGTATAGTTGAGAATATTAGATCAATCATGCCAACTGATAGTCATACTATGAGAGGTATGCTGATTGTACTAACTATAGTAATTCCGACAAGTTCCTAACATTGGATAAGTACATTATTCCAAGTACCTGCTTAAACGCATCTCTGCCGGTCAGAGTATATCCATACATGGTCAACGTGTCCAAATGAGATGACAGAACACGTCGATATAACCTTCAAGCTTGGAAGCTACAGTCTCTACTCTGTACTCTGTAGACTCTCAAAGCAAATAGTACACTGACTACCGTCTGAGTCCACAAGTACAAAAAGGCTGGCCTGCTTACTGTCAATACTAGTACTCAATACAGATTTACATAATCTCCTCCGGTCTCCACCGTCCCCCCCCCCCCCCCCCCCATCGTCGCATGACGAGCTAATGCCCGCCCCTCCCCAAGTCCCCGCCAGTCCCAAGAGCTGTCACCGACTCAAACCTCGCTTTGCTCTAGACTGCGCTTTTTCCGCCCAGCTTTTTTTCTTTTCCACTTCCTGAGAATCAGGCTACCCACGTCTTCAACTCACCTTCTGCTTTCCCACCTTTGCCAGATTCATACCCTTGGGACAGTCGCATCTTCAGCATCATCCGTGCATCTCCCACCCGGCCTTGCTCCCTTGCTGCTCCTACTGCGCTACATGCTGTCGCACTGATTCAAACTCCCACCCCGAGAGAGAGAGAGAGAGAGAGAGAGAGAGAGAGAGAGAGAGAGAGAGAGAGAGAGAGAAAGAGAGAGTCTCTGCGCCGTCCCGCCTGTCCCGCTGCCAACCATGCCGGTGCCGCATCTCCGCCGTGCCTCTTTGACCAGTACGTGCGAGGTCTCCCCGGGAGGAATGATCAAGGTTTACCCATGCAAACATCTCGAGAAGCTCACATCATCCTCATAATGAGATAGGCCGGTCATCGAGGGACCCATCACCCGCCAGCGGCGATGAAGAAATTGTTGAACCGGAACAGGGGAATGGTATGACGCCCTGGAAAAGCTTCCTTTAATCACCATTCGCAGAAGACTGGGAGCGACCGGCCCAGCTCAGTATGGCAGCTATGTGGAGAGAGGGGAACTGACAAGACCACGCAGTCCTGTCGCATATCATTTCCCAACTTCGACCGGGCGCCGACTTGAGCCGAGTCGTGCTGCCCACCTTCATCCTAGAACCGCGATCCATGCTCGAGCGCATTACAAAGTACGTGTGGGCCTCTACCGCTCCCAAAGCGCTCCAGGTTGGCACGGGATGGCCGTGCCCTGTAGCCTGGGCCAACCGGAAGTGCGAGAGGAAGAAACACGAGCCACAGTATTGACTTGATGATCTGTATAGCTTTATGGCGCATCCAGAGACACTTCTTCCCATGTCGGAAATTGACGATCCCGTCGAACGATTTGTCGCCGTGGTGAAATTCTACCTAAGTGGATGGCATATCAAGCCTCCGTAAGTTCGTGTTCCTCGCCTCTGTGCCTGCCTCCACCGAGATATGTCATCAGAAAAGGCTTTCTTGCATTCCAAACGAAAATGGGCATCTATCTCATAACCCTCGAGTGCTGATTCGGTTCCTACCATTTTGATTTCAGCGGTGTCAAAAAGCCCTTAAATCCTGTCCTGGGAGAGACTTTCACCTGCTACTGGGACTATCCTGATCAGACCCGCGGATACTATATCTCCGAGCAGACCTCGCACCACCCACCCAAGTCCAGCTACTTTTTCATAGCCCCGGAACACCACATTCGAATCGATGGTACCCTGAAGCCTCGCAGCAAATTTCTGGGAAACTCTGCCGCCAGTCTGATGGAAGGCATTGCGATACTGCGCCTGCTAAATCGGGGTCAGGACCAAAAAAAGGGAGAGAGATAGTAAGTGCCCCATCCTACGTTCGGAGGCAACGACGGTTCCGAGCATTTGTGCAGCTCGCCTTGGGGTCGACCGACTGACTCAATCTCATAGTATTGTGACACAACCCAACATGTACGCGCGCGGCATCTTGTTCGGCAAAATGAAGTATGAGCTAGGCGATCACAGTTATGTGCGGTGCCCGGAAAATCACCTTGTGGCCGATATTGAGTTCAAGACCAAGGGCTACTTCTCGGGCACATACAACGCTATTGGGGGCGTGATCAAGAACGAGCAGACCGGTGAAGTGCTCTATGAGTTGTCAGGCCTGTGGAATGGCGAGATGCACATCAAGGATGTCCGCGTGAGTTAACTGCGTTTCTATTGTTCCAACTCTATCTAATTCGAAGACAAAGCTCTTGTCTTTGACCCTGCGAATTGCTGACCATTGAACCGGCGATAGAATCATCACAAGGAAGTACTTTTCGATGCTACACACGCAAGACACGCCAAGCCGCGTGCGCGTCCCATCAGTGAGCAATCGGAGCGCGAGTCCCAGCGCTTGTGGGAACCTACGGTCAAGGCGATCATCGCGCAAAACCACGCTCTAGCCACAGATGAGAAGACGAAGATCGAAGACCGGCAACGGGAGGAGGCTGCGAAGCGTGTCGATGACGGAGTCGAGTGGCGTCCCCGATTGTTCCGCCATGTGGAAGGTGGCCCCGGAGGTCGCGATGAAGGCGAAGAGGATCTGGACTGGATCATCAATGCGGAAGTGTATGTTCAGCCATGTCATCTCCGATTGCGGAGGAAAGAGTGGATTATTTATAAGTACTAGTGCGCTGACATCTTTTCGTTTGGACACAGAGACGCCCAAGACCCGCAACTCGCCGTACAGCAGATCCTGGCTATTGCACCGATCCTCGACGGCCAGAAAGACTCCAGCCAGTTCCAGATTCCCCCGCATACATCCGAACCTATCGAGTCTGCGACCCACAACGTGTCCGCCCAGCAGAATGTAGCTGCTCCAACCTCGGACGCTGCCATTCAACCTTCTCATGCGGTTGCTCAACCGCCCAACGCTGTTGCCCAACCACCTCAGCCAGTCGCGTTGCCTCCAGATGCCATTGCGCAACCTCATGTCCCAGCCGTTCAACCCCCGAGCACTGAGCTACCCAAAGGCACTGAATCTACCGTGCCCCCAGTGGTGCAGCGAATGGACACCGAAACGCACAAGGTGGAACAATTCGTGGACGCCAAGGAGTCATAGTGCATCATTTGACAGAGAGTCATATATGACCATCCAAAGGAAAAATGACGCCCCCCCAAAAAAGAAAACCATATACATGATGATCTCATAATTAAATCCTAATTCATCCTGTTTACCGGTGTGGTGTAAGCCCGTCAATAGATGATTTACATTGCATTGCCGTTATCCGCACAGCTCGGGCGCTGCAAGACTTTACGACTCCGGCATCGACTCGCCCCTGAAGGAAAGACACGCGACCAAGATACTCGCGACTTTCACGGCATTGATTATCGAGTATGTACATGTCGCAGCACATGTACAACGATGACCACGCGTTGCAAATAGGTTTCCCCACGTCCTGATCTCACGAAGATATTCTGAAATACCACGAGATACCTCCTTGAGAGTGAAAGATACCTAATGCTGCGTGTGGTCAATTCTCGATCCATGTAGAAAAAGTGGATCGAGGGTGATATTGTAGGTATTGAGCACTACGACATGGCACAGATTACTTTCATCGTAATTAGAGTTACACTTGAATCTGTCTGATTCATCCATATATGTACGCATCGGTTATGTCAGGGTATATCACAAGGTTCAAAGAAAAACATATCAGACATCAGACACAATCATCGAAGAGCACCCGACCCAGAATGATAGTAAGCTGGACATCCGGGTCGATTAAACAAGCATGCCAGCAAGCTTTAAAAAAAAGAACCTCACAGTCAAAGTAGGTAGGGAACCTCTTTCCCCCAAACACCGAGCTCCACCAAACTCCCCAACACCCTGTGTTTTTCCAAACCGGAAGAAATTTCAAGTGGCAAATCAACAGCGAGACAAAGACAAGGTCCACTTCTATGAATGCTATGAGTACAACTCGCCGCGAGCTCCTGCGCCTCGTTCCAGCTCGCGCCGACGATTGCCACGAGCAATTGAGCCGGCCGAGCCAGGCGTCCCCACGAAATCGGCCGCTCCGCGCGGCCGCGGCCGCAGCGGCGGTACTTGCAGCATAGCCTCCGCCAAAGTGCTCTTCGCGTTCTTCCTCCATCATGGCCGTTTCCTCCTCGATTTCCTTTTCAGTCTCTTCGCGGAGACCAAGGATGTCTGGCGGGATGAAACTCATCTGGACACTTGGGGCGCCCTTGATGTACCGCAGCTGTTCGTGAACGGATTCGACTAGCCCTGCGAGATATGGTTTTGAGTTCTTATTCTCCAGCTTTCGAATCTCCGATAATGGTGGGAACAGCGAGTAATCTGGTCCAAAGTGTGTGCGGAAGGCCACCGAGTCGGGAATGGTGGGATCGAGGAGAGCGTCGGCCTCGAGAAGGATGGAGGTCTCGTGTGCCCAGGCACGAGACACGTTTCGCGGGGTATAACCGCCGCCTCCGACGACGAGGAGGGGCAAGCCGAAGGTTTTCGTAAAGGCGACACAGGCACCGTGCGCGCGTACGTTGAGATTGAAGCATCCCAGTCGGTCGCAACCCAGACTGTCGGCTCCACATTGTAGAACGATCGCACCCGGGTGGTATGTCTCCACACAAGCACCAATCACGTTGTGGTAGAGCTGCATGTAGGATTCGTCGTCGATGCCGTCGTTGAGAGGAACATTGATGGAATGATGAGCTCCCGGGTTGAGGGGATGCGTAGGACCGGTGTCATCGAGCGCTCCCGTTCCGGGGAAGAAGTTATCTTTGTCGTACTTGTGGAAAGACACCGTCAGGACACGATCTGTCGACCAGAACGCCTGCTCAACCCCGTCGCCGTGGTGGACGTCAATATCGATGTACATAACTCGGGGGTGGTGGCGCAATAATTGAAGGATTCCGAGAACAATGTCATTGACGTAGCAAAATCCACTGGCTTCTGCCTTCTTCGCGTGATGCAAACCACCGGACCAGTTGATCGCAATCTCGGCCTGGTCGTTGCACAATTTGCGCGCCGCATCGACGGTGCCGCCTGCGTACAACGAGCAGTAGTTGTACAGGCCGTCAAAGATGGGACAATCGTCTCCGAAATTGAAACGCACCACGTTGTCGCTTTGCTCGGCACGTTCCATGTCGCCCGGCATCACCTGGCGCAAGAAGTCCAAGTAGTCGCCCTCGTGAAATTCAGCCATCTCTTCGTAGGTTGCCGCCCGCGCGAGGTAGAGGTCCATGGCGTGGTGCATCCCGTATGCCATGACAAGCTGTTTTGTCAAGGTGAGTCGCCATGGTTTCATGGGATGTGACTGGCCAAAATGATGTGCTTCTACGGCCGGATTGGCGTGCCATGACACGCGATACCCTTTGGGCCGGGGTACTTGATACAGCTGGCGTTCGTGGTTGGATTTTTGGTCCAAGCTCAGCGTTGTGGATGGCGCATCATATTCTTGAACGATAGTCGAGCGCGCCATCGATGGAGGAGGGAGGGGAAGAGGAGGAAAAGGAGAAGAGCGGACGATTGGGGGTGAGAAATCGTCAGCACGAGGACAATGGGAGTGCACTAGCTGTGGAGCATTTGGTTCATGTCAGAATGGCGGAATTCGGGGAGGTGGAAATTTGAATCTGGAGTCGCTTCCTCTACCGATGCACGAGAGGTTAATGACGGGTCAATGTCCATGGGTCCCATTCTACTAGTGGAAGGTCGAGATGGCGCTGACTAAGACGATCTGCCGCGGCTCGGCGCAAATGGGTGGAGGAGCCTCTCAGACTTCTGGTCTCTATTCGTGAATCGCACGACAGATGATCCAGGATCCAGCCCTCACAAACTTTATCCATGGGATTGTTCGCTCTCAAGAGCTCCCTTTCCGGAGATTCGTAGTCCATTTCTCATGCATGCTTTGCCTACGAGACCGAGAATTCCCCTGACCGATTCTTGGTACTCATGCGACGGGTATATGAGACTATGAGCATTGAACACCCTTCACTGGTATGGGATCTTGGTTCACTTAGCTCTTGTGTTGTGGTCGTACTGCTACTGTCGTGGTCAGGCTGAGAGTCGCTCCTCTCATGTAGTGAGGATCGAAAGGAGCACGTATGGTCGCATATAATTTGAGACATCCCAGGACTCAACATGGCAGCAAAGCGACAGAGCCCGTTTACTCTTCGGCTGAGATGAGAGTCGCAGAAGGGCCAGTGCGCGAATCTATAGTTTGGTTCCGGTGAAGATTACCTCCATTCAGAATTCCTACTTCTTTGGTCGACGTCGCCAGCGCTTTACTTTGCAAAAGTTTACCCACTCGGATCCCGAGACAAGCGCCAACTCTCCCTCAATGCAAAATCCCACGCGCGTTGGTCGACAACAAACCAATCCGCACTTCAGTTCTCATGGCGTCTGTGTCGGTCGACTCTATCGGGTGCAAAGTCCAAACATCCAACAGTCCCCCCCCCCCCCCCAACCCCAACATACAACGTCACACGGACAGAGACCAACATGACTGGAGAGGTCCATTTGGAAATGGCGGTCCACTTATGTGAAGTCGAAGTATCCACCATGGTGACCATGCACCTCTTTCGCCCCGCGACGGTCGAGGTAAGCTCTCTCGGTGGAGATTTTGGCGTGCGTGAGGGTACGCAGTGAACGCACTACTCAGTACTCACGTTACATTGCATAGTGCGCTAATGCGCGACGCCGCAAAGTCCTCCAAAGTGTAGGGCCGACAACCATCGACCCTTGTCCATTTTCAGCGAACGAGATCGACAGTGGGGAGGTGTTGCCGGGTAGAGATAATCATGACTCTTCCCTTCTCTGTTAAAGGAGGACAAGTACCCCCCTCGCACGGGCTACGAAAGGCGATGCCTGCCAAGGTCCTTTGAGAGCTTATTTTCTGCTTAACTCATGTTTTTTGAGTTCAACCTCAACCGCAGCGCAAATGAGCTAGACACTCTCCTCTGGTCACAACAACTTGTTGAACGTCAACGCGCGCATCGGTCGAGATGGGTGGCACGCCGTGGCACTCGAAAGGATGCATCGCATGTCGCAAACGGAAAGTCAAGGTTCGTGTTGACTGAGATCCCTCGGAAAGATGCACCATGGTCCAGAAGGAACAATCTAATGGGATTCACGCTCAAAGTGTGATGAACAAGAACCCGAATGCGCCCGGTGCATTAAACGAGGGGTCAAGTGTCCCGGGTACATTAGGACTCGCATCTACATCCACCACCCGTCAGTCAAGTACCGCGATGAAGCCAGAACTGCCATCCCTATTTCTCAGTCTCAATTCCAATCCTCGGCGCAACAACTATGTGGACCGTTGGCTCGCTCACAAGCAGCGAATGTTGTCCAGCAGACGACGCCGGCCCCATTGATCCAGCCTTTGCCCTCAGGAAGTACCTGGCAATCCCGCCCAATGGTGCGCGAGCAGATCTTCAGCTCTTTTTTGAGTCTTCTGTTTGGCGAAACCCATCCAATGTCCGCCCTCAATATATGGCAATACCTTATCTTAAGCTTCGGGCAACTTCCTCGCAGGTCCGGGACGCTTGACCGAGCGCTCTCGGCGATGTCATGTCTCTATTTGGGCAAGATGAACAACGACGATCGCCTGTTTCACTATGGTCTGAATCTCTACGGTGCAGCTATCCAAAACGTCAAGAGCTCTGTCTTACGGAACACGTGCGATGCGGATACGATCTATACCACTGTCATCTTTCAGGATCTAGAGGTAGGAGATCGGAGGATGTCACTACTTTGAGGCATCTCTGCTGGCGAGAACTGTCTGACGTGAAAAAAAAAATGTCTAGTCATACTGTTGTTCATTTGATTTCCGCACTTTCTTAGCGCATACTCAAGGGACAAGTGCCATCCTGCACTGTCATCGTGACTCGTTGCCTCGGAACCCGCTGCTGGATGCCATTTACAACCAGCATCAGAAGATGCGCCTGGTATGCACATCGAGGTTTCACTTTTCAAAGAAACAGCCCAGCCCTACTGTCATCGTCGAGCTACCTGCTGACTTTGCGTAAGATGATTGCGACAGCGGGTGTGAACATTACAGAGGAGGAACATCAATACCTGACAAACTCAATCGACGGACGCTCCACCGCCGTATCCAAATTATTCGCCATGTATGCAGAGTTCGGCCCTCTGTCGGCCATGCTCAATCGCACCGAGATTGACGATCCTGAACAGCGGGCAAAAGCGCTTGGAGCTTGCCTGATGCAAGAAGAGAAAATTCGCGCTTGGTACGCGCAGTATGTCACCCCCCACAGTATGTTTATTTGCGAGGCCAAAGATTGCAACACGGACAAGCTGCCATCCACAGAGCGACTCTTTGGTTCAGGGTATCGATTTTCGTCCCTTGATGATGCCAGAATGCACCACTATTACTTTGTGGCACTCGCGACCGTGCAGCCTTGGATTCAGAGGCTGCAAAGATGGGCTCAGCCCCAGCCCACAGCCACCATGGGTCTTTCGGCTCCAGTCACGACACCACCTCACAGCGAAGGACAACATGAGATACCTGAGTTCCTCGCCGACGAGCTATGTCGCATGATGCCATATTATGCCAAGAATACAGATCAACTATCCGCCACTGGGATGCTGTTGTTCCCGGTGGTCGCGGCAATCAAGATCTATATTGGACTGGGCCGTTTGGAGAAGTTTACGTGGTGCCTCAACGCCCTTCGCTTGATAGGGTATCGAGGCTTGTCGATGTGTAATCGACTGATTGACGTGTACTCGAATTGCTGGAACAACCGCAACATCGACCCATGGCCGATACCCTGTCGGTCGCTGCGGGACGACATGACCCTTTTTGAGCGTTCAGCAGAGTCGCAGAACGCATGTGCAAGCAATGAAACACCGCGTAGCCCTGTTTCGGAAGGTAGGAATATTGCGAAGGCTGCACAGTCTCTGCGAAATGTTGTACCAGAGAGGTCGGTCAACAGCTCTGAATAATTGGGATTCTATCATTTGGATCGAATCATGGCGCAAGATATGTAAAGCACCGAGGAGGAGAGAAAGATTTCCTAGAACACACCTGCGTTGATGTGGTGTTAGAGATGGTTTGAACCGCTCTACAATCACCGTGCAAACAACAGGTTCGATTCTGTCATATTGGGACCAAGCGAATCAGCCATGGGCTAGACTGGTTCGTCTACCGAGCTGAATACTCCTGTGCCGACAGCATTTCAAGGACAAAATCATCGAAAAATGATCGTGTCGTCAAATCAAGTCGTGGCCCGACCAATTGGTCTTGGATCTACGACGGAGTTCAAATATGTACAACGGCGATTCATGCTGGTAGATCGAAAACTTGGCTTGGGCGCTCTCCACATCTGCGAGCATACCTTTATGCGGCTCGTGGCACAACGTTCCTGGAGCAGTAAGTTGCACCTCCATATATCATCGAACAAGGCTGTCTTGATTGTTCCCGCTTCCGCCACCACGCAATATCACGAAGCCGTATCGTTGTCCTGGCCACATTCGTTCGATCGACACAACATGACTCGCCACAACGGTTCGGATGAATAGAGAATGCGAAAAATCCCCGAGATATATGCGATGACATAATCACTTCCCGGTATCGGCAACACGGCAGTGGGACAGTGGAGAGCAGTGCGCTTCACCACGGAAGAGACTTCATTGGTTGAGTACTCCAAAGATTGGGCACGCAGGCAAAAAATGATGGAGGGGGTGGAAACCATCAGGAAAATTGGAGATGATCGGTAATCCACGGCCGAAGGCAGCAAGGAGGCCTACCTTATAAGAGAAAAGGTGACGGCGCTGCGTCGGCGTGTCAGTGATCAGTGCCAAGTGAAGCATTTTCACTGAACCATCTGACCTCGCTGTTTGGAGAGCCTAAAGCTACTTAGTACTAGCCGCTCCTCACGAATACACGACGTCATCATGTCCGTCAATACTGGCGCAAGCAATCTGCGAAAGGTTCTGGAAGATCCCAACGGCTTCGTGTGTGCTCCTGGTGTATACGATGGCCTTTCTGCGCGAATGGCGCTCGGGGCTGGATTTGATGCACTTTACATGGTGAGCAAGCGCAATCTTCACCCTCCTCAAAAGTCTCGAATGAACCACTATCTCTCTAACGTGATTCTTCTCTAGACTGGCGCAGGAACCGCCGCCTCGGTCCATGGACAGGCAGATCTCGGCATCTGCACCCTCAACGACATGCGCGCCAATGCCGAGATGATCGCCAATCTCTCACCTAGCACTCCGCTTATCGCCGACGCAGACACCGGCTACGGCGGACCGATTATGGTGGCCCGCACGACGGAGCAGTACGCCCGGGCAGGCGTCGCAGGTTTCCACATCGAAGACCAAGTGCAAACGAAACGATGTGGCCATCTCGGTGGCAAGCAACTCGTCGATCTCCCTACCTATACTACTCGCATCCGTGCGGCCGTGCAGGCACGCAAGCGCATCGGCAGCGACATCGTGGTGATTGCGCGGACTGACGCCCTGCAGTCCCTCGGGTATGATGAGAGCTTGACGCGATTGCGTGCCGCTCGCGATGCGGGTGCAGATATGGGATTCTTGGAGGGTGTATCTTCACGAGAGATGGCGGCACAGGCGGTGCAGGATCTTGCGCCGTGGCCCTTGTTGCTGAACATGGTAGAGCATGGTGCTACGCCGTCGCTCACGGCGCAGGAGGCAATGGAGTTGGGATTCAAGATGATTATCTTCCCTTTTGCGACGATCGGGCCTGCTTTGACGGCGATGAGGGAGGGACTGGAGAAGTTGAAGCGTCTGGGACTACCGGGCCTCGACCCCGAGTTGACCCCGCAGATGTTATTCCGTGTCTGCGGGCTGGACGAAAGCGTCAAGTTGGACGCTGATGCTGGCGGTGCTGCATTTGAGGGAGGCGTGGATCTGCAAAAGTGAAGCTGCTCCCTCTCATGTTCTTCCTCTTATGTCTCAACGAGTATAAATGTTCCCTCTGGTCCTCTAGGGTTGCCGATAGGCGGGCCTGATCCGGTGTCTCTTTTCTTTGCCTGCACTCCGCAGTAGTGTATCTGCGTTGGTGTTGCTGTAAATAGCATTTTTGTCGCCCTTGATCATGACCACCCGAGCCTGTGAGCTTTCCAAGAGCAGGTACGTATGCAATGGGCTATGCCATCGGGTCTCGACTACCAAGTGTCCTCGTAAATGGACGAGCAGACTGCGCCCGACTTAACTCGGCACACATTACTGCAATAGTGCAATGGGGGCATCCAACAGGAAAGCACCCGCAGCGACATCGTAAGCGATAGGTCGGCCAGGATAAAAATAACTTTGACCGTCGCAGAACACTCTATCCTAGCGCGACCGCGCATGCGCGTTGAGTCTGCTCAAGAATAGGAGTGGACCTCATCCACTGCGTAGTGCGGACGCCGGACAGACACCCGGTCACGGGACTTTTCCAGTTTTCAACCGTACTCGACCTCCACGCGGGCAATGGCGGTGTTTCAAGAGTACTTCCCTGGCCGCTGGCGTGCCGGAACGTCCGTCATAGCGATCGGGGGTGTTTCCAGGGCTCGCTTCCCGCTTCATCCATTGGGTCGCTGGACAACTCAAAATAAACCGTGTTCTATGTTCTATGATGAACTTGTGTATCTGCCAACCTCTAGAGTCTCGACTTGAAACTACTCCAAGATATCTGCATGTGTAGGTCACTAGGTAAGTGTGTATTAAGGTAATTGTAACTAGTTAAGCGCAGACCAGCCACCAGACATGGATGGGTAAGACTAGGGTAGACACTAGATAGACACCAGCTGTACTTTGTAACCTTGAAGGGGTTCAGGCTAAATCTCAAGTACCGGGCGGTTTCCGTCCCAAGTCTTCAGACAGCTAGACAGTGCCGGGCGCGGCGTGCAGTATTTTATCTTCATGGTTCTAGCCTGGAGGGGAACATGGGATGTGAGAGACCAAGCTGATAAAACGTATGTAGTTGCAAGGATGTTTCAATGAGGACTAGTTTTCCAGATTGCGTCGGAGGACTGAAGTCTTGCATGAGATCCAATTTAGCCCTGACTGGACACCTCTGGATTTCCAAAGTGATGATCAATCTTATCAACCTCCATTCCAGTGTCCACTACCATCTCTCCGTCATTTCTTCCCGCTCTTGGGACTGGGAGTCACCTCTCTTCAGGATGGTCTTCGGGCTTCCCCCGGGGCTGTTTACCCAAATCTGCAGGTGGAAGCCTCAACTCCATCGTGGCAAAAGGTCTTGGCTCAACTTACACTCAATGGCATCAATCCTTGCTGACATAATTGACGTGATTCAATGTTACACAACCCTAGTCTAAAAAGGCTTAGTCGGTTATATCGATATCCATCTTGGCATCTACAGTACAGTAGCACTGTATATTTTGCAACACACAGAATCTGCCGAGGCTTGAGTCACTCGATGAATAGATGAATCGTAGCCTAGTCCAAGCCTCCCAGAGGATCTATCAGATCCAGATGTATGCGGTGTTGCACACTTTGTCATCGGTCACAGACAGCCCGCGGGTGGCGCGGGAGAGACTCGAATTGAATACAAGGCAAGTTAGTAACTTACGCAAAAACAGATAACTACCAGTACCACAGATGGTCGTCCTCCTCAGCCCGGAATCCACTTGACGCTCTCCATCAAGCCCGTCCCGTCCGTTGAGAAAGTGCCAGCTATGGAAGTGTGACGTCGTTGCGCACAGCCATCCATATGGTATACTCATACATAGAACCATGGACGGGGCATGTGAGCTGGTCATTTATATTGTGACAGTATGTCGGTGAACGGAAGATGGCAGTCATCGGTTAGTCTTTGTGTGAAAACATGAATGTCCAAAATCCACATCGTTGGCCTTCGGCGACCGCTCGGTGGGCCATGCCGGGGTACCAAGCAGCGGACCGGTGGACGTTTTCCGATCGCAACGCGAGAATGGAGCCGGTTTTGTTTCCAAAGGGAATATTTGACGAATCTTCAGCTTGGGGTCTGACTATCTAATGCAAGAAGTGCATGTAAATAACTAGCACCATAGTTATCTTTGAGTGACAGACTCGCACGATTTACATAAATGGATTAATCGCAAAGGAACTTGCTTTCATAGGGTAAAGGCGATGGATCGATTCTCCATTTGCTACGTGTCGAACACGATTCCATACGAGCACCAACCAGGTAGAAGATTCTAGGCCCTATATATCGGGCATGACTCGGTCGATGATGACCTGTCCAGGATGAGTGTTTTTACATCTAGGTGATTCAAAGACAAGAGAAGAAGGCTACCATGTTAGCAAATAGGTGCCGTATACACAAGACGGCCGTAGTGATCTTCGTGAAGCAATGGTAGATCCAAGTAAAAAGACTGTAAATTACAATCAGTGGTCCGATTTCCACAGTAAATATCGCGTGCGCCACGTCAGCGCAGGAGGGCTGCTCAGGAGCCCAGACTGCATTTGTTCCTTGGATGGGGAGCAGCCCGGATGGAGTCTTCCCGAGGCCGATCATAGACGATCTTGGACCACCGGGGCAAGGTGTGGAAAGATTACACTCCCTGTCGGGCTCAATAGGACTCATAGTGATATGATGGTCATAATTATGGTACCACAGTAGTATTGTGAGTGAATAGCTGGTGAAGTTGTGACGCTTCGCCTGGCACCTGCACTGTTGATGAATCTCCAGCTCTCTGGTCGGGCTCCAACATTCCAACGGCCAAGCATTCCTAGAGGAACACGTGTTTGACAGCATTATTCGGCAGTATTATTGTCGATAAATCGCCCAAAGTATGAATTCAAATCAGACGTCTCTTGTCACCTTGTGTCATCATGGTCGGTGTGGTTCTCTGATGTGTTATCAATTGACTCCATTCACCTTGTCACTTGGATTGAATCGGTTTCTCACAAAGAGTGTAAAATTACACTAGGACAGTAATTAAACTGAAAGCTCACCTCAATCTCATGATTTCCAGTGCAGCTGGCGACTGGCGTAGGCTGTGTCCGACTGTACGCCCCTGGGAAATTCAGAAGAAAGAGGGAGAGGCGCCCGGTTCTCTGGGTGACAATCCGATCGGAGGTGGCTTGGGTCACTTGTACCTTTGTCCGATTCACACATCCCACGTTCAGGGCTGGTCACCGGTACCCTCTCCCCCCTTCTTGATGTTGTTCAATATCCAGTCCCCCGTGCATGTCAAATAGAACTGTTCCTGAAAAACGCTGCTTCCCGTTCGGCCCCTTTCAATGTTTTGAGACTTGGTGTTTTCCGGGACGCGAGGATGAGCCAGTACCATGGGTCTGACCATCCCACTCCCCAATCACACTCTGGGAGGATCCCCAATCGGGCAGGTAGACTCCACCTCCTGCCAGGAACCACCAGGTACACCGCCAATCACCAGCAGCCTGCCCCTGAGGTTCCAGAAGTCCCGACATGCTGCGGGATTTCGGTTGGTCCAGTTCTTCAGGCTGAACCATTTTGGGCGTCTGGACTCTGCCCTCGGGATGCATCTGGATTCTGGACCGCCAGTGAGCATGACACACACGCACACACGGCACACGGCCACACGCCTGGAATCTCGTAATTTCATACGGGCAACACGGAAACACACCGTCAGACGGTCAGAGAGTGTCACAAACCTGACCCAAACACTCGTCATGTATGGTATTGCTCGGGCAGAATCTCGGTGGCCAGGCGCCATCAGGCTGCAGCACCATCCCAGCACGCCCACAGGCCGTCAGAATCCAAGGCGTGGTGCCTGAAAACAGTGGAAATGGGGGTGTTCACCGCAGGACTCGGTATGGTGCTGACAGGCCCATAACAGAATCTGATACTGTACCTGTGTACCATAACAATCCTATTACTGCTATACACCTCCAGTTGCAGTAGTAACATATTACCCACAAGCAAAAATCAGTCAGGCACAGCGTTCACACACCGTTTAGGTTCACTCACCTTATTACCATCGACGCCCCCGTCCCTGTCCTTTCCCTTTTCCTCCTTCTCTCTCCCTCAGGTCCTGCAAAACCCACACTCCTTACCATCCCAATTGCTCTTCAGCTTTCGAGTGTATCTTCGCTCAGTCACTCCTTCACCCCTTTTGCGTTTGCCAGGATCTTTCTTCCCACGGGACCATCTTCCACTCTGCAATCCCCGCCAGAAGACCCGATCTCCCAATTCATCAAAAGAAACCACAACCCTCGTCCACAATGCTGGTCAAGAACTCTCTTTTGCTCGCTGCGGCTCTGACCGCTGGCTCGGCTGCCGCCCGCATGCACGGCCATGAGCGCCGGCACGCTCACCACAAGGCCCAGATGGAGCCCATTGTCGAGGTCGAGAAGCGTGCTGTCGGCGATGTCGTCCACGCCGTGATCGACGGTGTCCTTCAGACTTGGATCAACGAGTGGTCTGGCGAGAGCGCAACCAGCTCTGCTACCACCTTCGCCGTTGCCACCTCTGCGCCCACCACCATCGTCTCTGTCCCCACTATCACTGCGGCTCCCACCCACTCCCAGGCTCCTAGTGCCATCGAGTCCATGGTCCCTGCTCATACCGCCACTCCTGGATCCAGCGGCTCATGGTCTGACCTCCCCGCCAACGGCCAGTACACTCGTGCTGGATTTGGCGTCAACAACTGTGACAAGTCTCAGGATGGCGCCCTTGGCGTAATGTGGAGTGGCAACACCGGTCTACCCTGGGGTAGCAACATCATTGAGGTGGAGGAGAATGTCGCCAACCAGTACAAGCACGTCGTCCGCTTTGAGGGCAGTGAGAGTGATGACTGGACTGTTGTCGTCTGGAACAAGAAGGGTCCCGATGGAAAGATGGATGGCTTCTTCCACCCCAACAAGGCCTTGACCTTCACTGTAGGTGCCGGCCAGGTCAAGTATGTCGCCATTGATACCGATTCCACTGGTGGCTGGGCCGCCTGGAAGGGCGATGAGATGCCTCTGAGCCAGTACGGTAGCTATGCCGCCACCTGGGGTGAATTCACCATGCGCGACTCCCCGAACTTCACTTCTTGGGATGTGTCTTGCATCCAGGCCCAGAACGCTGGCAAGGAGATCCAGGGTATGCGCATCTGCCAGCACGATGGCTCAACCTGCTCCACCATCACCAAGAACATGGGCACTGTGCAGGATGCCTACACCTCTGCCGAGACCGATATCAACGGCATTGGTGGCAATGTCAAGGTTGAGGCCATCCGTCTGGTTGTCAACCTCGACTATGCTTAGATTCCTGGTTATGCTTTCCGGGAGTCAGCGTGATTCCCAACCCCTTTTCTCCCTTCCCGCACGCGATCTCAATGCCGGTCAATGAGTGTTCATACCTTGGCGGCTGATTGGTCTTTTCCCCATCTTTCTCTTCCTGTGCCACGGCCGTTCATTTTTTCTTTAGCTTCGACTCTGGAAATCCTTGGATGTTTTTTGTATCTTTCCCATGGCTTCATGTACATACACCTATTTTCTCTTTCTCCAAGCTTCAGTCCAAGTTGTCCCCATGTCCTCTTTCGTCTTTAGAACTCACTCTTAGTTCCGAGCTTGAGCGCGTTGTATTGTACTTCTGTTCTTCCACCACCTTGTTGTACAGGTATCAATACCTGCGATCTTGTAGATTTTAGCCTTTGTGCAGGGATGAAAGGTCCAACATACCCGCAAGACCCTGTACAGGAAGCGCTGGATGAATCGCTAGCTTGTTCATTGACTTCAAGACAGACCAGCATTGGAACCAGAGTTGGATCTGTTGGCCACGTCTTCAGGCAAGCAGTCAATGGCAGTGGTCCTGTGAGGCCCGGCGGAGTTGGCTTACGCGGGGGAATCAGTTTCAAACAAGCAGTCCGAACATCAGATTGCAACTTTCCGAAGGTTGATCATTGCTTCCCTCTCGGCATCCCCCGCTCGAGTCTTTCATAGCCCAGTGCACAATGACCTTCAGCTAGTCGACAATCGACATACACGTGCAAGTTGCAAAAATAACAACGATGCTCGTACCGGACTCGAGTGGTGGCTTGTGTCGCCCCCTTGATATGGTCGATCATTCTCAAACTCGTCCAAGATGGCATGCACCGTGGCGCTATACTGCACGTCAGATGCGCACAAGAAGCCCCGTCACGCCAACTGAACGATGGATCATTGCATTGGGACAGGTATCCCATTTGCCCAGCTTGGGCAGTAGTTCATCCACCAGAAGGGGTCACATGGCTTGGAAGTTCATTTTCTGGCTTGAGGAGGTTCTTTTACGTCTCTCTTATACTATCAGCATGAGTGAGAGCACCAAGGCTCGGCCCCCAGACTTCAATCAACGGTCTGGCCCCCGGTGCCGCCAAGCTTGACCCTAGCAATAATTAACGCGACTTCCAAACGCAGGAAAGGGCACTAAGAGCACGCTTCTGCACGCTACATCCGTTGGTCACAGCGGTTTCGCGCCATCTGGTCTCGGCGCTAAGGCTCGAACCCCAACAGGCCCGATGCCCGCTCCGCCGGCTGGGGCCGGCGGCAGATCGCCCGCCATGCTAAACATCAATCGGGTCAAGCTTGCGGACGTTCGCTCTCTCAATGCGACATCGCCTGCACTAGCGGGTGGACTCCATCATTTCAGTGAAATGAAGGACTCGAGAAGGTACAGGGATGTACACGCCTGGCCACACATGGACTTTCTACACTACTGGCGGAACGACAGATGGCATTGTGCTCGGCCTCGCTACTAGACGGGGGCCAAAGATCGCCCAAAGTTGAGAGAGATGACTCGGTCTTTGCCGCTGAGTCCGCGGCTACCTGAAGTTACACTTCAGTACCTTGATAGGGAAGTCCTGTGCTGGCCGAATCGAAAATGCATGCCAACTGCTTTTCCAAAACGGGGCCCATCTCCGAGATGAGGTCGATAGGGACTGTGATTATAATAAGGAAGCCACCCCTGCTGATAGGAGTACGATGCTTGGTATGACTCGAGCTCAATACTCGCAAGCACTATTGGCACTGGTCGAAATCTAGCGGGTTGGTGTACCTCCATTGTGGTACATTATCATGGCGGCAAGAAAGTACAGTCGGGGTGAAGACCGCACGGTGCTTAGCACGACTCAAACATTCTTCTCACCAAATGTCCGGCCAGGTCGCTCCTCATCACCAACTTCAAACAATTCTCGAGTTTCGAGCATCACAAATCAATCAACCAAGAGCGCTCAAGTCACAACAAGACTTGCGAACCATGAACAGGACCAAAAGGCGACAGAGACAGGATGGATTCCATATACACTTCGTTCCGTCTACCTCGGGCTGCTAAGCGTTGTGACATTCAGTCTAGGTCTTGTCACTTTCCTACTGTGGTGGAAGTCTTCAGAGAACTTGGGAGTTGGGTCTGATAACGGATCATCCATGACACTTTTTGGTTGGCGATATAGTCCGACCGCGGTCACCGTGCTCTGGATTCAATTGGTCACAATGCTCTTCGATGATGTGAAAAGAACCGAGCCCTTTGCTCGCCTTGCTCGACCAGAAGGTGCAACAGCTTCAGCAAGCATCTTGGAGATCTCAAGCCCATGGTGGGTCACTTTGTACAGTGGATTCGCGAAGAAAAAGTATGGCCATCGGAGCTGGGTATTAGTGTGTGTATCGATAGTCAATGTCCTTGGGTTTCTCGCGATTTCACCATTGTCATCTGCTTTCCTCAACTCTCAAGAAATGATTGTGCCCCGGACGGTCGACTTCTTCCGCTTTTCTCCGACGTCAACTTCGCCGCTGCCAATTGATGCAGACCAGACAGTACACTTCCGCACCATTGCCAATCTACTGCAGAATGTGTCTACCTCGCCGTGGATCACAGATAACTACACCATACTCCCATTTTGGCCAGCTGATCTCAAGGCTGAGGCGATCACCTCCCTGCCCGTCAACAAACATCAGAGTTGGACAGCAGATACCATGATGTTCGCCAGTAGGCTCACTTGTGAGGAGATGAAGATTGTGGGCCAAAGTGTCGACGGAAGCACCGCAAATCAACGCAATGTGTCAATCACATGGTCATCCTCGGATGGATGTAAGTATGGACTCTCGGTATCGTCGGACTTTTTCACCACGGGCGGGGCTAGTTGGTCTAATACGTCAACTTTCTTCTACTCCCTCGAGACGCTTCTGATGGATGCGAAGCTATCGTGGATTAATTCAAGTGTGTCGTGTGGAAACCGGGAGCTTATCGTCGCAACTGAGCCATGGCCCTCATTGTCAAAACCTGGCAAACATATCGCTCAAATTTGCAGCACGGAATACTTCATGGCCAACGTTTCGGTTACTGTCACACTCAATGGAGAACAATCGGAGATCTCCTTCAACGAAACAGAATTCGAGCGTCGCAAAACTTCAATACCCCACAATATTGTCAACGTTACGCTATTCCAGGACATGACCCTGACCTCAGAATGGAACGCTTACATGATCTCGTCCAACTCATTGATGGGAGGTGCTTCTGTGATTCTCGGTGCTCTATACGACTATAATATGACTAGCCTTGTCAATGACCCAAGATTGGCGAGGTCTGCCGCAATGGCAAAGCAGCGTTTCTTTGGTGAAGCTTTACAGTCGGCCCTTCGCCAAGACAACGCAGCTACAAAGTTCCGAATGAATGCTGAAATTCGGGCTGTTGAGCAGCGAGTCATAGTTCAAGAGGGTCCAGCAATTGCCATGGGCTCTCTTTTCGGCATCTGCTGCTTGCTCTTACTTGTCGTCTGGAGGTCCTCACGCCTGAGCCGCAGGCCACTGAATCTGGATAGAGATCCGGCAACCATCGTCGGAAGTGCCTCTCTTGTCGCTCAAAGTCCACGGACAAGGTCCGGGTTTCAATCACTGAGACAGCCAACAACCGATGATTTACAAAAGAGACTTGGCAATGAACGCTACTACACGGACTTCCGAGGACTGTCCAAGACCAATCCTGATCTGCTGACAAGCGACGAGCCGATGCAGTCAAAAAGTGGCACACCGACACTACTTCGTCTACCTGCACTTCTAGGCATGATCGTCGCATTGATACTTATCATTGCTGGTGTCTGCGTGCTATTTCATTACGCTGGAGCTTCGGACTTGTATCAAAATGCGTTTATCTATCATTTCAACGTTTCATTTCCCGGTGCCAGCATTTCTTCGATCGCGCCCTTCTCGATGATTCCAACGATCTTGGCCATTGGGGTTGGACTCTGGTGGAGTGCTATCGACGAAACTTTTCGTCGACTTCAACCCTACATATCTATGGCAAAACGTGACCAATCTTTCAGACGTGGCGTTTCTCTCTCCTATCAGTCCTCATACTGGTTCTGGGCAGCCTCCAAAGCAGCGCATAACAGACACTGGCTGCTTCTTTTGGTAGCTCTCGGATCTACACTCTCTCCTATATGTGTGTCCATACAACAGAAATTGTGTTTGACTAAAGCTGACCATGTGAAACAGACACAACTGCCATGTCCGCTTTGTTCAATCAGGGCACAGGCGTGCTTGTCACGCCGATCGATTTGAACCGTACTCTTGAAGTACGTCGAATTCCACACATCTACGAGACCAAGCAATCAATGTACCCTGGTGCAGCAATGGACTATCCTACCGCCGTGCTCCAGAGTCTGTACCAAAATCTCTCGTCGTACTATATGTACACTGCAACTGTCCAGTTGGCTCTCAACGGGTCTGAACCAGCTTGGAGTAAAGATGGATGGAGCTTTGTGCCGTTGGACATTAAATCCATCTCTTCTCCGGAATTGCTTGCGAAGCTCGGCGCAAGCCATTCTGACATGCCTTCATCTATACCTCAGGTGAACATCACCTTCACGACACCTGCCATTCGAGGTCGCATCGAATGCAGTGCACCTCCTGCACGTGTGTTTGCGAATCTCACTTCTTGGACCACGTCTACAGATCTTTCCAATCACACTGTGTGGAATAAAAGCACGATTCCTGATGGAGTCAAGGGGGTTACCAATTGGGTAACACGTATAAAGCCAGGCAATTCCCCAGCAGTATAACACCCTTACTACCCGGTCAAAATTGGACTGAATGCCCGGGCTGCACTACTGTTTTCGTCAATCCGGCTATGCTGACCTGCTGCGGAAATGGCAGTACCAACTCCCGCCAGGGTAGCGTTGCAATCGGTTATTGGTCTCCCAACGATGCACTCGACTACTTCTCACCTGTATCGTGGCAGCGAAACTTCACAGCAAAATGGTTTTACGGGAACGCGGTGACAGGCATCAAGTCGAATAAGAACAAGCTCCTCGGCCAGCCCGATGCTGGTCCGTTGTTCCTCTCTCCGCCTTCGCTCTCTTTTTTCAATTGTGAGCCTATTGTCGAGACTGCCAGTGCCAGTATCACTGTCGACCCCTCAAGCGGGGCGATTCAGTCCTTTGTCATCCAAGACACTCCCAGGGTCGCTAAAGATGCCTTTGACGACAACTTCCTTGCTCACAACGGTTCTGTCACCGATCTTCGTGCTGGTTACAGTACGTTCAATGTGACGATCAGGTGAGTCTGAACGTGGACAGCCCCCCTCAAAGAACGATGGATGATTGAGCTAACTCTGTTGATAAAGCTACGGCCATGTTTTCATGAGTACATTGTTGACTTCGGCCGATCTTCAACGATCATCAGGGGTCTCACACACCATTGGCTACAATGTGGAGAGCCTGGATGATAATACTTTCAATATTCGTGACGAGATGCATGGCCTCAATATGGATTTCATGTCCTATTCGATGTACTCGATGGCGAACAAAGACCCACAGGCTCTCCTCGACCCAAAAACATTCGTTAGACTCGCTCAAAAATCATTCACTACCTTTTTCCAGCATTTCGTCAGCAATAACATCTCCATGGCCAACGGAGGCTGGGCCTACCAAACGATCAATGCTAGTTTGCCTTCTGATCTCACTCCGGCTGTTGAATACGTCAACGGATACGCTGCCGGTGCCGTGGCAACTGCATATCAGGATGTCATTCATCCCATCTCGCAAACAAACAGAACAGTTTCGATCAAAGTGGCCCAGCGTGTCCAGCTACTCCAGATGAATGCAATCGCCGTCTGGCTCAGTGTCTCGATTATGGCCTGGCTGATACTTACTACCCTGGTAGTAGCTATTGTACAAAAACAATACTTCGGCCGACTCGTCCGAGATCTTGAAAGTCTCGCCGATGTTCTTGTGCTCATTGCCGGTAGTGCAAACCTGCTGGAGGTGGTTAGGGCTATCGAAGCGGGCCTCATACCTCCGGATCAGTATGAGAAGCTGCGCACACGGCTGGGTTGGTTCATGGATGAAGATGGGGAATTGAGATGGGGCGTGGAGCTGGTGAGCGCATTTGGCGACGGACCACAAGTCGAATGGATCGCCACGCCGTACTTTTCAAAGAAAGGCACGAAGACATGGGGTCTATCGGATGAGAATGTTCAATCTTGAGTATAAAGGGGCATTTTTCCATGGGTTAATGATTCTTCTGCAGAGTCTGAGAGAAGTGTTCCACGACTAGATTGATAGTTTAATATTAAAAATACATTTTTGAAGTTTCAGCCACCGGTTTGCTGTGCAGACAGACGCTGGTCACGCTCTCGCTGCCCGCCATATTCAGGAGAACGAGCTCTCCGGCACTGTCGAACTCTTATCTCACGGGAACCCGGAGAATCCAGCGCCGAGGAAATCGGTTGCAGATCCCGCATCAAAGACGCTTGCCTCCTCCTCTCCTTCCACTTCTTCGACGAATTCCTCGTCGCCCGATCCCGTGGGCCTGATCATGCCAATATAGAACATGTACCCTACAAGAGCGGCGAGTCCTCCAACGACAGTTGCGACAGAAGCATACAGGTCATTCTTGCCCGCGTCGGCAGCTTGAGATACAATCTTCTTCTCCATATCCGACAGCCCTGCGTCCGCTGACTGTGCGCCTTCCTTCAACTTGTTATGGCTGCGAAGGGTACGCACGAGGGGTAGAGATTCGGCCAAGGTGTCGAGAAGGGTGTTGCTGACAGCGACGGCCGAGATTCGGCTAGGAGCTCTCCACGGTAGTAATGAGGATGGCGCCGTTTCTGGTGAGAATGCGTGCGCAATTTCCACTGGTTGTTCGCCGAAGCAAAGACGGCGCATGCGCTCCGTGTAGGCTGTAAGATGCGGGCTTTTCGTCCGCATTGCGTCCCGTAACCAGGGAAAGGTGAGCTCGGGTACCAGAGCAAGTGAGAGATAGCCCAGTGCGATACAGTCCAGGCTGGAGGGTGAGTCGTTCTCGCTGGAGGCCAAGAAATACGACTTGTCCCCAATCATGGCCTCCAATGGCTCGAAGAATTCGCCCGTCAGCGCTTCAAGACGGAAGTGATTGTGCTGTGCTGTGCGGCCGAGTAGTTTCGAGACAGTATCTTGTGGTCGGGGGATCAGGTTCTTGGGCACCCGACCAGCTGCGACTGCGGCCGAGTGTTCGCGCTGGCGCTGCTCTTCCATTGCCTGTATGTCTAACGAGGACAGGCCGAGATGTTCCGTCCGGGCTTTGGCGGCGCTATGCAGCCTCGGTGGTAGGATCCATTGGTTCGGCCATTGGAGGAGACTGCCGTATGCGGGTGATGTGTTGCCGTAGTAGTTCTGGCTACTCACGTACAAGGAGAGATCGATAAGGGTTTGACCGCGGGATTCGATGAAGGAGGAGAATCTGTAGAGCAATGCGCACGGGGGGCGCAATCGAGTCAGCTAGGCTTATTGCGTCGGCATATGGAAGCTAGCCCCCCTAGATTTGATGATTCCTATTGCACAGTGGTCACAGGTTTCATACGTACGCGATGGTGTCAGCGCGCGCCGTTCCCTCCAACAAGCCGTCCAAATCCCATTCCCCATTGGAGTATTGGCGGAGATAGTCCACGATGTTGCGAAACCGGCTCACCCATGTGGAATCATCCTGCAGCGCGGGCAGCTCCCCTGGCACAGAGACAAGTCATTGCATTAGCTTTCCTGTCGCTTTGGAAAGTTGAGCCGTCATGGTCGGAAGGGCAAACGGGGGAAAGATGTGAGGCTTTGAATGATCACGTCACTTACCAGTAGGAGAAACGGAGGGATCACTAGTGGCCACCAGCTCCCACGAGCCCTTGGGAAGGGTCAGCGAGCAATACGCAATCGCCGCAAGACATTGGGCATCGATTGATGGCAGATTGAAGGCCGGTCCCCACACATGCAATTGTAGCACCATGATTGTTTTGATTGAGGGAACCGCGACTCGGGCGGACTTTCTGGATCTTCATGGATCGACTAGAATGGTCGAATGGGCGAATCACGTGTGTCTGACTATTGACGGGCCCGACGGCTTCCCCCCAACGTCGATATGGCGGACGGAACATACATAAAAATGTTCAATGAAGAAATTCCACTTTGGAAATATGAAAGTATTACGGTTTTAGAGTTTCAATATGTACTCGAGTAAGTAAAGTGGTGCGTCAAGGACCTTTGTCCAGCCAGTTACGCTTGTATCCATCATTAGTCCAAACGTGTGTTCCCCCAAGTCACATGCGGAGTTGGAGAGCGGTGGTCTTAGCTACAAGACCGCACGCCGAACAAATTGATCTTCGTAAACATCTTGACAACAACTCAATAGGCAAACGGCAGACCGGCATCTTGCCATGAACACAAGTCGCTCTACCAATATGTCGTCCATTTACTCTTGCCAGTCAAAACATCAACAAATTCCCTTGCAATGACTCGGTCTGTCTGCTCGCTTGGATGCAGCTCATCGTACCACAAATAGCTATCCCAGTCTTTCGACGGCGTGTCGGCAGCCATGCCCGTGACATTCAGTGGTGCGGATCCATTCAGGTAAGCCGACGGGTTATGCCAAATGTCCGACATCTTGATGCGTGTCATGGTTAGCGACGGGATCTCTATCCTTGATCGCTCGAGAAGGAAAGGAAATATCCTACCAGCGAGTGCACGTCAAACAGGGCAAAGTGACTTCCCTTGTATCTGCGATGGATCTTTAGCTCATATGGGATCTGGAACTTGTAGATGTCGTTGACAAGCGTGCTATATTGCCTCATTTTCTCACTGATCTGAGTGAGATTAGAATTGTATTGAGTCTTCTCCGGCCAGTATCTGGGTCGAGCGAGACCGCCATTCTCGGGTGTGGCATATTGCGGAGTCAATTCCAAAGGAGCAATGTTCATGAGCACAAATCGTCGCGCTCCGACAGCATGCAGTCGATCGAGTTGCTCAAAGACGCAGTCGACATAGCTGGACAAGGGTAATCCTGCGGGCTGCGAGTCGGTGAAGAACACTCCATTGCCAATATCATTTGTCCCGATCCAGATCGCATAAACGGCCTCATGGTTGGATCGCAGGACCTGCTTCGGGTCACGAGAGCGAAAGTAGTCTTGATCGGCCAGGAAAGCGGGAATCTGAGCTTGTTTCACTCCGTTTCGAGGCGAGGAAGCAAAGACGGAATCGCAGACTGCGCCGGACACGGCATAGTCGTAGACTGTTGCTCCAGAGTATTGATGAACGTACTCGGGCCAGACGCGTCCGCCTGTGGAGGTGACATTCCCCTGCAATTTGCTGTTAGTATGGTAAGCATTCGCATCGGCCTAGCATACTAAGTAGGTTCGGATTAAGAACCGGCACCGCGACTATTCCATTCGAATTCGGCCGATACTGATATACTCTTTGATCGGTGTAGCTATCCCCGAAAATGACCACCGGCGGGATATGTTTAGATGTGAAGAATGGAATTGCAAGACCGCAATGAGCCAGCAGCCCTAAGCAAGCCACGGCTTGTGCCACGGTGAGCCGATGTTTCATGCTGACTTATATCACGCTGATTGACTGTTTTTCTGCTGTCGAATGATCAGGAGTCAGTGAGAGAACGCTACTATGTCTCAAGTTCCGGCCGGCCCTATTTGCGAAAACGCCGAAAGCAACGTCGAGACAAGCAGAGGACCTTGGGAACACCGGGATCAAGTCTCTTGAATAGCATGATCGCTCATCATGCAAACCGTCAGACCGGCTATTTACGTGTGCAGATTCAACTCCCGAAAGAGGTTATGTATCTGCATAATTGGAGGGAATATGCAACTTGAGATGCTGTGAGTCGACTGAGACAAATTCCTCCTTGCACCCGGCAAAAGAGATGTTCTGCGAACTTCAAGTTGGGGTGCATGAAGAATGACATCATTGGCGATCGTACCCGCATCTTCATCCCCAGACCACCGTGGTCCATTGATCCAGACTCGATCTAGTTGTAATCCTCTCTTTAGCCATGACTCGCCGTGCTGACGTGGATACGAATTGATTGGTGGAAGTCGATCTGATCGACGAGGACAGCGGTGTCCTTCACCCCGCATTTTCTGCATTGCTGTTACATCGCTGGTGGCTCGGGCCGCACAGGAAGCAGTCGAGTCTTTACATCCCGGAGGCTCTTCGAAGGGGTTTCACTTCAAGAGCATCTCCTGCAGAGGTTGAAGGGTGTTGAAAATGCGCCCGTATTGTCTCTCTCGAAGATGAACACCTGACCCTTCGTTGTTCAGAGTCACTTGCATCAAGGGGCATGCCCTGCAGATCGACCATCGTGTAGGCACGACATTTTATAAAATCAGCTGGTGGTAGCCAAGTATCGAACGTCGGTCTCATCTTGAGGCTCCGCTTCACAGACAGGCGTCATTCGGAATGTTTAGTGAGCGCGATCACTCTGAGTTTGAACTGGAAATGCGTGACTTGAGGCTGCTTTGAGCAGGGGGAGAAAGACACCTGTCAATCCTTCTTGTGATGTTTGAAAAGGAAAGACTGCAAAGAATTCAGAATTTAGCGCATGTGCAAATAATTATGCACACTTGAGCTCAATTCGACGGCCTGGCAACCCAAGTATATGCCAGGCGACAGCCAAGATTCAGACCTGAGGAGCAGGCGAGATTTGGTAGCGATCAGCTGCGATGTTCGAATGGTAGAGTCGACATGCCTTCAAGGAAATTCGATTTAATATCCAGAATAGGACCTTAGTAAATAGACAATGTCAGGCCGATGAGCCGATCAACACACCTTCATCTGCTGGCTCAGCGACCGTGAACAAGGACAAGTGATCGTCATGACACGAGATGAGACAACGTCTCGAGTCAGGGCCATTGGAAGATTACAGCGTCCTCAATCTCAGAACTGCGACGAGGTACCTGCCTCTTTGAGCCGATGCAAAGGCCAGAATGAGATGAGCCTCAAAGCAAGGTGTCTGTGCCATGGCACCTGCAGTGAATTCGCAAGATAATCCCGTTTCTGTCGCCAAGTCGGTCGAATGGGACCACAGACCGTCGTGCAGGAAGGTGTGTCTTTTGCGGCCGCATCTCTTTGTATCACCACTTTCCTCTTCGGGAGACTTTCTTTACCAAAGACCGGACTGTTCTTGATGATCTTGGCGGTCGGCAATTTTCATTAAATTGGACTGAGTGTTGACCGACCGCGGATCGCCGTGGCTGGAACCAGAAATCATTCAGTACGGTGAAAGCGGGGTTCCAGCCATGTTCAAGGCCGCTTGCCGCGGGTGGCATCGAAGGTTTGGAGTAGGGACCTCTATATCAAGGCTCAGGCACGAAGTCATGATTCGTAAATCGATCGTGATGGCTCGGTCCGTTGAGGTATTGTTCCTGGCACAAGAGATGAGGGGAGGGGGGAGGGGGCGTGGAGCCCTCCACTGCCGATAGCGAGGTGCAACTACTTGTTGCACAGTCCTGTGGCTTGAGCACGGATATTGAAAGCTTGAAGACAGGTTGGTGTCATGCGGAGAAGAGGAGACTCCTCGATGAGGGTCAGTGCTGAAAGTGGAGGTGACGGTGAAGAAGCTATGGGTTGGTGATCTGATCCAACCAATAAAGTCCAATAGAAGTATCGAAGTTTCGTCTCCATTGTCGACAGAAGCGTCGACAGAGGAGGAGACCGACAAGGATCAAGTCCAGCTCTGAAGTCAGAATGAATGAAGTATGACTGTGAGGGGGCGACGATCTCAATATCACATCGCACTTGTAGCAACGACTGGAATTGGAAAAATCACGGGTTCCAATGTTAGCTCATGCATTACGTACGACTGGAGCGAAGTCGGTGCGCACTCAGGTGACCATGTCTTTTCGGCCCGGGCTGTTTCCCGCGACCCTGAGGACTTGCTCAAGGTTCTCTTGAGTCTGCCGTCTTTACGGCAGTGACTTATCAATACATGCATGTACTTTAGGTCGAATACTGCAGACTCGAAGTGCAGATTGTCAACAGGTATCCAGAACCAGACAGAGTGATGCTGAGATGTTCAGAGACCTGCACCGGTCCGTTTCAAGGGTCTCGACTTGATGGTCGATTCTCCAATTTCCATCCCTGTACATGGCTACATGCGTAGTCATCGCATAATGCATACTGCATACTGCATACATTCATATATAACATCCGTGATACATTGCTTACACTTGAATCAAACAACCCCTGCATTCCAGCGACAGCCGCCTTTATCGCGAATTCGCTATGACCTCAGGTGCAACACGTGGTTGCGCCACCATTAGGGGACCTTTGGTGAGCACTGACCCTCGACCCAAAATTGAGGAATGCGAAAGAACACTGGGCAGGGCTGCGGGAGGGGACATCCCAGGGCAGGTTCCTCGAAGACCACGCGAGGTACTCTTCAATTATCGCCCGAATGGGACTTCCTGTCAGGCTGTCACTGTTTCGAGTTCACGGTCGTTGGTAACTTGGCATTTGTACCTGAGATCTGGGGAGTCCAGAACGTACAGAGACGGCTAGTTCAGTCTGGCCGATGGGATGCCTTTCTTTTCCTCTCTTTTTTTGATTTTTGTTTCTCTTGATATCAACTGACGGCGGCGATGTCCGATACCGAAGCAGGTCCAGACTCCAGAGTGCCCCGAAGTATAGCGAGTAACAACTACCTGATGATGCACCCTACCGCAGCTACTGAGAAAGGTACTTAGTACACACACGTAAGGTCTTTTGTGTTAAATACTGGCTTCACAGAAGGTCGATTTAAAAATCAGCAGTTCAAAAAACTAGTTTCTTAATGTTCGCGGTTATATGAGTTTTTCGAAGCCAGATTGATTCGATAAGCCTGGGTCACAATCGCGTCGCAACACCTCGCCTCCTAACTGAACTTTGCCTTATCATCACGATGAAAGGGATATCATATCAGCCTCCAAGCCGAAAGCCATTGGCGAAATCGAAATCTCCTTGGACCCTGACGACGCCACAATCATGATTGGCCTGCACAATGGAGTTGTTTCCTTGATCTCTGGTCCAATCTATCTTCGCAAAGTCCCAGAGTCACAATAGGCCTTCCATCTGGTGCATGAAGAGCGCAGTTGTCCAAGGCCTGGACCCCTTCTCCCTCAAACAGCCATGGAACCGGGGCAGTACAGAGTACAGAGTACAGAGTCCAGTGGTCCACGATGGACCCTGCAGCGGGCATCGTTGGATAATTTTCAGCCATTTGGACCTTGGAAGAGGATCATCAAAGCTCCCCCTCGACCACGGATGAGGGTAAAGTCGACCCAATCTCGCTCTCAATGCTCGGCCAGGCCGGGAGATCTCCGGCTCTCGCTTGATGATGCCGGATGGTCTTGACTCGTGCGGCGGGAACTTTCCTCGTCGGAGTGATGACGCCAATGACAAGGCCGTTTGGACCAACGGCAGCGCCGCGCAGTTGCACGGGCCTTTTCCGCGCAGGGGGGAAACATAATCAATAATATGACTGCAACTCGGAATCCCCCCCTCTACTCTCTACACTCTACACTCTATCCTCTACAACATGGGTGAGGACTGAGGACATCACGAAACGACCGGGATCAGACCACGATCGTGAGACACCGGGAGTGAGTGGACTGTGAACTATCGACGATCGTACCTCGGGTCCAACAGTGTTTTCGCTCCTCTTGTGGACAAATCGCTCACAGTCGTCTACTGGTCTCATCCTTGAACTAACTTAGGTACAGACTGCCAAGGTAATGGGTTACCCGCAACACAGGAACACACCAGTCCAAAGACAGATTTACCTTGGCATACAAGATCCTTGCCATCCCGAAACCAAGGCAGGCTGGATTCCTGCCTGGGGATGTACTACGACTGAGTCATCGAACTTTGTTTCCACATTCGAGTCGCTACAACCCAGGTGGACGTGCTCAATTCAGTCCTGACTCCTGAGTCCACCCTCTTCCGGAGAGCCGACCTTGCCCACATTTTCTTGTAAGGCTTCCCAATCCCATCCCATTCCGGCCACATGGTTAGGCTTTCCATGATTTCCAAACGGTGGCCGCGGACCAATCTTTCCTCGTGGCCCGGATAGGCGGATGGTCCAAGCCCGAGGAATCATCATCATTCCTGCCTGCTCTTGACGTGGTTCGGATCGTTTTCGATCCTCATTTGCTGCTGAGATCAGAGTGACGCGGGAACGAGGACGTTGGCGATGGACCAGGCTGCTGCCACGCTTTTTCCACGTGGAGCTGACGCGGACGAGAACACGCAAGTACCTCACACCCTGCAAGTCAGCCAAGTATACTGCGGTTGGCAGGGAGCTGATTATGCAGGTGGACTGAACGGGAAGGCAAGCAAGGCATCTGAGCCTCAAAACGAGAAGGGGTGGTACTGGTGAGAGAGATGGAAGAGAAGCTGAAACGGACATCTTGGACACCCTGGTCACTGGATGACTTGCGCAACCACTAATTAGTGAACTTTTGTTAGGCCGGTAATAAGACGAAGCCGTAGTTAGTAGTTACCGTAACCGGTGAACCACTAGTCCTCACTTCCCAACTCCTATCACTCGACAATCAGTA